CTTCCATTCAAAACCTGTAAAAATGGCAAACGTCGACGACCAACTTAACGAGTTCGGGCATAATCAACTAGTTTTATTGTTGTTTTTTTGTAATAATGAATGTTCTATGTTCCAACTTACGTTATAAGCAACGCCCAATTGTGATAGATATTTGCAACGATTAGTGTATAATTGCAAACCGATTGTTAAGTTCCATTTTTCAAGGCTTTTGTTGATATTCTCTTCCCATGTTAACTGTTTAAACATTTTAAAACTACAAACTACATTTTTCTTTTTAACCACAGGCAATCCTAATTTTTAAATAGTAAATTACATTGTGTTAACACTTTTTGTTTTTCTCTCATTCATATTTCTTGTACGCTTTTTTAAACATGACACGAAAATCGATAATTATGAAGAAAATTGTCGATTTGCTGTAAAGCAACTCTTAATGTTTTGTTTCCATTTAACCATAATGTAAATTCACAATTTAGTACCGACTATTTTCAGCAGTATTTAGAAACACAGCACATTCGTTTAAATTGACTTCCTTTCCATTTTTGTTCACTTACAGAATTTTAGTTTCTTTGGTCCGGTGAATGGGAAAAAATATTAATATGAGAATAGTTATGAAAACCAGAGTCTTGTGCTCATTTTTGTTATGACGAGTCAGCCAAACCAAAAGAGCTCCCGTTTCTCTTCCTATGAATAATTAATTACATAACGTAAAAATAAAAAATATAATAAAATAAACTTGAAATTATTCCCGGAAATGAAGTGATTTTACCATAGTTATAAAAAAATGCAGATATGAGTCATTCTTAAAAAAATACATTACTTTATAACTGCTTGATTTATATATATACTTTAAAATGGCGTAATATGTCCATAATATATCCTAAGAAATTTTTAAATGTTTGGAAAATCAAAATACAAATCAAATTTGGTCGCTACCGATTTTGTGGCCGATAACATAGCGAGGATTCGCACAACGTCCAAAAACAAGTTCATCACCCCGCAAACTACAAGGAAATCTCTTACAAAAAAAGTAATATTAAACGAGTATGCTTTATTCTGATTCTGATGACATTCAATTTTATTTGAGAATTTGTCAATAATTTATTCATAACCTTGCCATCTTTCAGGCTATGAAGGTACTTGCCTGTCTATCACAAATTTTGTGCTATGAATATAACCCGTCTACAATTGTTGCAATTATGGAGAAAAATTACTAAATTTGTGTAAAAACTGAGAATTTACATTTTGCTTCTGTACGGAACCTTTTCAATGATATAATTTCTCACTAGCCACACTGAAGCTTAAATCCTAACTTTATAATTGTTATGTATTGGTTCATTCCACTGTGATGATGTCTAACTTGCGTTCAAGCAGTATTAATTTGTATTTATTTTAGATTTTTTATCAATCCAGCAGATAGAATTCTCGTAAATAATTTTTCACAGACTTTTTCCAAAGGTCATGGTCAGCCCAACTTAATATAGACACTGATTCAATTTTCCATAAAATTTACAGCTATTATTCAAACAATGTAAAAAAATCAAAAACAACCATATAGAGAATCGAAAAAATACTTTAAGCATTTGACCAATAACAATCAGCTTAATACACGCTATACATGTAGGCATTTGTCAAAACATTTCTAAGTGCATATCAAAGTACATGACAATAGCTTCACAAGAAATAACTATTAATTAAACATTAAAGTTGAAAGAAACCAGGTATTCCGAGGTAGTCTAATTTATTTCGAGCGCGTTCGGGCTATAAAGTTTATCTTTAGCATCTCTAACTAAATACAATCATAAAAAGCTACAATAGCCAAAGGAAATGGTTAAATAATTGAAATTGCATTTATTACCAAGTCTCACCAAGCTTAGAATTTCGAAGACAGCAATCAATACTGTTCATGTCATAGTTACACATAAAACTTAAAAATTGTTTAAAACTAGGTTGTTGGTATCAATACAAATTTAACAATGAAAAACTTAAAATCATATACCTACTAATTAACCATATTTCCTAGATAATGTTCATTATGTTTTAAAACTGTTAATTTTTTTTTTCTATATACGCTATTTAAGTTTCAGAGATATTTTGAAAAAACTTACATAAAAAGAACTGATCTATATTTTATTACTTTTAAATTTAAATATTATATATAATTCCGTTTTCTCAGATAGGAAAAAAACTTTTCCAAGTACAATCCATCCTGTAAAAAACTGCACGGTGTAATGGGCCCAGCCCTTCTCACTCCTTACTCAAATCCTTCTGGGATAATGGCAAAGAGTCAAGCGAGTGTTGAGATTTGCCCCAGATCCATTAGTTTTCTAATCACCAAATAAACCATAATCTGAACTTTGCAATCAACCGCCGACCCATTTCTGTTGATGGAATGTTTTCAGTCGTTTTCGGTAGCGTGCAGAGATGGCAGAATATGCAAATTCCGTCATTAAAGGGCGAAGCACTTTGAACTGACCTGGTCTCTTATAGAAAGTGTAGTTCTTTTCCCGGAGAAGGGCCTTCTGTCTCGAACAGTGGCCAGAAAAGTTTGCCCTGTCAGCTTAGTTGTACCAATAAAAGAAACTTTTAAAAAAATCTCAGACGCTCGTATTGAGTGGTAGTTTTTTTACACAAATACTTATCAGTTATCAATAAAAACAACAACAACAGCAAATAGAGATAAGCTCTTGTTAATCATGGAGGAAGGATCAGAGAAAGAAGAGGTCAGCACAGCAAGTATTGTACAGAACTTATTAAGATTATATTTAAATTATAGATAATAATAATTGGAGGAAATAATTGGTTTTTCGTATGCTCAACTAGCCTCTTAAAAACGCACATATCCATTTTCTCCCTTGTTATAAAAAGTAAAATTACTTTCTACAACGGCGTATTGAAGTTTTGAAATAACCTATTAGTTACTGTAGCATTAGAAAGATGTGCAACATATCAGATTTAGACCAGCGAAAGACCAAGGAATCGAAAAAAAATTACTTGTCATGATCCTGTGTTGTAAATTTGGACAAAAACAGTCAAACCGTGTTACCCAATTTAGACAGTTTATCGGTGGAATTCTAACCGCAATCGCTCCGAATCATTTTCAAAGATTGGAGCAAAGGGGAATTCAAGTATTTGAACGGAGCTCGTCAGCCAAGACACTGGGCTGCCGATCCGTTTAGAAGATGGAATTCAAGAATGGAAAAAATTAATTTTTACGCGTTTTGTTTTTTTAAGGTTGGCCGTGCAAGAACTAGAATACAAATGTAGTCGTTGTCTATCTTCAGAAATTGGGTCATGTCGAGACAGGTCGGTTACCTTGACATACTTCCGGTCAGTGAAAGTGGAAACAACAGAGGCGTTCCTTCAGTTTCACTTTTCAGCATCCATCCTTCCTTATTTTTGTAATTCCATAACTGCTTTTCTAAGTCACCTCAATAGTTTAAGCCGGGCGGTTATGGTCCTTAGGATGCGTTTGGTTGTATTGAAATCTTCAATGGAAATATATATAAATTACAACTTGATGAAATGATATAGGGAAAGTTTTACAGTTTACACATAGACGGGGATAATTAGGGAAAGGAAAGCCAAATTGTTGAAGAATTAGACTATGCAGAAATATTTTATGTGTGGAATGTGATGATTGTTTTATATTATTATATGTTTTGTGTGATATGATGATATATGTATGTTATCGATATTGTTGTCTATATAATCCTGAAAGGATAATCAGGCCGAACCATTACCCACTTTTTTCGCATTGTCGGCTTCTTTCGCCTCAAAAAAGCCGACTCTTCGTGTCTTCCTATCCTCGCTTCCTTCCCCACCCCTTCAAAACCCAACGTTTATATCATAAAACAGCAATATCTCACTGGCACTCTCAACACGACTCACAAGAATGACACATCTACACGGAAAACAAACACTTTGAGAGAGTATGAATACTTTGATTGAATCTCAAATTTTCTAGCATTGTATAAATTCTTTCCTGTTTTTAATCTAAAATTTTCTAGTATTATATAAATTCATTCTTCTTTTAAATCTAAAATTTTCAAGTATTGTATAAATTCATATTTTTTTCCACATCCTACATGTACTTGTAAAATTCAATCAACTTTTATAAATCCCAGGCCCTCAAGATGATCTCAATAAAGATCGAAACGTTGGCACGATAAAGAAAATGTTTTTATAAAACCCACCTCACACCAGACCGCATCTCACGATCTCCGAATAATCTTTGCTGTATTTTGAAGAAAAAAGAGCAAAATTCTTATTTGACAATTATTTCAGACGAAAATAGTATAAAGGAAATTTAATGCTGAATCCGAAACTGTCCAAAACTGGCCTGATAACATATCGTGTTTTTCTCAAGTAGAAACCATAGAAAAACTAAGAAAAAATCGTAACTCTTCACGGACTGAAGATAGGTATAGGGACTATACGTTGAACGTTGTTACAAATAGGGTGTTGTACTATCACCCAAAAAAAAAATTCCGCACTATCTTTGGACACCCGGTATAATTGGCCATTTCTACATAAAATGTTGTTTTCGAAAAAATAAAGCATTTATGGGTGAACTTATCCTCGGTTTATTCAGTCACCACCGGCGAAATGTCGATGCTTGCCTGACAGGGCAAACCAGGGAAGACAGATGAACTAACTGAATAAAGCTTTATCACTGAGAGTACCTCGACAGTCTTCAATTTTTGTCTATTGAGTTGTGTTAAGATAAAAAGGGGTACAAACAGATTCTAAGTTTCTATGGAACTAATAGATACAAATACAAAGAACTTATGATAAAATGTCTCAAATGTGGGAGTCATGCACGTCAATAAACGAAGTATCGAGTATCCTGCTCTTGTTAAACTTGTTTAATTTTATTGTAGTGATTAAACAAATTTGCCTCCAATAATGCCCCTTACCCATCACTTGTGGTGAAACTGCTTACGAAATAAGTAAAGAATTGCCGGCCAACAGAATCCGACAGTTTACAAAAGCAAACAAAATCATTTTTCAGCTGATATACAATTTAATGAAATATGTACAGATTACCTAGAAAAAAATTCCTACCCTAAGGAAGGAAACCCTTTAAAGCAAGGAGTCTCAGTTGTATAAACGGAACTAATACCTCTGATTCTTATATCTGCGTACGTTCAAAATTTGTTTGTTAGTTTTCAATTCACGCTCTAACATCAGAGTGAAGAATCTTATCATAGCGGTGAAGTAGAGAATAACAGGAATGAATGCCAAACATTGTGAAAATCTCGCCTGCTTTACGCTCATTATAAATAAATTGTCAAAACTGAATTCGTGTCCCGCCATTAGAGGTATTATCCGCCCCAATATTACAAAGAATTGGATCTTCAGAAGAGAAAGCAGATGTCCCAAGTTTCTCCTTTTCATCAACACTACAAAAAGAAAGACGAACACGACAGCTTACGACCGGAAAGATATGAAGGCGGTGACGATGACGACGACGATGATACGAATCCTCAAGGAAGATGGCAGATGTCCAAAGTTTCCCCTTTTTATATGCTGTATATAGATGAAAATGTGAACCGCAGAAGACTGAGAGGTGGGAAGGATGATGACGATGACGACGACGACGACGATGATGATGAATTTTACACGGTGATCATTTTTTCTTTTTTTTATTGTTTGAAACACTTGTGATCCAATAGGTATTTACAAAAGCTTAAACAATTTATTTAAATTTTAAATATTTAATTTCATTGGATTTTTAAAATTTCAATGCATCTTCAATAAGAGACCACATATACAACTACAAATTCAAAAAATTGCAGTATCACCTGAAAATAATTGTTTATTTTATTTTGTATCCGAATTATCACGTAGGCGACTGAAAAGAATATGGATTAGAGACTTCTTGAATGATAATATCGTATTATTAAACCAGATCAGCTGCCAATGGGTAGATTTCTCGCCCGTAGTGTCACAATCACAAATTGAAATCCATCCTGCTGGTTATATGTAATGCATACAGTTGTAGATGAAAATGGTATTTTGTTGTTTATTTCAAATAGTTTTATCGTTATATTAATTACAGCATACTTATTTTAATGTAAACCAAATTAAGCGAGTTCAAAAATTCATGAGTTTTAATAAAAATCATTTAATTACGATGATTTGAAAGAAAATTCACTAAAACATCGGATAATCATAGATAGAAAAAAATAGAAAAATTGTTAGTTAATCTATCACTAAATGATTTGCCGGTGTTTTTGTGAATTTTATCTCCAATCACATAATTAAATATTTTTTATAAAAACTACGTATAGACACCAATACTTTAACCAATTAGCAACTAGGTATCTCTTTTCGAATCCAAACATACACTTCAGTTCTATGTTGGCACTCATGAAACTTCTTTTTCGTAGTTGATTTTCAAATGAACTTGTTTGTTATAAGGACATTGCCTCCGTCCAAAAACGAAAAAAAATTCAAAGCGTAAAGGGTGTCCGCTAAAAGTGAAAAGAGAAAAGAACAATAGCACCATAACAATGGGATCCCATTATTTACCATCAAACCACTAAATGATTTTTCGGTGTTTTGGTGAATGTTTTATCAATCCATCATAATAAAAAAAAATTTAATTAAAATTCCTTAATTTCGATTTTGTTTAATTTGGTTTACATTAAAATAAGTATGTTGTAATTAATAAAACGATAAAACTTTTTATAGAAAATGAAATAAACAACTAAATGAAATAAAAACAGAAACGAGTGTCCGATTTTTGTCTTTGAGTGTATATTTATCCTATGGATGCATATGCATGTTATGATCAGTATGATCCGTGTATAATGCCACGTCTACATTGAATTAACAAACAACAAAAAATTTTGAGAATTCCACTTGATGTCCGGGGGTGATAAAGCTGTAGTTTCTTCGATCTCTATCTCTCGCTGATTTGGTCTGTTACTATATGCAAGGATAGGCAGATTTAAATGATCGGAAACTACCAAACTAGCACACGTATTAAGCCGTTTTATACATATTTCAAACTCAGTGATTACTATTGACAACATTTTCAAAGAACGTTGTAAAGAATTGAACACTTACATCTACTACTATCTCACTGTATGAAAATTGTTAAACTAGGAATTAATGTAATTAATGAAAGTAGTTGAGGAAAAACGTCCAACTTTTTGATAAAATTAAAACGCACAGTATTCAACATTTGTTATACCGTAAACGAAATAGCACCACAACATTAATTATTTTTAAAAAATAACATAAAAACCACAATCATTACATAAAATGGGAAATATATCTGAAAAATACCAGGCTGATGTTTAAATTGTATTTTTCGCATTTCTTCTTTCTTTTTTATGTGAGTTTTCCTTTTCATTTTCTGGAAGTGTTAAGATGATGAACTACAACCTTCCGAATTCTAATTCCATAATTAGAGGAGCCGTAAAAAGTTCCCCAAATGCAAAAATGAAAAAAATTTACATGCAATAAAGATTTAGATTTACATTGGCTCAAATCAGCACATTTACCTACTATAATGCATTGAGCATCAACAATTGTCATATCAATCTGATTGGTTGAAGCGCCGAACATGTCGGGAATGGAGAGAACCGCGGCAGTCTCTCTTAGATGTTTCCTGAGGTCGGAAGATTCTTAAATTGAAGAAAATTTGCGGAATTGAGCCTTGACTGAATTCATCGTCTTCTCAGACTACAGTTTGTCGACTTCGCATCATATCTTTTTTTCAACGCCAGTGAGCCTTTGTTTTAATTTTTTGTATTTTTTATTAATGAATGCGTTTGGTGATTTATTTCTTATTTAAAAATAATGTGCTGAAGCACGGCAGAGCCGCTATTCTTTTGTTGTTGTTCTCTTTTTTTGCATTTTAATTAAAATCCTTTTTTATATACAATTGTAATCAAATCATTTTTTTAAAATTCCTTTGCCACTATTCTTCGGACGGGGAAGGATCCACAAAATTTAGGTCTTAATTTATTGGTTTTCCCAGTAATACGACATAGTTCGTCATACTACATACTACAAACATGTGCAGAGTTGAGACTATTACTTCTCGCAGTCCACCGGCAAATCCAGCTTTTGTAATTTACAATAAATTACCGACAGGCCTCGTGAATTACCCACCTCGGGGTTGGCAGTACAGGGTCAGACTTCGGTCTTATCCGTCCATCCAACGAGGTTCCAAATCCAATCAACTCTCATTCTTAAATACATTCTTAACTATTTACATTCCATTCACTCACTTGGTGGTAGAGTACTCGATATTCCACCATCACCTTTATATTTAACTGTGTAACACTTTTATTTAAGCGTATTCCATATTCCACCATCGACCCTCTCACACATTCACTCCCAACACATGCTAGGGCCACAAAAGTATATACAATAAAACAATACTGTTTCCTCCAAGAATCAGAACTGAGGACCCAAATACTCGCTACTGTGCTTTAGCACAATTCTCATATCGGGTGGCTTTCCTTCGCGCTATCTATATGAAGCCAAGGAATTGCACCCTTCAATTAGGTGGGGACATCAAGCAACCTTTCTCTCCATGCCAGACACCTATGCAGGCTTTGGCCCAAGGTCTCAACCTCGCATGGCCTATAAGGAAAAGAAAAACAGATTGTAGGAGATCATCATTCTCACCACTTTCAAAATTTTCAATTAAGAATTAGACAAAAATAAAATTATAAATTATTGCAAGACTTTGGGAAATAAAAATCAAGTAATACACCATAAAAGATGAAACTTCAGAAAAATATACTATAGTATGAATTACAAAAACAAAGTTTATGTGTGAGGATACATTTTTAATAAATGACTTGTTATTTTTGCTTTTTATAATGAAGTATATACATAATTTCGTAAATGTACGTTTTTTAATCTGTTCAAGATGGGGCACGATGGGGAGCTGGACATTTGTGGAAAATTTATCAAGTGCTGCATGTTCGTAGCAAATGTCATCATGTTCGTAAGTAACAAGAAAGCACGTTTTTCTTCTTTTTTTAATTTTTCCTGTTGTAGATTGGCGGTGTAGTCATTGTGATTCTCGGGGTGTGGACAATCCAGGAAAAAGGTTTCATAAACGCCCTGGTGGGCACCAACCTCTTCCTTGGTTCTGTTTACATTTTAATATTCTGTGGAGTTGCCTTGTGTGGTGTATCGTTCTCCGGCTGCCTGGCTTCTGTAAGAGAGATGAAATGTCTGCTCCTAACGGTAAGAAGACACGTTAAAACCATTCTAAATTTAAAACCAAGCCAATAAATGTTTTGAACATCGACAATTTTATATTTTGGGTGATTTCTTGTCGAGATCAGACATGTCCTTTTGCAAAGGGTAAAATAGAACCCAAGACTTAAATCAAAGGCGGTAGAACAAACCCAACCCTGAAGAAGAAGAAATTCCGAAACATAAATTAAACAAACATTAATAAATGACTTGTTATTTTTGGCAGAAAAGGTGACCGTAAACGGCCAAACTACAAACATAATTATTTCAATTAATTATAATTTTTATCTAAAGTCTTGGTTGAGATGAAAAAGTTAGTGTCACGAGCGGGATTGAACCCACGACCTTCGGCTCGAATCCCGCTCGTGGCAATAACTTTTCATCTCACCAAGAGTTTAGATTAAAAAGTATAATTAATTGAAAAAATTTAAATAGGTCAATTATGAACGCTAATCATATATGGATTTATATATGCAAAAGCTCCTAATACAATTTTTTCCTGTTTTGTGCAATTATGTTGGATGGTCAAATCTTTTAGAATGTTTTAGGACTCAGAATAAAATAATAAAACATAACTTTATTGACTGGGAGTTTTTCTGGGGTGTTGTTGAGTGTGTAGAGCTGATAGTTGAGGCCGGGACCGTGTAAGCCGTTAGTAAAGGTCCAAGGCCGCGTTCAGAAATAGCGACTCAGTAGACTCGGCACTCGGCAGTGGAAGAAGGGACTCGTACAGCAAGTAGCCAAGTCGGTTTGTTGAGAAAGCGAGTACCCTTCCTATTATGCTGGTGTTGTGTTAGTCGGTAGTCCACGTGGATTTGAATAGCGAGAGCATGTCGAGAAAACGAGTCTGAAGTCAGCGGGGCTGTGCCTCTGCTTACGTACAAAATTGCTCCACGTTGATTGGCTGCAGAGTAGCAGTCGAGGTCATTATGAACTGATGGTGAAGCCTAGTGGGTACTGTCGCAGGTGGTCACCACATAGCTCCACAAAGACTGACCCTCTGAAGGCATCAGACCATTGAAGTAGAATGGCGTGTTCTTGGATTTAGTACCTATAATGATCAATGAGTTGGGTCGGCAGAGAAGCTTTCATGTATCAAGAGCACTATTGATAGGAAGCTCTCAGAGGAGGACTCGAAGAAGTGTCAGCCTCACCTGATTTAGGATAAACCAAGCGAGATTGACACATGGACACCTACTTTTGGGCCAATGCCCGTGTATGTGTCCAGCTGCAGGGAAAGGTTGCTCAATGTATCTCACTTAGTTGAAGGGTGCAATTCTTGGCTCCATATAGAGAGCGTGTATGTATGTCGTTTGTTATGAGAATTGTGCTAGAGCACAGCAGCAAATATTTGGGTTCCCTGGAATCCGCCCAAATCTTGGAGGAAACAGGGTTGTTTTACTGTATTTACTTTTGTGTTTCTATCATGTGTTGAGTGAATGTATTTATTAGTGATAAATCTAAATCCAAATCCAAAAGCATAATGATCAGTCTTTCTATGAGTGATGCAGAAATATGGAATTGTGTGAAATTGAAGCATTAAAGAGTTTGTGGGAATGTTTCACCCAGCTATAAGGACAAGATCGAAGTCTAATCCCGGATTGCAAACAAAGTAGGGTAAATAATTCTCATGGCACACACATATGAGAAGTCTGCTTCCAATAATACATAATAATGATAAAGCCATATAGAGTAAGTTTATCTTGTAAATTCATAATATATTCTCCATTTTCATTGATGATTACAATTTTGTCATGTCGAGTTGAAACCAACTATGTAATTAATTAATATTAATAATTTTGTCCACACCAAGAATGAAATATGAAGCGTGGAGAGAAATTTTTCTGGTTTGGCTGGCACACTTAATTTTCATTGTTAGTTTTTCTTACATGAATTTAGTATTTAATTGGAAATTTATAAATCCTTCCATGGTACATTTTCACCCTGAATGACCAGGTACGTTCTATTTACACTGGTATTCTAAATGTATAGCAAGTTAAAATAAAAATATATCATGGTGCTTAATGAGTAAATATTTAATAGTGCAACTTTTTTTTAACATCTTTTGATGTTACTTTTATAGCAATTGCTATGCATAGTGTATAATTGATTTTTCTACCGATAAATTACTTCTTTCTTTTCTTTTTTTATTGTTATCATGGTTGTTATGCAGACAAACAAAATGTTAGGTTTTTTTATGAATGAAAACAACAAGGGTTCTTATAGTTTTACACTAAATGTATTTTCAAAACTATTTTACAGGCTCCTCTTCTTCAGATTATCTGGGGTCCAGTATGTAAGGCTTCAAAAAGCGCTTAATGTAAAACTAAACTACCATGTTGTCTTTGTTCATCATTTCAACTGAAAATAACAATTTCTTAAAATTAAGAGAAAAACTTTTTTCTCAGTACGCTCTGGCAGTGTTTATCCTGTTGGTGATGATACTCATAGGTGGAATCCTCGCATACACTTTCAGGGATAAAGTTCACTCTTCAATGGAACAGGAAATGTATTCTTCTATTAAAACATATGGTGAAGAAAAGGCTTTGAGCAGAGCTTGGGATGACATTCAAGAAGTGGTAATTGACATATTACACAAACATTTAAAAAATTATATAAACAATTATATCTTATTTTTCTCAATTTACCAGCTCGAATGTTGCGGCGTAATGTCCTACACAGATTGGAAAGGTCACATTCCGGAAAGCTGCTGTAGACTCTCTTCTGGAAAAGTAGCGTTCACAGTTGCAAACAGTTTTCTATTTTCAATGTGTTTTAAACTGTATTTGTTTTTTGTTTGTATTTTGCAGAGGGTGAACTGCAAAGTATTTCAAACATCTCTTAATATCTGGAAAAACGGTTGTTTAAATGTTACTGAAGAATTTATAAGGGCACATGCTGCGATTGTTGCAGGAGCTGCTGTCTCTGTATCGTCTCTCATGGTAAGACAATAAATATTTTGTTTTGCTGTATTTATTCATAATTTTATTATTACAATACAATGTTTTAAAACAACAAATCGAAATGCTGTTCTTACAGTGAAATAAATGTTTTAAAAAATTGTAAGTTTATGTCAAACTTGATGGTGTTGAGTTAGGCTTTGCTTGCACCGTTTTTGTTACCAAGAAATATTTGTTTATTAGAAAAATGAATAATGATCTCTCTATCCTTTTCTCAAACCGTTCTGTACTTCTTAATGCTAAGTTCAAGGTTTTTAAGGCAGTGTGTCGCTCCTTGATTTACTATGCTTGCCAGGTTTGAGGGTATCGGCAGTTCGATGTAATCTAATCATTTCAGCACTTTTTAGTTGTAAATTGTTTCGTATGCTGAATTTCACACCTAACTAAATGTTATATATCAACCTTTTGTTTGTTTACAACTCCACCATTCATACCTAAGTAGGACTGAGCACACTCTGATTGCTTGACGACTACAGACTCTCCAAAATTATAACACTTGAATAGCGTTGAAATTAACGCTAATTTATCTTGGTTTAAAGGCACTCAATTCACTAGCCCAAGATATTAATATTAACATTTTGTTCAGCTTTAACAACCATGAAAACTGGTTCACTAAATTTTCAGCTTTTGAATCATTCATTCGTTCTAGGCATTTTGAACGTTATACCGAACTGACTCTTAGATCCAATAGATTTACACTCTACAAAGAACTTGATCATTCAAAGGCATTTTTCAACTTGTCCAAAACAATCTAAAGTTATTCTCTATCAATTTAAGCTGGTTCTTCTAACTCAGGTGCAAACTCATCTACCTGATCCTTCGTGAGGGAATACTTCCTTTTTGGCTGAGTGTCCCATTCTGTTGGAGTTTGAAGTGCTCTTTTTGAGAACTACTAGAGTTTTGAAAGTATGTTTGACAGCAAAACTTAATTTCCTGGATTGTTCGTTGACCTGGTTGGTTTTGCAAAGTGTGCAGTGTAGTACCGCAGACAGCTTAGGTAGTGATTCAATTTTTAATTTTATATTGAGGCACTAAGAGTTTACTAATATTGGGTTGTCCGGAAAATAATGCAGGATTTTAAGTTTTCATTAAAAAAAATCTATATAAAATATTCTGTTTACGTTTACAGGATTACTCATTTGTTCCAAATGATATTGTTTGTTTACCTCTGTAGCATTCCGCTACTTGGAAATAATTCAGTCATCCTTATAATGTCAAAGCGAGAATTTCGTACGATTTTCTTTTACGAGTTTAAACTCGGCCGAAGCGGAGCCCAAACGGCTAGAAACATTAACCAAGTCTGGGGCGAGGGTTGTGTTAATGAGTGCACTGTGCAAAGGTGGTTTAAAAAATTTCGGGAGGGAGATTTCAGCCTTGAAGATGAAGAAGGTCGTGGAAGGCCTTCCTCTCTTAATGATGATGTTCTGCGATCAGTGGTGGGTGCAGAGCAACTCAAAGTCAGTAAAACGACCGTCGCTGACCACCTCAAGGAGATTGGAAAAGTGAAAAAACTCGAAAATTGGGTTCCACACTCATTAAACGATCGCCAAAAAAATCAGCGCTTTGATGTTTGTGCATCACTTCTTTGTCGAAACAAAAATGACCCATTTCTGGCCAGAATTGTTACATGTGACGAAAAGTGGATTCTCTACGATAACACTAGACGTTCTGGACAGTGGCTCGACAAAGGAGAAGCTCCAATACATTTTCCAAAGCCCCCAACTCATCAAAAAAAGGTAATGGTTACGGTATGGTGGGCTTCATTTGGTTTAATACACTACAGCTTCTTAAATCCTGGCGAAACCATCAATGCTGAATCATACTGTAACCAAATTAATACCATGCATCAGAAATTGGCAGTAATGAAGCCCTCTTTGGTCAATCGGAAAGGGCCCATTTTGTTGCATGACAACGCTCGACCACATGTGTCACGTGTAACGTCACAAAAATTATTGGAGCTTGGCTATGAAACTTTGCCTCACCCACCCTACTCTCCGGACCTCTCGCCTACTGACTACCATTTTTTTAGACACCTGGACCACTACTTAGAACACATAATATTCAAAAATCAAACGGAACTGGAAAATGCATTTATTGACTTTATCAATTCTAAAAATTCTGAATTCTACTCAGACGGAATTAATAAGTTACCAACACGTTGGGAGAAATGTATTGAGAGTATGGGAAATTATTTTGATTAAAGAACATTGCTTTAAAGTAACTAGTTTCTTTTTTTTTGTTTAATACCAAAATCCTGCATTATTTTCCGGACAACCCAATACTAATACTACTTTAATACTTTTATTAATCTTTGTATGTACATATTATCTTCTATTTAAGTAAATCTCAGCCGGCCGCCACCTACAGCATACAGTTTAATGATCAATGCTTTTAATAAGCATTCTTTTAATCAAAATTTTTATTAGTTTTTTTACTTATACATTCAAAATGAATAATGTCACTTATAAGAGTTATAGGTAGAGATTGGTAATGTTAATGCAGTCAACAAACTTTCAGATGATTGGTTTCATATTCAGCTTAATTGCTCATAGGATAGTAGTAGAAAAAGAACAAATACAAGAAGATGAAGATGAAGAGGAGGACAATTAAAACAAGTAACTTGTGCAAGCAGAATTTTTAAGCTCTGAATAAATTCAAGCAAACTTTTTAAATGAGATCCTAAAAACTGTAAGTTTTTAAGAAAGAACTATTTATTTAGGCACTTGTTACTAATTTAAAAATTAGTTCTAAAATATTGATGGAAGAAGGGCACAGTCATGATTAAAACATCTTTCTCTCAAAACTTATCGTATTCAACCTAAATGAATGTAAACACAATCTGCTTCTAGACATGTTAAAAACTGAAAAATATTTTAAATAAAAAATTTTTATTTAAAAATATTTATTTTATCACTATGTAGTGATGTCGGCCTTATGAGTGACTAACTCATAGTTTATTTTTTGTCCTACTGAAATTTATTGTTGTTGTGGAAATTGTTATTTATGTACTGTTAACATTTGCAGTAATTGCTCTGTATGAAATCCAGCATATGACAGTAGCTGCCCCATATTTCAAGAAAAAATATTCACACCAATGAAAAGGTGTTCTTTAAACAAGCAGAAAACATACTCCTCCCCTCATGCAAAGACAAAATTAAATATTTACTCAAGCTGTAGTTGATTCTCCAGATCCATCAGCATCCTCATTACTCCCACCATTGATTAATAATGTTGGTGAAGTTTACAGTTCGAAAACCCAACACAAAACTTCACTTCCAATAAACATTTTCATCAATAATAATGACCCTTTAAATCTCCCTTTCTCTAATTTAGAGTTCACGATAACTTTGAAATGCTGCGATTGACTAATTAAACACTTAACAGTATCTGATCAATGTTTCTTATGCGACAACCAGCTTTCACTACGATATTGATAAGGATTCGGGTTGTGGTCTAACCCAGTCTTGGTTAGACCACAACCCGAATCCTAATCACTATTTGATCAAAGCAAAGTACAAAATATTATTAATAAAACTATCGGGAAGATACTGCCCAAAATTTGGAGAGCTACTATCAAAATTCAAATTCTTAAAAAATCTTTAGTCTGTTATTTAAGAAAATTATTTACAAAACCAACTGTACAAAGGATTAACTGGTTTGTAGAACTGAAAAACTACTCCCAGAGTGGCAATTAAGTGGTTTTTGTAAAAATCAGAGGACGAGAGACAGCTGAGTTTTTCTTCACATCTTTGTTATATTATCTTCTGATATGTATCTACATTTGTCTGTCCATGCAGTGCTATATGTTAATGATTTGGTCATATTTTGAAGTGATAAAACCTAAATAACTCGCAAAAAATTCAACCACATTAAAGAAAATCAATAATTGGTTAGCAAACAACAGATTCAAAATTTACATATCTAAACTTTTTTTAGGTCTTAACTTAGTCAATCAAACATTTAAACTGGAAATGGCACACAACAAAATTAAAGCAATCTTAACAATCCTCTTTTAAGCTCATTTGGTCACTTAGCATGGGGTGTTGACAGAAAGAGTATGCTTACTTTTTATAGATTCTTAGTCCGAAGAAAATTATAATACAGCTGTAATGCTTATGTCCCAGCAAATGGGCAAAGATTAATTTTAATAATAAATAAATAAACCCAATACATGTGACTTAAAATTGTAATAGGAGTATTTCAATCTAATACAGTTAATAGCCTGTATGTGGATATTGGTGAACTTCTCCAACCATACTTCACACTTACACTTCAATTACAGGTCATATGAGAGACCTATATTTCCCTATAAATCACCCCCCCCCCTTATAAATCCCAAGGCCTATATTATTATAATAATATTTCCATACTTTTACATCTACTTTGTCAACTTTTTACCAATATTACTCCTTTAACCACCTACAACTGCAACAATAGTAGAGGTAAGTCATCCCAATCAAGGTCTTAGTAATTCTATGTCTGCCATTATCTTCACCCAAGCAGGAATTTTTGAAAATTAAGTTCATACACATGGAATTTACTTAAACGGATGGATCGAAATCCTACTATTGTTTGACACCTTATTGTATTGGTGTAAATTCTTTCCCAATGCAGAGACATTTTGGTTAGTGTTAGTGGATGCAACAGTCTTTGGTGGCAATCCAACAACAAAGATGGCAAAATGCCTTAACTCACTTGACGACAGACCAAATTTGATCTGCAAATTGTCATTGTCGAAAAGCAGTATCGAGACCCCATTTATTCCACTATTTTCGGTGATTGGTTATGTGCTACTGCCACCAGCAATGAGAAGCTGATGGCATTCTTAGGTAGACCAAAATGATCAGAAAACACCAAATTTAAAAAAAATGTTTGTCTTCAGTTGTCCATTTATATAGTGGCTCATCTTGTTTGAAGGACTCTTTAAACCCATATTCTTACAAATATGATGGACAGTTAAATTTTTGATGATTTAATAATTTATAAATAAATGTACAATACTTTGGTTTGTAATACTTACAAATTTCACAATTGAAAATTTATTTTCTATCATTAAGCCTGTGATGCATAATTTACAAGTATAAACAATGATATTTATTAGAAACCTATGACAGGATTCAAAATCAAGTGAATTTGAGAAAATTATGTCACAATACTGAAGGAAGGGAGTTACAAGCCAGACATTAGACACTAATAATATAATTTTGTTGGTAAATAAATTATTTGTTTCAGCTCCTTGGTTTTATCTTCGGCCTGGTGATGTTCAAGATGATCGAATGAGTGATGACTCAGATAAGTGAAGCGAACGATCAACCTTCGTCCCACATGTACATATATTTTACATAAGGCCTTCTTCGACTTTTTCTTGAATAATTATTGTACATACGACACTTAGTTTCAAATGTTACCACTATTTATAAACAAATGTAGATATGAATTATCGATTATTCTATTATTTGTAAATTATTTATCGATAAACTATATTTTTGTAATTGCTTGAAAGTATCAAGTAATTTAGAATGAGTAAAAAATTGTTCATTTCATTTATTCAGCCTGAATATCCATGAGCAACTTATGCACTACATTTTCGCTAAGATTTATATATTAATAGACCAGAAAATGTTATATACATTGCCAACAGAAATACACACAAAGCAATATTATAAAAGCTAGAAATTTCCTAAAAGTAGCAATACATTTTTTTCTAGATTGCTAATTTTTTATCTGGATCATTATGTTTAATGGTGCCATTACAAATTATTACGCTTGTGGTAAAAATAAATATAAAAAACATGTACATTGTTGTGTTTCACTCATCAATCAAAACAAATATCCTTTTAGGTGGTCAGTCAACTGTCTCTAGAAAAAAACCTAGTATGAATTTATTGTTTTCTAGCACCTGAAAGTTACACTTTTTTAGCCACAGTTCAAACTTTTAACTGCCACTCAACACCCCCCCCCCCCAAGGGAGAATAATCAAAAGAAACTTTCGGATTTGCGATCTTCCTGGGCTAGTGAATATCAAGTACCAACGGTTATTCCGCATCAATTGTTTCCAAAGATCTGTACTAAGAGATGAAAACAGTCCGACTAAATATGGCATACTCCGGAGAGGTACACCAAAGTGAGCAATCTAATTTGCATAAAATGTTCTGCTATGGTTGTTAGTCATTTTTCCATTCGAATGGCCTCAGGCCATCTAGTAAACCTGTCTATAAATGTCAAACAATATTTCTTGTTAATGGTAGTCGACCAACTATAACAAATGTATAATATTACCATTGCTTACTGATTAATTATTGATTACTGAAAGTAAATGAAATTAAAAATTAAGTGGTGCCACTTCCTTTAAAATATGGTGAATGTCAAAACATTTCAAATAGATGATTTCTTTCTAGGGCTTCAACAGTGAACAGTCCTGATTAGGTGATGTCAACAATATGAAGGAAGACATCAAAGAACACAAAAATTGTAATGACGGAGGCCAACAATGAGTTTTCTGAGATACCTTCTGTATGTACATATACTAACATAGGTTTGCCATGAGTTTGACAACTTCTTGGTCTTTCTTTTTTAATTCCACTAAACTTGGGAGATTTATAAGGGGAGGAAGTTCATCAAATCATGTTAACGAATCTGCCATGGTATTAATACAAATGGTAGGTATAGAATGTTGGTGGTGAATTCACTGAAATAGCTGAGGTGTTTACTTCTTCAAGGTTCAGTAGAGTCTGGTTTCTGTAAAAGTGGCAGATGCAAAATATTTTGCACTTCGCCATCACGTCAGCTTAATTGCTTCTTAGATTGCAACTAATTCATAATCCTATGTTCAGTAATTATTTTGTGATTCTGATAATGTCCATGAAAAAAATCCTAGGTGATTCTATATTATTACAAAATATAAATCCCAAAAATTTTCTTCGGGTTCAACCTAGTGACCCAGTTGTTTGTAGGAACCATGTAAACTGAAGCATTTCTGTGCAATGCAGTTGTAGTTCTGATTGGGTATAGATGACCTGGAAAATGTTGGTAGTGAGTGAAATGCCTTGTGTAGCTGTCACACAAATTACCCCTTTCTGCTCGTAGCTAGCTTTAGCAGCTTCGAGTCTTTTTTGTTGAGCCCCTGCTGAGACCCAGAGACTTCATGCTAGGTCGGGGTTCTTGGAATGGTGGGGGCGTTACTGCCCATCGCAATCTTCGAGACTCGAGACCCAGACTTATATAGGCATATCTTTATAGATATAAATCTGCTTATGTAGTAAATTACAGGGTTGCAGGTTGATGTTACCTGCAGGTTGCAAGCTCGTCGGCTCCAGCTTAGTGAATACTGAAATACTGAATAGTGCCTAACTGCCTACTGCCTAGTGCAGTAGTGCCTAGTGCCCGTAAACGGAAGGCAGAACCGTAGCTGTAGCACTGGCGATGCCTAGTGGAAAGTTTAGTTTACTATACAACCAAAAGGAAACATTTCCTTTGAAAATCAAAGTATATTAGGAAATTAATTGTTAAATTTACTCAAATGTACATGGTCCAAAATCCATATAAGCTTGAAATACGCTTTAGGAATTCTAACAAATAATTTTCTTAACTCTCACAAATCTCATGAAACCCCACTTGAATTTAGCGGCATAATTATGTATGGTAAGTCGTGGTAAAGCCGTTTTCAAAATCGGCGTATCTTAACGGGCGAGCTGATTCATTGCTATAGATCAAAAAGCGAACTGGTACAAGTAGTGTACCGTTCAAATAACAGACTTAGTGACAAAGCGGCTGGTTGTACGAAAACTTTAACTTTCCTCCACGAGTTTACCGTGGCACCTACCGTGAAATCTTGTTGAGAACGGTGGAAACATTACTACTAAATTGTTTTTAAAAAACTGTTTGTTAAAAAAATTTCAACCTACTTACCAACGATCAAAGGACCAGAAGTGCAACATGAAGATACGCTAACAATCCTTTTTTTTAATCTCGAACTTAACTAGGTGTATGTTCGTATTATACGAAAATGGATTTTAACAATTGTCGTGCAACAAAGGTACGTTGAAAATAAATTTACTGTTTTTTAGTAGTTATTAATATATTTAGGCATTATTGCTAGGAGTTGTTACAAGATCAAGGTATAAATTTAACAGAATTATGAATCTAAAGATTAAAACTAAAACTAAGGCTAAGAGGCATAAATCTCCACAGAAAGTTGACATTAATTTAATCTTATTGCTTAATTTAACGACAATTATCCAATCTCTATCTAATGCCAGAGATACTTAATTACAGATAATAAATAGTACTAATAATATATACAATACAAATATGTATCTGATAACAAAAAATAAATATTACTTAATATACATATAACAATTAATTCTAACAAGAAAAAAAGTTAAAATAATAAAAACAATGATTAGAAATATAGCAAGTCATATTAGTATATCTAATAACAATCTAAATATTCTGTAAACAGGAAAATGAAGTCTTTTTGTGGTTTCTATCACAGATTTATCTATCTAATTTATAAATCTGAGTAGAATCATCATTCACAAAAAGTGAATCTACATAATCACGCCACCTTCAGAATTTCTGTGGAAAATGAAGACGTCAAATATATATATATACTTGGCCTATATTGTAATTCTTTAAATCATAAAGGATGTGTCCCTCTCTTAAAGAATCAAATTTCCTGCAATTTAACAAACTTACAGACATTTTGTTCGCATAAATTTATTGTTTTGTAAGAATAGTCGAAAATTCAGGGTTTCTTCATTGTTTTAATGTAAAGTTATAATGCGTTTTGCCATCCTTTGTTTTCAATGATGTCTACCTTCAGTACGCCTGATAGCAAATTTTCAACAACTCGAAGCTTTCTTGACGCAAGCACTGCTTCTTGACTGTAGTAAAAGCCAAATTCTTCGATTTAGTTCAACACTTTCTTTGACCCGTTTGGCCACTAGAGGGAATGACAAAAGAAAATGAAATTTAATATAAAAGTCACATGTAATAAGCAAAACTGTTTATTAAAAAAAAAATTAATCCAAACCTTTTCGGCAAACAATTCAAAATTCCTGTGGCATTAGATATATGATTCCTGACCAAGTTTGAGAAAGAGACATACATGTAAGAGTTGAGCACGGGGGACATCGTCGGAAGTATTTCACATCTTATTCGGTTTCGCTGATATCGGCATCGAATCGGTGACTCGCTGAAGCGAATAGAATACAATAGCTAATTATACAAGGCGGCGACTTCCATATCTCCGACTCTTCCAGATCGACGATACAAACACAGATCAGCGATGGAGTACTTCCTCACCACATACAGCAAGGATTATAAATGGCCCGTTCCTTTTTCTGGCGTGAAGTAAGTCAACGAGTCATATGGGACTTTAGTAAATTTGAATTTAACAGAAGCATAACTTATGTTATCAATTTTTTTTTTTTAAATTGCTATGCACCATAGTATTTCAACAATAAATAGCATATCGCCAAATGCACGTGCACTCTCGTCTGAAGAAATTATTGACGATTTGAAATCAATAGTCAAAGTTCAACGGAATACATAACGTACAAAGAAATTGTTACACTATGGAAACTGAATTTTACAGTAAAGTAAAATCTAAATAGTTGTAGCATAAAATATGTCGTATAAATGAAATTATTTTATTTGTAAAAACTGCCATTTTATCATTTAAAGTATGAAATTATACAATGCAAGAAAAGGTTTTTTATGTATATACTAATGTATTTAAACAGGAAAATTGCATAAATTAAATTTTTATTCCAATAATCTTTAAATTAATTTACCACTTTTAAAAGCTTTATTGATAAAATATATATTTTCACAATTACAATTTAATTGGTATATATTTAGATATTTTACCTTACCTTTTGTTCATATAAATTTTGTTGCACTATATGTAATAGTAATTTGTTATCGTCATGATAGTTACGAAGGTACAAAAACGGGGCATCTATGGTTTAAAAGGCCTGTAATATTTCATGCTTAGAATTATTTACGTATATTTTCGCTCCCTCTAAACATCGATTTATTTTTATTTATTTATTTTTGTCACGCTCCGAATCACAAGTACCCTTGAAAATGATATAAGTTTTGATGAACCGCTTGTTAATATCAGATTGAAAAACGAATCAAGGCTGTATTTTATTATTATTTGGAGATAGTGAGATGAGGACTGGCGTGACGTAATTTTAGAAAAATATATTCTGTATCGTGCCAACGTTTCGATCTTTATATCGATCATCTTCAGGGCCTGGGATTTATAAACATTGTTTAAATATACATGTAAAATGTGAAAAAATGAATTTATACAATGATATAAATTTTAGGCTCAATCAAAGTATTTGTACTTAGTGTTTGTTTTCTATGTAGATGTGTCATTACTGTGTGTTATCTCTCTGGCACTCTCAATGCGACACATAGTAATGACACATCGACACAGAAAAGAAATTCTTTGATTGAGTCTAAAATTTATATCATTGTATAAATTCATTTTTTCACATTTTACATGAATTTATATAAATAATATTATATAAGATAATTTAAACAATGTTTATACATCCCAGGCCCTGAAGATGATCTCAATAAAGATCAAAACGTTGGCACGATAAAGAAAATGTTTTTCTAAATCTACATCGCACCAGACCGCATCTCACGATCTCCACATAATCATTAATCAACGGTCACTAAATACCACATACTGTATTTTATGAAAATAAATAATAACACTCCGTTTTTTAAGAAAGCAACATTATGTCGTACGTCAATAGTAAAACGAGTGAAAGTTAAGAAATTATTAGATATTTATATAAAATTAATAAAAGGATGGGCTGTAAACCGAGTAATAGATAAATAGCAAAAGATAAATGTAACTCCTTTCCCCGGCTAGATAATTCAACATACATATACGTACATTATTATAAAAACAAATACTAAGTGATAGAAATTATAAATATGTGGTGAGTTTGTCCATTCACTTTTTTTCAAAGGACGTTAAATGCTTTGACTAGCAAATTAATATAAATAATAAAGATCGGGTATGTTGTTTCAATTTTTTCAAAACCCTTTGACCTTCAAGGTTCAAAACCTTTGAAAAAAGTATTAAGTAATACTGACATGTAAATGTTTCATAACCAGATACTTCACTTTTAATATGCCCTAATCATTTATTTGTTTAAACCAATGTATGACCACTTTACTCACGAATAATCTGCATCTCGTTATTGTCTGGATGAAAAAAAAGCCAAGTATTCGACAATTCAAATTCAAGATATCTTTGCGATTGCTTTGCCCTAATGATGACCTTAAAATAGATCGAAAGCCTGGCAGATAACAATAGAATTTTTTTCATCCAGGCCATATCGAGATCCAAATTATTCATAAACCAATTATTTGCACAGACATAGCTTCTTTGTGTAATGTATATCTGTCTGAAGATTTTTTTCTTTTTTTACGTCAAGCTATATATCTCATTGGTCATATTTGTTAAGGTGGAATCCGACGAGCGGGAGCACAGGGGCTCTCTCTCCCTATTTTTTTCTTGTTTTGTTCTTATTTTGGGGATATAGAGCCTATTTTCGAGTACGTGGAAGAAATTACTTTATAAAACTGCACCCTTATTCGAGCTAATACATTTCAGGGAGGACAAACGGCTCGTAAATTTGGAGAAACAGTTACGAGTGCAAACGTCAGGCGGGGGTGACAACGACCCCTGCTGCATAAGGGAGATCCCTCCAATCGAAGCCCTGGAAATACCACCGGCTCAATGTGGAGTCGCCCCGGTCGGGCCCGAATCTAAGTTCGGCCAACCGAATACTTACCTTAGGAAGGTAAATATTTTAAAAATATTAACACTGCAGCTTGCAAATTAATTTTCAATGGATTTTATAAAATATGAGGGGGTTGATTATATTTCGAATGCATTTCAACTTTTGTTTCTTTTTTCCAAGTTGTACAACAAGTATCCATACTTGTACAACATTCTGAGCATAACTCCACCAGAGGAACTCGCAAAAATCGCTTATGCTGATAAATTTCAGACGACGTACAAAGCGGACTACGGCGGAGAAGGTATATTATTTCAAATACGGCTATTCTTGTTAATAATTTTTAGCCAACGGATTATCAGCTGCATTGAAATCAATACGTATTTGTTTAGTAAAATTAATGCATTTCAATACTCTTTTGGTTTTATAATAATAATTATTAGGCTTTGCACCTTTGAAATCGTTTTTGGCCCCCGAAATGCCAGGAGAGATAGATGAAGATTTGCAAAAGGCAGTCGAAATGGATAAATCGTTCCAGTCACACACGACTATCAGGGATACCTTTGGAGAGGTATGTCATCTATTTACAAACAAACAAAAAATGTTTACTATTAAAGAGGCAGAGGAAATGGTGAGACAGACAAAACAATTTCTTCAAGTAAATAGCATGCATTTTTGAACGAACAACAAACAAAATGTCCAAATTAGTCAGAGCAACAGAGGACAAAACCAGACCCGACGATGGTGTCTATTATTCGCTCGTGGTAAACGTTTTTTTTTTTTTTTTTTTTTTTTAACTTTTATACATAGAAATGTTTGTACCTAAGATCTCGACTAGGCATTGGCTACTTTAATGTTAACAAACGTCATAAATTGCGAGTTATTGTGTGGAAAGATGACCAAACTACTAAAATATAAAAACATCAACATTATATATTTAAGAATAAATAGAAGTTTAATTTTTAAAAATATTTGCTTATTTAAACATATTTGATAAACAATAAACTAGTGCAGTACTCGCTTCGGCGGTACATATACATACTAAAATTGGAGCGATACAGAGAAGATTACCATGGCCCCTGAGCAAGGATGACTCGCAAAATCGTGAAGCGTCCACATTTTTTTTTTAACTAGTTCAAAAAAATTACCATTTTCCGTTCGTGGAATAAAATGTCGACTGTATATATAAAAAGTGTTATTCACATTTTTATTTTGTCTTTCTTGTCGTGACCCTCTATCGGAAATAACCGGTAAAAAACTAAATCAGCAAGAATGAAAATTGGGGGATATCTATACCGCTATCAAAATTGGTACTTGAATCTTTTATATCTTCAAAGATATTGTAATAATGTAAACTTGATATATTTCGACTGCACCTCTACCAAGCTGATGACACATTGTTTTGGTTTAGGTCACCCCGACGGAGAGCAGAATCTATACCGATAGCAAGACGGAAGGATGTCAGTGTCCTGCCTCGCAGTCAGTCTGCACTTGTAAGACCCACTCCGAAATTTCTCATCGTGGGCATGCTGCGGGAGAAGATTTTCGAACAAATTTGGATGTGACAGTTTCGCAAGCTCCGCAAATACCGAAGCCTGTGAGCCTTACCAAAATACCAAGGACACCAATCAATCCTAAGAAAGAGGAAGAAGATAAACCACCAGAATACAAAGGTATGTACATATTTCTTAGAAGTTAGGTATGCGACAACAGCCGGCGAAAATCGTCAAACATCTTCTGAGTCATGGCGAATTATTTCTTGCCACTCCCAAAATTAACTTACGATCTGAAAAACCTTATGACAACTCCGTTTATATCATTAGCATAGTTCCTTTTTTAATGATCATGCCAAGCTGCAATTAACATTTTAGTGACCGGGCGATTTTGGTGGTCCTTTGTCATAGGGTGGAGTTGTAGGATGAAGTCCGTGAATATGACTGCTGTCGAGGCAGCGTGAGTAGATAAACTCATTAGCGAGAGAAGGCCCTCGTGCAGCAAGCAGCCATGTTGTATATTGAGAGTCGAGAGACGCTGTAATAGTGTAGTTACTAGTTACTAGTGACAGTAGTGAGTAGTGTGTAGTGTGTACTCAGTACTGTGCTTGCAGTGCAAGGCGCAAGCTCATTGGCTGCAAGGTGAAAGGGGAAACCACCTAGGGACACCTAGTGAATAACTAGTTAACTACAGGTCGTCAGCATCTCTTTCATTTGATTGGCCTGCTGCCTGTCCAAAAATCTGAGCATCAAGCATTAAAATTGCTTCCGGATTGAAAAACACTTAAAAATACAAATAAAAAATTTAAATAGTAGACCCTACTATGCAGTTTCAAAATGCCTGGTGGGAGGCGTTCAGCAGTTGCATATTGAGTCAGCCTAGACACATTTGGTATTGCTGACTGGGATAAATATAGAAGTCACAAGAGCGACCTTCCCCATTGCTCACTGTGCAGTAGTTGCTCTGAACCCAACTTCATAGTTTTATATTTCGCACTATCCCAGACTTCTCATTACATAGAGTGGGTATTTGGCAATTCACAACCAAAATTGTGTCTCTATTATTATTGGTGTTTTTTTTATAAATAAATATAAGCTAATAATATTTGCTGGAAAACCTGCAGGAACTAAAGGCTTAACCCTAACCATCCCTAACTAAACGCTTATATTTATTTTTTAATAACATCATTATGACGTTCCACGGTGCCACACTCAACATCTACTATTATTATAACTAATAAGTACCTTACTTTTAAATTTAAAAAAAAAACTAATTAAAATTATTTTTAAAATGGAATTTAAATATTGTTTAATTTAACACAATGGTTATTAAATTCACTAATTTCGTGGTCCGCTTGACCAATTAATACATTACAATTAATTATGGTTTTTAGTTGAGATGAAAAAAAGTTAATGGCACAAGAGGGATTCGAACCCACGACCTTCAGCTAGATACGCCGCTGCTCTACCACCTGAGCTATCGTGACCTCGATCCACTCGGACATCAACTCCCCATCTCATAAGGTGGGGTTGAGATGGGGAGTTGATGTCCGAGTGGATCGAGGTCACGATAACTCAGGTGGTAGAGCAGCGGCGTATCTAGCCGAAGGTTGTGGGTTCGAATCCCTCTCGTGCCATTAACTTTTTTTCATCTCAACTAAAAACCTTAATTAATTACAATGGTTATTGTCGTTTGCAATGAATTATTTTTTAATCTTCTTCCTTACCTAGCTCAATTTTCTGGTTTTGGTGTATTTCTTAATTCTGGTATTGAAATAAACTTTCATTCAACCAGTTTCTGTGATTATATTCTCCCTCAGTAGATAAGTGGGGTGATTCAACAAAGATCATATGTATTATGAACAACGAGTAGTTTTCATTGCCACTATCACATAACTGTTTATGTACAATTATCTTTCTAAATAAGTGGAGCTTAAACTCAAACACTTGGTTTATCACTGTTTCTTCTACTCCATCTAATATGACTGAACTTACTTATAACCAACGGTCACCAATCACCACACATTACTTATAAATACAATCTTTCCAAATGAACCTGTCTTATTTTATACATGTATGTATTTCAATAATTTGTAGTGTTTTACAAGTCTATCATACATATTGTGCATACTCTACTCAACATTTTCTTTCTTTTTTCAATTGTTACATCAACACCCATTTTAAACTGAATCAGTATCCATACCCTATAACTAAATCACTTACTATGAACTTATAATAAGTAAAAATTGATGAAAAATTGAAATAGTATTCTTTAATTATCAACCAAGAGGAACAATGATTGTGGTCTTGGTTGCCAGAGGAAGAGGTAGGTGGACACATTTTGGTCCTCCAAAAGACCACCCTAGTACCATTTTTACTTTTTCCTTTATTATTCTGAAATGGAAAAAATATTGTAATAGACACAATGTATTATTTTACAATTCTATTCTTTTTTAAATAAACTGTAGTTTTAGAAGGCCAGTAATGTTCTTAGATAATCATGAGGAGAGGAGTGAAAACAGTTCTCATTCACAATTGTCTTCAGGCCCTGGTGAAAGTGGCTGAAATATGACACGCCCGGGCACTGTTCCTCTTTTTCCTCCTTTATTGGAAAAAATGCTTTACTGACATTTTCATTCTTCCACAGGTGGGAAAAACCGTCCGAGGCTTGGCAAGTGGAAGACCGAGTACAAAGACACCATCAGCCGTATGGGAGGCATCATCATTGACAAAAAACTTCTCACGAGGTGGCCCAAGGATGACAGAATGAAGTAAAGGAGAAATGATTTTTAACATAATTTGGAGTTAATTGCAAGAAAGATTGGCCATTTCAATTTTAAAATCACCCATCATTTTGTTATATATATTTTTTCCTTAAAATAAAAACGACGACATGAAAATAAACATATATTTCTGTAGTTATGCACTTAAAGTAATAAAATAAATACCTAATCTAGTATAAAAGTTTAAGTGAAATAAATCTTACAATTTGAAATGTTAATTTCTTATTTATGAGTCAATTTAGATTCTAACAATATGAATCTGAACAAACTAATGAGTGTGGGAAAACTTCTTATAACATTAATCAATGTTTTTACCTTAACAATTGTCTTCATGTATCCCATAACGGATGGTAGATTTTATTGTTACAAAATAGAAACCTCACAAATAGGGTGCAATATAAAAAAGGTGTACTTGTTTAATTACATGGATTGCTTAAAAGGTTTCTTCTATCCTCTTATGTCAATTTTCTAAACAATGAATTTACACTCAATTTATCATTTGACCAACTTATGCAAACGAATCTCATTTATTTACTTACTATATGTATGGTTGTTTTATAAAGAAATTACAAACTAATTTTACTTTTTAAATGTCAAAACATTTTTTTAAACAATATATTTATTTTTAACAAAGATCAGAATAACAATAATAAAAAGGCATAAGCAAATGTTTTTTTCAATATTCCTAAGAATTTAGAATAGAATTTTTAATTCCTATTTTTATCTAAGGTCTTGGTTGAGATGAAAAGAATAATCAATTGAAGTAATTAATATGGCCGGCCTATTATGCCCACTAAACATATGGATTAATTTAATAATTTAAGAACTAATCACTTTGCCAAGTGCTCCCCGTGGCCACTTCATAAGTCACTGAGAATCAAATTACATGACATTTGAAAAATGGCAAAAAGAGGGCAAATTACAAAAAGTTGTAGGTTAAGGTGAGGAGTTGGTGTCCAAGTAGATCGAAGTCACGATAGCTCAATTGGTTAGAGCAATAGTATATTTAGACAAAGGTCGTGGGTTCGAATCCCACTCATGACGCTAACTTTTTCATTCCAACCAAAACATTAGATATAAAGAATAATTAATTGAAATAATACATTGAATTATGATCGTTAAACATATTTAGATTCCTAAGAATGATAAATGAAATATTTTGCTGCTTCAAATCATATAATCACTAATCCACCATAAATAAATAAACTAAATCCATCTCTCAAAACACAATATAATTGGTTAAAACAAGATATGAAATATAAAAAAATTACTCTTAAAATTATTTATAATTGACAAAAAAAGCATTGTTTAAATTATTGAATAAAGTTGAAAATGTATTGTTTTTATCTTAATTGTAACCAGCTGTAACGATCATAATAAAAACTTACTTTTTCGGGGGAGGGGTAAATTAAAAATATAAATGACAAATTAAATCAGTTGTATGTATTTTAATGAAACTAAGAAAGTAAAGCAAGAACATCACAATATCCAAAAGTTGTTTTCACTAATATTGTAACATTTTGTAACAATAATAAAAAAATAATAATTTCCTTTACATAATTCAAGAGTGCTAGTTTTGCAATATATTTTAATTTTGTTTTTGACACATTTACCGAGATTTTCAAAGAATACGAAAATTTAAAGCTTAAGAAGCTTGACAAAATAAAAGTAAGATTTAAGTCTAGCATATACTCTGATGATTAAGACTACTACATAATTTTTGTCTTTCTCTTTCAAAAATCGGAAAACAATTATCTTTTACTCTTTCACATTGTACATAAAAGTAAACATTTCTATTAATATATGTAAATACAAAAGTAAGTGCTTGAAGCTAAAAGCAATTTTCCACCACCATGATGACAAAACTTAAAAGGTTTATAACATAATCTCATGTCAAAAGGTGGTTGCTTGTATATGCTGCTGATTACGTTAATTCTTTGCCTTTTCATTGAAATATTTGGCTTCCTCTTGTAAACTAAAAGTTCTTAGCAAATAACACTGAAATGAAATTCCAAAAATGACATTTTTTAAATTATATAATCTCAAATTTGTATTTTCTGGTTAATTGATTAAAGAATGTAACTTTCAAAAAAAGAACAAAAATATATACCAGATACACACAAAATCGGAATGATCGGTTTGTTTCCTCATTCTTACAAATACAATTTCCAGAATCCATTTGGAAAATAAATATGTTATAATAACTGAATAAGAATGATATGTTAATTAAAACAACAATATATATATATGACAAAATAATTATTAAAAGCTTAAAGTAAATCACAAATAGAGCAATTATGCAATTTATGGTTTCATCATTTTCTTTGTTAATTTAACAACTTATGATGTTTTGTGTGATATTTTATCACTATAACACCAATGATTAATAATGTGATTAATATTATTACTTTATATAATAAAAATTAAAATATCTATAATTTGAATTGGTATATTTATAATTAAATTTTCTATTACAATTATGGAAAATATTTAGTTTTTATAAATATATGTAATATATATAATATATATATTACATATAAGTTTTATAAATATATAAACTTATATGTAATATATGGTATATATAAGCGCCTTAAACCTTCAACCCAAATCAAAGCTTTCTTCCCCTATACATAAAAATGAATCTAGTAAATAGTAGTTTGGAAGAAAAAAAAAGATTAAATAATGTTTTAGATTATCAGTCATTTTTGGTTTTCTTGATATAAAAGTCTGATTGATTTCAAGCATTGATAAGATGTTCTATTGATTCCTGTAATTAGGCCAAAGATTTTATTTCGACAGATAATCCAAACATGGTTTACGGGTTTTCTCTGTGGTACATCCTTTTTCTTACTCACAATCGCAAAAGTGAAATGAAAGATACTTTGAGCTGTCTGGTCGATTTTCTTTACCATTCCTATTGTAAATATAAAAAAAAATTACTGCTCTTCATCACCGAGTTCGTGCTTAACTTTAGAGAAGTCAAAATCTTCTCCTGTTCCTCTCTTGAAGATGTCAAGAACATCAAGGCATGTAGTTTCAAAATGAGTCGTGGCATCGTATGACTGCGAAATGAATATTTGTGATTCTTTACCATCGTCGGTTGGTTCATAATAATCAGATATCGAGACAAATTTTTCTGTGATCGGCCCAAGAAGGCTGAGGCCTGGTTTTATTTCAGCTTCGGGGTTATCAGTCTCCACGGTTGTCGACACCATGGCGATGAACCAACCCTTCGCAGCAACCTGGTGTGTATAAGATACTTGAGAGACGTAGATATCGGACTTCCGGTTGACCTGCTTCTGTGGAATTATGATCTGAGTCGAAAGCGCATCTTTGGTGTTCGGGATCGGATGATCCATGAGACAGATGCAACGTATGACTTGTCCCGTCTTTTTGACCCTGTCTTTGACATATGAAGGGTCACAATATACCTGTTTACATTTGGCCACCTCTGAGCCCGATCTGATACCTACAGCAACTCCATTCTCGAGAACAATCTCGTCGACCGGTTTGTCGAGCATGTATGTCCCTCCATATATAGCAGAGAGACGTGCAAAGCCTTGAGGAAGCTCGCCGAGACCATACATCGGGTAGAGATAAGGGGACTTGCCATAGCGGGCTAGTGAATCGCTGTAAAGTTTAATCCTCCTAATAGTGTTAATGGCAGGGTCATTGAAATACTCGTCATCCCTGTAGAGGGCTAAAGCGTGGCCGGTTATATCTTGAGTGTTCTTCTCGAGGCTGAATTTAGAATACAATTGCAGGGTCGTGGATGTATGCGGGTCGAAATCCTTCCAAGTCTTGGGATCGTCTTCTTTCAAGTCCTGGACGTAGACCAGGAAATTTCTAAACCGTCTCTTCTCAAACATGCCCATCAAATCCGATGCCAGAGCTTCACGTTGGTCCACCGGCACTTTAGATATTTTACCACCCTTGTACACGTAGCTGCCTTCAACGGACTTGAACTCGAGATACCTCGTCACTCCTGTATGAATCAACAACTTGACCAACAGCCCGTTGGCCATCAGGAATTTCGGTATCAGATCTACGTTCCAGTCCCTTCCACGCCCGTACGAATCGTCCGGGCCGGGGACTCCGTACCTCGAAAATAACTCCTCCAAAGGCGTTATCGAAGCGCAGTCACCTCCGTAATACTGATTTCTATCTACATGCAACACTTTCTTACCGGAGACGGACAGCATTCCGCTCAATATGCATTCTTTGAGGCCAGTGCCCAAAACGATAGCGTCATATTCCTCATCCATCTCTTCGCTTCTTTACGAACGATCGAACCAAACGGAAGTCGACTGAACGCCCTTTGATTTGGAAATACTGTTTAAAATACGGCTCTTGACTTTTATGTAACAAAAAATCTCCCTTTTTCCACTCGACTCACTCACAAAAAAACGTAGGTCAATTTTCTCCTCCAGGGTCTGCCAACTCACTCTTTCCCCCAGTCCAATTTCCCCTCGGAGAATTACGATCAATCAATACCGATATCACAATTTTCTCAAACTCCCTCGAATCACCATTTTTAATAGATACAAATAAATTCTCGGATATCGTCTGTGTGTAATTTTAAATTGTACCATTCCAATCCAACCGGATCTTCAGAATCGTAAGAGCCACAACTCACTCAACGACGAGCATTAAAAGGCGTATAACCAAAAAATTGAGACCATGTAATATTAAACCGTCTATTTTACTCGAGTCAAAACTTTTTAAATCACTGTGGTCATTTTTAAGGATAAAAAGTGGTAAATAGAGGAAAGGACGAAACAGATGTTTTTGGTTATTGTTCCCTAGAATGCGCGATAAAACTCCTTCCCACTTTCCAGTATTTGCCTGCGTGTGACCTGGACTGGTTGGAAACGATGACTGATCTCGAACTTTTCTCATTATTTTGTATGTTTACCGTACGCTTTCCATCGCCGAATTGAAACTTTACAACTAGAGTCCTCGTCTTAGTTTTTTTAATATTCACCTTCCGGCATGTGATTAATTAAACGTTTTAATACAACTTCGGCGGTTAGAGTTAAGGGGGGCAAAGTGCTGAAATCGAGAAAGATCCTTATGGTAAGTAGTAAATTTTGAAACTACTTGTAAAATGTGCTCTGTCCAATATGAAGAGAGACCAGTCCTGTTTCAAACAACGCCTTGCCGTTCAACGGCCCAGTTTTATTTCACGTCAAATAACATTTGTGCCAAGAAAAATTGTAATAATGAAAATATAACTTTTATAATGGTTTTCTTTATCCTTCAGATAAATTCAATGGAGTTAGGAGTAAGCGATAAGATATAAGAACGACTTTTAAAGAGAGTGGTTCAAACTGCAAAATTATGTTTAAAACCATGGTTTTATAACTAACAACACAGGTAGTAAGTTCGGACCGAATGTTATTTCTCACCAGAAAGCTAATACGTACTTAAAAGAAAGGATAATATATTTCGAACAGAAAATAAATTCCAAATAAACAGATTTTGTCAAATTTTTGTATTGCAATACATTTATAGTTATATTGAGAAAAGGTAAATCTTTAAACGTGGTTAATGTATAGCTATTGGTCACACTCTTGCCGTCTCAGCATTTTATTTTATTGTTGTAATAGACACGTGTAGTTTGTAATTTCTAAAGCACTGACTTTGGATTCGCATTAATTATTTAAACCTATTGTGAGTTATTATTCATAGTTTTAAACAAAAACAAAGTTATTGTTCAGGTATACTTGTTCTCTCTGGACTCTTCGGACCACACGCCCATGTCAATCAAAAGTTTTTAAAATGAGTTTTCAATGTCCTGAGGCAGGCGTCAAATACGGCCGAAAGCTTAACAACCGAAAATAATTTTATTTTTTTGATTAATTTTTTTTACCTTAATGGCTTCATCTTCTTTTCTTTCTTCTCGATTCTTCTCCCCATTTTGTACTACTGTTAATCATAATTTTGATCAAATATCAGTTATTGAAATGTTAAGGGAAGTAAGTATTTGGTAAAAAAATTTCATACTGTCATAATTGCTGAACTGGCAATTTTTTTTATACTTGACTTTTATTGGATTAATGATTGTCGTCACAGAGGAGGCAAAATCAATTGAAAAGATAATCAAGAATTGAAACTCTTGAAATATTTTGATGTGGAATCGAGTAAAAAAAAACATGGAATACGAATACTCTGTGTTTATTTGTGTTCGATTGATTGGTCTATCACTATTATTATAATATTTAGAAGGCCGAAAAATATCCTGATCATTTTGACCTTTCACAATTATTTTTCCCACATAGCCAATTGAATTATTATTTATTTCTATAATTCAATTCAAGGTAAAGTTCGATGGACTACAAAATGTTGATAAAACTCATATTTATGATACTGATAATGTTATGATAAATGACATCAGTCAAGTTCACAATGTGGATAGTAGAAGCTTTGGAATAAAATTATATATGTGGTTTTCCTTTCTATCGATGTTCAGTGCAATCGGTTCGTTAAAAATGATTTTAAATGCTTCTTAGCCATATTTTTGATTGGTTTTTGACTCAATTTAATTTTTTTGTACATTTGTATGTATCAGTAGTATTTCTCTTTATTTATTTTTCAACCATGGCAAACAATAGCAATAGTTGGTGGTTTTTGCGAATGCAGGCAGAGGTTCTGTTCTAAGTAATAATAATAATTACAATTAATTAAGGTTTTTAGATGAGATAAAAAAGTCAATGGCATGAGCGGGATTCGAACTCGGACACCAACTTCCCATCTCAACGGCACCTTTTGAATTTTCCCTCCTTTTTGCCATTTTTTAAATGTGTAATCGGTAACTTCCCATCTCCGAGAATCCAATCCGATTACACGACATTTGAAAAATGGCAAAAAGGGGGAAAATTCAAAAGGTGCGGTTGAGTTGGGAAGTTGGTGTCCGAGTGGATCGAGGTCACGATAGCTCAAGTGGTAGAGCAGCGGCGTATCAAGCCGAAGATCGTGGGTTCGAATCCCGCTCGTGCCATTGACTTTTTTCTCTCAACTAAAAATCTTAATTAATTGTAATATATTAATTGGTCAAGCGGACCACGAAATTAGTGAATTTAATAATAATAAATTTGTTAATTCAGTAACAAAAGAAATTTGTGCGAAGCAAAGTACGTGAATATTTGACAGCGTGGTAAAACTGCTGCCGGAGGTTGAAGAGCCGGCATACAGTATTACCATGCGTTATAATGTGCACGCGCTTTTGTGTGTGTGTATGTATGTGTGTGTGTGTGAATTTAATTGGAAGAAATAAAGGGGTGTAGTAAAAATGAAAATAATAACGCCAACCATGATGCGCGGATCAGTTAAGCCTGAGAGTTGAGCAGTTAACATTAAGGAATTCAATTAGTTGGGTTCTGATATGCTTTTTGGTCCTGTATGGCTTTCTTCTCTCTCTCAATGTATATATGTACTGATAACGTACAATAAATATTGAGGGCGCAGAGAGACAGATATCTCGTAGAGTATCATTCGTCGGGATTGGCTATTCTTCGTAAACCGTCTTTGCGGCGGTAAAAAAGTAATTCAGGTCTTCAAATTAAAAAACATCGTTTATTAACTTCTTAAAATCCTGAAAGGAGTTATCAAAGCCGAAGCTAGACACCCTTCTCCAAAGATTCTTTACTCCATTAAAATCAAAGGTCTGGCCCCACTTGCCTCTACTTTCCAACTAACAAGTGTCGTATTCAAAATCCACTTCTAACTCATCAATGGACAATGACTAACTCTATCTGGCTAGTTGCTATCCTTTCGTACCACCTAGTTTGCAAACATACCCAGAGGACTTTCCGCCCTGTAGCAGCTACTATCCTCTGGCTTCACCATTTAGTCTTTCTTGAGCTTCCTTTATAGGGGATTCTCGAGCGACCATAGAAGACACGAAATGTGCTGTTTTGAATTTTACATATCCTCATTCTAATTGTTCAATACAGTTAACACAGTTAATCTTTACGCAATTAATTTTAGGTAGTAATACAACTAATTAGCTATAAAAAGTCTTCTCCCGAAGCATATAAATTGCAGCTTTTTTGAGGATTCTTTATTGCTCGAAACCTTTGAAACATCACAATTAATTAAGGTTTTTAGTTGAGATAAAAAAGTCAATGGCACGAGCGGGATTTGAAGGTGGGGTTGAGATGGGAAGTTAGTGTCCGAGTCAAGATAGCTCAAGTGGTAGAGCAGCGGCGTATCTAGCCGAAGATCGTGGGTTCGAATCCCGCTCGTGCCATTGACTTTTTATCCCAACTAAAAACCTTAATTAATTGTAATATATAGTCAAGCGGACCACGAAATTAGTGAATCTTTGAAACATCGTTCGCTTTCGTATTTGCTACTTATTTTCAGACGTGCGAATCTAAAGCGCTCTGTTTATTTCTAGAAGGTTAGAAGTCAATCTTATCAACTCGATTGACTGGTAATTACTATATGTAAATGTCTCAAGTTAGCTGAATGCTAGTTAACATTTATAATCGATTTCTGTCCTTTGGAATTATTTGCCTTTCAGTTATGAAAAGAAAAGTGGAAGTATTTAACAAACAGAGTATGTAAATAAACCGAGTAAATATTAGTTATAAAGTGTATTTTAAATCAATTTGCCAATCTTGATTTTATGTAAACTAATCGTTTACATATTTGAGTTTGTTTAAATCAATTTCCCTCTCACCCTCTCATCTCTTCGTGTGAACGTACCGCTGAACCTGACAGGACAAATGACTTTTCTTTCGAATTACATTTAATCAGGTCTGAAAGGTCACTGTGTCAGACATCACTATTCCGTTTTTATCCACGAAACAAATATAAGAATTGTCAATTGAATAATATTAATACGAACTTTGACGTATTGAACCCAGTTATTCAGAAAGCTGTGCAGTTTGTACAATTTGCATATGCAAAAAGTAGTTATTTCGACTTATTTTTTGAATTAATACAGCAAAAAGAAACTTATAAAGTATCGAGACCGTAGCAAATAACTTAATGAGGGCTATCATGTTGATGGGGAGAGTGCAAGAGTTGGCAATTAAAAGTCCTTATATGCGTACAATTATATAAATAAATTAAAAAATCCTAAGAAAAAGGGCTGAATGTTTAATCTGAGTTTCAGTTTTTTATTCGTAGTGAGTGTTTATGTAACGTAAAGAAATAGTCAAGGATGGAAATTATTGGTAATCTAGTCGTTGACACTTAAACAATGCTTTCGTCTGGTTGAAATATTGGAAGAAAAAGCTTGTAAGGGGGGGAGGCCTTCATCACGCATTATTGAAAAGCAATTCCTCCGCATTGACCTCCATAATTGGTAATTAAGATACTTATCCGATTCACCATCTTCCAACTATGTCACAACTAAAATATGCATTTAAAATGTTTCTACCACTGAGGTAGTGCATTTAGTTTTATTTATTTAGTATAACGTTCTGTTGAAGTAGTCCATGCGATGACTCAAATTTTACAAGAGTTATAAAAGATATGCAGTTTGTGGGCATCAATAGTTAAAATAAATCGGCATTTGGACATTTGATTTAGGTTTTTCTCTTAAGAAGAAGAAAAAATCACAAAGAAACCAAGAATTTTTTTAAATTCATACTTACGGTGGCGTTGGCTTTTTATCGGGTCCGCCTATTTTCACTCGTCGCTTTAGGTTAACGACTTCTACCGAATATGACGGCTATCAGATACTATTCTCAATCCAGGCCCACAACGTTAATAAATAGCAGGTCACCGGTGTATTTCACAAATTGATGTTTGTTTTCAATAACTCGTCTTAGAGCACAGCCCATTTCTCAGTGACTTGAATACATTTAAAAAAAATTGCTGTCATTTATTATTTTTATGTCATTTATTACACTCATTTATCATTTTTCACATTTCATGTATTATTTATTTCCTATAATTAAAAGAATGGAATGGAATATATTTTTTGTTGGGTTAATAGTAATACATTAGTATATAATAATACTAGGTCTTTACAAAAGTCGTGCATAAATTAAGTTTGATTTAAATTTCAGTGTAAAATGTAAACATGGAAATTATCATCAAAATATAGGTCATCATTATCAACTACTTTAACCCATCATTCTGCTAGAAGTTGAATTTGGTGGTGATACCAGTTCTTGGCTTTCGAGGCGAAGAACTCACCATCCCAATTAGACACTCTCTCGAGTTTTCGAAGTTCCGGCCTGTCACAAAACGCCATTCCAAAATTCCATTGGCCGGAAAAGACTATTGTCAGACGGTGAGACGTCAGGGATGGTAAGGTGGGTGAAGCAAGATGCTAATACACTTCATTTCTGAACATTTTTCTTAAAAAATAAACGGGAACGATGTGCAGTTGCGTTGTCTTGCTGAAATATCGTTTTATCCACATTGAGCAAAGTAGGGTACTTCTCTTTTAAAATTCCATATACTCTTAACAGTAAAGCACTTCCATCTGGAACCAGCTCACAGGGCAAAACAATTAACATAATCCACCAAACACAAAGCATAATCTTTTTTCCAAATCCACCTTGGTGAACTCTTGGCCTTGCGGAAACCACTGTTTCGGTGGATAGGATTTTTTTTAAATCCATTTTTCATCGCTCGTTACAATTCTCTTTCAAAATCTATCATCTTTTGTATTTTGAAGCAAACTTTTACAGATATCAACTCATTTTTGAGCTTGGGCGGCTGACTAGTCATGAGGATATGTGTACCGTTGCATTTGAAACCTCCGTTTCGGACGATAATGCTCGAGTAGTCGCATACGGATCCTTATTGGCTGACTCGAGTAATTCAGTGTCATCCACCATCTGGGATTTACGCTCACCTTGTAAGCTTGTTGTTCCCAGAATGGAACCGCCTGAACCAAAACGTTACGATGCAATTTCCCCGGCTGCTGACTTCGCACTTGTCCTTTTTTTCCAGTAGTCCCTCAGTAGACCACGAATGACAATTTTTTGTCCCAAAATTTTCGGTGAGATTTATAAAACGAAAGGAAAGGCAGAGTCAATTGGTATGCATAATTAAATAAAGGATTAATCACAGTAAACATATATGCATTGTTTATATCAGAGTCAATAAAGATTAAAATGGAAACTTTAATATCACCAATTAATTAATGCACAAAGACTTGTAATGACCGAATATTTTTTAAATATTTAATTATTTTGACATTTTGGGATAGTACCACGTACTATTGATTTTTTTTTTAAATTTATTTATCATGTTACAACGCTATAAACAATTTTCTAATTTTTAAAAAATTTTTATTACAAAATTATTAGAGTGGAGAAGTAATCTATTAATATACACCTATCATAGTACTGTTTGATGTCTATCCTCAATAGGTACGAAACCGGCCATTGGCACTGGATTTTTTGTAAATGATGGTTCTACACACAGATTTAATTTTTTATTTATTTTATTAATTTATTATGGATTAAATCTGTGAGTGTTCTATCAATTATAAAAAGTGAATCAACATACTCTCCCTATCTTTATTATTTCTATTGTCTTAGATGATTGTCTTATTTACGAACATAATTGTTTTCCTCAGCGAAATACGAACATTAACTATAGAAAATAGATTTTATTTATGCTGTCTTTGCTATCTTACATTAGAGAAAGCGTCTATAAATAAACTTAATGAGAAGTAATTAGTCAGACGTAAATTACCAGTATCATCCGTCAAGCGTTGTGCAAGGAAAAATCAAAATTTTCTGTTCAACTAGAAAATTCAAACATCATTCGGTCTATGTCCTCGGGTGTTCGACATTTTCTAAGTATGTTTATATTCAGTTATACAATTTCCTAAATATTGAAACCGTCAAAATCATTCCTGTTGTTCCATCTCACTAAATACCTTTGTACATAATTAGTGGTAGATACCATTCGGTGCAATATTAGATTGGTCGACACATGAAAAAACATTTCATGAAGGTTGAAACCTCGCGTGTGTCCTGCTGTCTGTAACAATTGTACCCAAGATGCCCCTGATTCTAAAGATTTTTTTCACAAAGCATCGTTTATTATTTATTTCAGATGGTTGAGAATGGCGGATTCGGAGCCACTGCAGAAAGGGCACATGAGGAGCGTGAGTGCTGGAGGGATGACACCCCTTCCGCAAAGGCCCTCAGCCCTTCGCAAGGGTCATCAGAGGGCCTTTTCGCACGGTCAGGTAAATTCTTACGATTGAGCTTTTCTATTTTAGTATCGACATACTTGGCTTTAAAATATCAAAAATAAACTTCGTCAGTTAGCCTGGAATGATTTGTCTTGAAATTAAACTGTAAAATTTGACTTCGGAAAATAATCATTTACTCAAATACAAAAGCTTACACTCTTATTTTGTTGTTTATTTCAAACTATAAGTCTTTTTATCGTTACATTAATTAGCAGACTTATTTTAATATAAACTAAATTAAACGAGATCAGAAATTCGTAAGTTTTAATTAAAATAATTATGATGGATTGAAACATAAATCTTTAAAACACATTATCATGTTGTGAATTTAAAACACACATAAATCATTTTCTGTTAGAATAAATTGTTAGTTCAATTTTAATCTTTCACTATGTAGTGTATGAGAGACAATTGGTTTTAGTTTAATTTAAAGTTGTAGAAAAAGTGTATAGACTGGGAGGGAAGAAATGCCAGACAGACGGATCCCATTTCGCACGACGGACGTTGATTCAGTCTTGTTCTAACGCTGGGAAGAAGATGATCGCGGCCGTCTGGCTTATACTGGGTGAGTGTCTAGTGTTTTGCCCCTCTCAGGCTGAGTAGCTTAGGCAATCCTGTCTTCGTAGAATAGTTTGGGGAATTGACATATCTGTAGATAGGAACCCAAACCTTTGCTGTAAGTTCATGTGTAATTCTGGAACCTGCACTTGACAGGAAGCCCCGTATACCATTATCGTATAATAGACAAGAAATAGAATTCATTTATGTAATTTCGCTAAGGATAATAAAATGTTAGTATAGTAAGTAGTAGTTAATTGTTTCCCAAGGGCCAACCTAACACACTAAATGATTTTCCGGTGTTTTTATGAATTTTATCTTATAATTAAATATGTTTTATAAAAACATAGTTATATACAAAATGCTTGCACCAATACTTTAACCAATTAGCAACTAGACATCTCTTTGCGAATCCAAACACACTTCAGTTGTAACTATATTGGCACTCATGAAACTCCTTTTTCATAGTTGATTTTCAAATGAACTCGTTTGTTATAAGGACATTGCCTCCGTTCAAAAACGAAAAAATTCAAAGCGTAAAGGATGACTGCTAGAAGTGAAAAGGGAAAAGAATAATAGTCAGCACCATAACAATGGGATCCGATAATTTACCCTCAAACCCGATAATGGTCTGGAAAGACATTTCCCTTACTGTCCGGATTACAGATAAATAATAAAGAACAGCAGGAATCCTTATCGTCAGCCTGTTTAGATATCGTTTCCGACTCAAAATAGAAGCGGGTAGTTCGACACTTAGAATTTTGGAAGTGTACGAAATGAGCTATATCAGAATTTTACTGTGATGCTGTTAACGATCAAATATTTGAATAATGCATTTTTTGGCCGATTTGTGTTCGTGATAGTCCGGTGTGAAATATGCCACCTAAAATGGAAATCGGCGTCGTTTAACGTTTATATGTTTGCAAAGAAGGTAAAGAAGAAAAATTAATGATCGAACGGGACCCGAACACACGACCCCCGGCTTATTCCCCAATGCTCTACCACTTGAGCTATCCTGACATCTATCTACGAGACAACAATTCCTCCTCTCAGCCGACTATTATTTTCCCCTTTACTGACAATATTCAAAAATAGCAGCATCATTTATTTGCAATTCGACATTGGATTAGCAACGGGGAAATTTTTGATGTAAGAGTAACCTCATTTTATTAGTTATCAATTTTTCTTTTATTTTTTTTTTCTTTCAATTTTTATTCAAAGAAGGTTGAGAAAAAAAATTAGTGTTACGAGCGGGACTGGAACCCACGACCTCCGGTTTTAGAACCTCGGTGCTCTACCATTTCAGCTATCGTGATTTCGGTCCACGAAACACCAATCCTCCTCTCAACCTTGGAATATTGCAGTAAAAGGAAAAATTTAAATAATAATCGGCCGGGAGAAGGAATTGGAGTCTCGTGGATTAGTCAGGATAGGTCTAGTAGTGATCAGCGGGTGATATATTAGTCTCGGGGGTCGGGGGGTTCGAGTCCCGCTCGTGACACTAATTTTTCTTCACAACCTTCTTTGCATAAAATGGGAAAAATAATAAAAACTGATCAATAATAACAATAATTTTCATTAATTATTCTTTTTATCTAAGCTCTTGGTGTGATGAAAAAGTTAGTGTCAAGAGCGAGATTCGATCCCAAGGCCTTGGGCAATAATTATTGTTAAATCTCCTATTTTCTGATCTCGTTTGATTTTATGAAATAAATCTATTATGTTTAGTGGTCTGATTAACCAAATTACTTCTTTCAATTAATTATTCTTTTTATGTAAGGTCTTGGTTGAAATGAAAAAGCTAGTGTCACGAGCGGGACTCGAACCCCACGACCCCCGACTTATTACCGGCTTTATAAAATAAGTGACAAAATACGAGTATCCCGGTTTTTCTTTATGTTTAACATTTAGCCATTCTACATTTGATTAAAATGGCCTAACTTAATTAAAATACACATTCCTACTATTAAAACGATAACTGAATCTAGTTTTAGCGGGAACTCAAGAGTTCTCGGTATGCTGCTCAGTACTCAGACCCAACCCGTACATATTACGCTAAAATTATGTGCAATGTACGTTTTCATCATGACGTCCTCCCTTCATTCACGCCAGTAAATGCATTCATTCAGAGTAAAAATCATGCATTAAGCTAACTTATGCATTAGCTTAAAACCTCGTTAAGCTAATTGGTCCGAAAGTCTTGTGAATACTCGCTAGTGGACAAGCCGTGTCCAATGTCTTTACATACTTAATTAAATAAATACATTCACACAATCGGATAGTCACCAGGGTTTTGATAATACGCCAGTGACTACTTTGGTGTGTCTGTGAGTATTCGATATTCCATCACAAACATACTCCAATTTTCACGCTAATACATACATTCGCACAAAGTATGAATAGTATTTCAACCGACGTACGAAAGGTACACATAAACGTAAATACATCTGTCTGCTTCAAGTATAGAATCAACTTCTTATATTATTATTGCTTCTTATTCTTTTCTCTACATAGGGATTTTGAGGGCTGGCTTAAAAAGCAAAAATAAATATTATTATTATAATCATTATTGTGCTTTAATTTTTTTTTCATGTCTGCGGGCAGGCAGGCACCTTATTCTGTGCAGCGCTAATTCCTTCCACTCTGTCAATATTTACATTAATCCATATATGTTTAGTAGTCTTAAATGGCCGTATTAATTATTTCATTTAATTATACTTTTTATCTGAAGTCTTGGTTGATATGAAACGAAGGTCGTGGGTTCGAGTCCCGCTCGTGACACTAGCTTTTTCATCTACAAACAGTTTATATTTTCATTTATTTGCTTCTTAGACATATTTAGAAGTATGATTTATCATTGTTTTTATATGAGTCACAATTTCTCTATTTCCTTTTGATACTATTATATCAGTACTTGATTTGATTATAAAAAAAAGGAAAAGAAAGGAATATTATTTTGGATATTTTTACATTAGTGTTTTTCTACGGTCTTGAATAAATGTTAGAAGCCTTACGAAACTGTTTCGTCTAAAAACCCTGAAACATTAGCTATTGGGTTGTCCGGAAAATAATGCAGGATTTTGGTATTAAACAAAAAAAAAGAAACTAGTTACTTTAAAGCAATGTTCTTTAATCAAAATAATTTCCCATACTCTCAATACATTTCTCCCAACGTGTTGGTAACTTATTAATTCCGTCTGAGTAGANGTAATCCTGTAAACGTAAACAGAATATTTTATATAGATTTTTTTTAATGAAAACTTAAAATCCTGCATTATTTTCCGGACAACCCAATAATAAGGTAAAAAACAATTTCATATTTTCTGCTCCTTCCTGGTTGGGTTTCATTGTTGTACAAATGAAATAAGGTATCCGAATCAGAAATCTTTCAAACGTGTTAATTTCCTATGTATTTTGTTTTGTTCATTATAGATTGGGGCAGAAGACGCGGGCTTTGTGAAGGGTCACAGTCGTGTCAGCTCGAGGACGGAGTTCATCCTCCCTCCTGGCCACAGGGAATCGTCGGAACAAGGGCACAAACCCGGTCATGCAAGGCAGTCTTCGAGAACTGAGTCGATTTACACTTTACGACAAAATGCTCCACCATCAAAAATGGACCTTCTCATATCTTTTATACTGCGCAAAAAAACTAAATCCGAATTGGAGACTAGGGCGAGGACTGTCGTACCAAATCATATACTTCCTCCGCGTGTTCGGACCAGTCCCGGTGACAATAAAATAAGGACCACGAAATACACAGTGTTCAATTTTCTCTTTAAGAATCTTATAAAACAATTTCACAGGGTTGCCAATTTATATTTTATTTTTATAGTGTTGTTAAACTGGGTGCCTTCGATAAACGCTTTCGGTAAAGAAATCGCATTGATACCGGTGCTATTTATTCTCGGTGTAACGTGTATTAAAGATCTATTCGAAGATAAAAGAAGATGGGCGAGCGACAAGAGGATAAACAATTCAACGTGCAGAGTCTACAACGGGTGAGTTGTTTATACATTTTTTTTCGGATAATCTGTATTATAATTCAAAATGTAAACGTTATAACAGTCTTGAATTTAGCAAAAATATCTATCAAGGTAGTAACAACCATATGTTGACGCTATTCCTTAATTTTTTTAAAGAAAAACGAACTCGTCAACGGCCTGGTGAAAGTGGTGTACTCACTCTATCATATGAGCTAATAATTGATGTATAAATGGTGTGATTTCTTTGTAGTCTGTGGTGATGTATCTGTAATTTGGTCTGCTTATCTTTCCTGTTAAAAAGTCCAGTTACCATCATACGGAAGGCTCAAGTCAAACTGCAATACGTTTTTCATACCATATAATAGCCAAGGACCATTTTTTGGGTGAATATGATAGAAATGTTGCCGAAACGTCGCGAGAAATAAAAAAATACAAAGATGTACCTTAAAATGTGCCTTAATTGCTTAATTGAAAACAACGTTCCCACCTACATCATAATGGTTAGAAAAAGGAAAATGAAATGCAAAACATAAGTTTAAAAAAAATTAATGACCTATGAATAATTATATAATAATATGAATAATTAAAATGCATAATGACTATATTCCTAGTTTGATACTATAAGTAATTATAATTTAAAGATTCCTTTTTTATCTCCTAATAGTAAGGCTTGATTAAACAAGAAGAGAGTACACGTTCAAGAATGATGTAATTTGCTATACTTTTTTCCCTGGAACATTTACAACGTTTTTTGCCTTGAAAGATAATATGAAAATTTGAACAAAAACGAAATTAATTTCAATTTTAAAAGTATTAAATCAAGTACATTGCCGACATTGTTATTCTTCTTCTTGGAGAAGTCTTCAACGGTGCAATACGAACATAAGTTCTTATCTTATTATTGACACTTTAGATTAGTTAGAAGATGAAATCTGGGGTTACTGTTCTTTCTTAAAACTTATTCACCCAGATCTGCACATTTTTAAAATTGCTTTTAATTGCACAATAACGTACTGCTTTTTCCAAGTCTTGTTTTCCCAATGCGAATAGCTTTCATTGTCATTATTTCATTTTTATGGGGTTTAGGTTTTTAGGAAAAATCAATCTTTTTAATATTCCAAAGATAATTCTAATAAAATTAAACAGTTACTTTTCTGTATCTTTTCTGTTTGTGTAGATTTTATTTCATTGCTTTATTAAGATCAAGTTGTAACAATCGTATGTTGACGTTATTCCTTGGACGTTGTTCCATACTTGGTTATATTGTCGAAGGTCCGTGGTTGTTTTCTATTAGATGAGCCGCGTATTTCGATTTTCCGTCGTTCCCCCCCAATTGATCTGTGTTCCTTCTATCTGTCTTTTATTTTTTGTCCTTTCTAGTCCGATGAATTTGTCTCCGCATTCGCATGTTAGTGTGCCTTTGACCGTCTGTATTCCTTATGTTGGTGAAATTTTTCCAATTCGTCGTGCAGGTAGTAAATATGTACAAATTGTGATCTATAAATTTATTTTTCCAATTAGTAGAGATGTGCTAAAAAAGAGGGAAAACTGTTCATTTAAATCGTGATTGCGTTCTTTAAATTATTATTACGTTTTTAGTTGGAATTAACATATGTTCCGATATTCCGATCTACTTCATAGGATCTTCCAAGAATGGCTTAAAATATGAATCTTCAAATTCTGCTTTCATTATTTCGGGTCACATGCGACCGAAATGAATACATTTTAAATAAACTTAGTTTTATTTTTAGTTTTTAATTTAATTGTCTATAATACAATGTGTATTGTATATTTTTTGGAGTTTTCCAGCCGTTATTATATTCCGATGACCGGGTCTTCTGTTCCCCTTTAACAAACAACATTATTACAAAACAATCAAATATCATGATATATTAATAATTGATTATAACACAACAAAATCACTTACATTATACAAACTCTTTAAAAAACTTTAAAAATCCTTAAAATAAAATGAAATGCTTAAAAAAAATTAAAATTCATAAAGGATGTTAATTGAATAAACATCATCAGACTAAGCTGGAAAACTAAAAAAATACACATTACATCCTTGTTATTTACTTGTTTAAAACTAACTTGGAAAAATATTTTACAATATATTGATTACATTTTCTTCAGCGTGTTTTATTTTTTCCTATGACTGACTTTAAACGATTATCTGCGGCTGTCTAGCCTCCAGAAGATTATGGGCGGAACGAAAAAAGGTTGAGGCCACCTTGAAGTTCATTCCGCAAAAAAAGGCAAGGTCTTGTGTTGTTCTGATTGTTGTTGATTATTTATGCTGGTTGGTTCGTTTCTCGGTAATATCTTGTTATAATGTTCCAGTAAGGTCTCTTATCCTATATTAATTTGTTTAGAAACATAGATAATCTAATTTGGAAATATAGTCGCTAATTAAGGCAGATTGTAACCCATGTCTATATCCTTTGTATACATGCATTCCTTGTAGACTATTGTATTTTCTAAAATAAGTATCTATATATCTGTTAGTTAATTACCTTATACCCAGTAAACATTTTTGTTTGTAAAAAAAAGTAAAAGGACTGTAAAACGTAACCAAAAGCAGATTTTTCCCCAAGTGAGTGGATTAGCTTCAATGGGAAACACCTTCAAATCCTTCTTCATTTTGTATTGAAACATTCGTCATCTGGTGGTCAGGCTCATTGAGCTATTATCTTATTATTTTTATTCCCCTATAAGTTCATTTCAGATATCACTTTTACAATATTCCCTTTTGAAAACGTTAATTCACCAATTCATTTGTTTTCCGTGTCAGAGATTTGAACTGTCTCATAGATTTTGATTTTAGGCGGCCTTTATATGCAAGTCTTAATTAGTGAAAAAAGTGTAATTATTTAAAGTATGGCAATATTAAAAAGGTTTTTACGAACTATCATTTTGAAACCTACTGAATGTTCTAAATTGCAAATTTGCCTTTTTCTGTTAGTTTATTGCCTTATTACACAAATAATTCTATCTTTGTCTGTTTCAACTTGGCATACTACTACACAAAAACACCAGAAAATGATTTAGTGATAAATTAAAATTTAACAATTTATTCTATCACTGTTTTTCCGGAGTTTTGGTGAATTCTCTTTTAAATCATCATCATTATTATTGTTAAAACTCAATTTCTGGTCTCGTTTAATTTGATAAAGTATGTTATAATTAATTATAACGCTAAAAATACATATAGTTAGAAATAAATAACAAAATACGAGTGTCCTGTTTTTTATTTGATTTTTATTTAATTATTATCGTTTAACCATTCCACCCTTGATTAAAATGACCTAAGTCAATTAAAATACACATTCATACTATTAAAACGATAACCTAATCTAGGTTTGGAGGACCCAATAGTACTCGATATGCTGCTCAGTGCTCACACCCAACCCGTACATATTACATACACCCAGTCCAATGTACGTTTTCATCATGACGTCCTCCCTTCATTCACGCCAGTAAATGCATTCATTCAGAGTAAAAATCATGCATTCCCTACCCTCGTTAAACTAATTGGCCCGAAAGTCTTGTGAATACTCGCTATTGGACTGGCCGTGTCCAATGTCTTTACATACTTAATTAAATAAATACATTCACACAATCGGATAGTCACCAGGGTTTTGATAATACGCCAGTGACTACTTTGGTGTGTCTGTGAGTATTCGATATTCCATCACAAACATACTCCAACTTTCACGCACAAAGTATGAATATTATTTTAACCGACGTACGAAAGGTATACTCGGCCACATACGTCTGTCTGCTTAAAGTATAGAATCAACTTCTTATATTATTATTGCTTCTTATTCTTTCCCCTACATAGGGTTTTTGAGGGCTGGCATAAAATGCAAAAATAAATCTTATTATCATTACAATCACTTCTGTGCTTTAATTTTGTTTTTCATGTCTGCGGGCAGGCCTCTAATTCCTTCCACTCTGTCAACATAATATGTACATTAAGCCATATATGTTTAGCAGTCTTAAATGACCGTATTAATTATTTTAATTAATTAAACTTTTTTATCTGAGATCTTGGTTGAGATGAAACGAATGTCGTGGGTGAATCCCGCTCGTGACACTAGCTTTTTCATCTCAGCCAAGAACTTAGATGAAGAAAAGTATAATTAATTGAAATAATATGTACATGTATTCTACCGACACTTGTGCGCCATAATCACTTTGTTTTTTCTTGTCCTTATTCCGTTATTGATTAATTGTATTAACTCTTTTTGTTAGGCGATTTATTTTGAAGGCATGTAAATTGATCAAATGTGTATATTTATATTTTGTCCTGCGTTGTTTTGGCATCCTGTGTTATATTCATACAGTTAATATCTGGGAATTGTATTTTCAATTACATCATTTTTTCTTACAAATATTATTACATTTTTAGATACATAAAGGTGGCTCACATGCGGGATTCGCCGAATGCCGACTAGTGGGGTTGGGTGCTCGCCATACATGGCTAATCGTCGGTTTTCTTGTCCGCTTCAAAGTGAACAAACGAATTTGTAAAGTAGCCGAACTCAATGCATCCACACATTCGGGAACTAACTGCGCTGTTCGGATATCAACTGTAATCATCAAACAAAACTGCTATTTATTTTTCAGTAATAAACAATTCCTAACTATTGCAGATGTACTAATGAAATAACATCATAGCGTTGTTTCTGTCGGTTAGGAATGGATTGACCCAACATAACAGTCTTGGAGTTCCTCCATCTGTACCAAGCTGAACCAATAATTTGGAATGCTTTCCTTCCGTATCACAAAAATCGGAACGAGGTTTTCGATGCTGGAAACGGATCGAAAGTAAAATGGGCAACAATACTCTGTGACTGAGTTCGTAGCCACTACAAAAAAACACTAGCTAGCTGTACGTACCCGGCGTTGCTTTGAGTTTATGTATTGCTATTGGTAGTTTGGAGTATATGTATATGTTACGAGTTTTGTGTTTTAGATTGCATATGTTGTTATTTCTGTTGTATTCTACCTTAAGTTTATTGGAAAGCTATTGGTGATTCCATTTAGGATGTATGCAAATCAATCACATGGTTTTCCTACACAGGAGCCTGCAACGTATAACTGTCTACGAGAAAATCATGGATTTTCCAGATTCAATCCTCATAATTGCAATGATTGACCTAGAGATTTATTTATTTATGGTTATTGCAAAAGCCAGTTTAATTGGAATGGCATATCTGTTGGTATCATTGGTATACGTCCTCTCCTCTCCTTTACGTGAATGAAAATAGTTGCTTCGATGGCGTTATTTAATAATCTTTCGACTGTCAATCTGGTAGCATGGCTAAGATAAGATGAGGTGGGTCAATGTGTTTCTAAGAAATTTGATAGGAACACCAACCTTCAGATTAATAATTTGTGGTGGGCATTCTAGTGAATTTAAGAATTCAGTTGAATAATTTACTGCTTCAACTTGATGTATAACAGTGCCTATTGATTTGTAAGTAGATGTTTCTTCTGGTAACATAAGTTGAATACTGAAATTAATGAAATTGACATCCACAATTTTTTTTCAGCTAATACTGCACGTTCACTTAACCATTGATGACTTGTGATTTTGTTTGATATCTGTAAATACGCATTGAACCAATTTTCTTGTGAGTGAGTGATATTGTAAAAATCGTTTGGTAATTTAGCCTATTGTTTCTTCAATTGTAATTTTCCCATTTACAATATCAAATAATTGTATGTCAAAATGTTCTGCAGAAGGGACGCGTAACATTTATTAACGTTTTCCAAACCCTTGTCTTCAATCAAAACTAAAACTGGTGTGAATTGAAAGTCGTGGTTTGAACATCTTATACGAAGTGGATGCAGAATGTCTTTAGCCATAAATCTTTATATTTAATTATAAATCATTTGAATTTGATGGTGAACATGTTGATACAGTTGCGCAACTGTGTGCAACTCACATGTATCACACAGAGTTAAAGGTGACGACCCTCAAACAATTGCACAAATCAAACGTTTGCCCTTTTTTTCAATCGTTAGCTGATGAGAGGATGCACCCATTGTCGTTTCTTTTTCATTTTCTTCCTTCTCCAACACAGTAGCTAACTCAACGAAGTCCATGGTAACACCGAAAAGTTGTTTGTATGCTCACAATCCACAACTAAACTATTTAGTTTCGCAAATGTGCGCAGTTTAGTAGATAACGAACCAAACCGTTACGAAACTGACGCGCAACTAAAAATTGAATGGGTGAGCCTAGCCTAATTGTTTGGCGAATGAGTCATTGTTATAACAAATGAGAATTGAGTAGGATACAAACATAATAGATACATACGTACCTCTTACGTCAATAACGTCATGAATGGGATCGTCGGTCTTTTGTTAACGAAATGAAGAGTTGAAAACGTGAACTTTTTTCTTATAAGTTGTCGAATGGATTAAAACGAAAATCACCTTATTTGGATCTCTCTCTCTCTCTCTCTCTCTCTCTCTCTCTCTCTCTCTCTCTCTCTCTCNCACTCCCTCCCTTCCTACCCCCTCTCCTCTCGCTCTCACTCATTCTCTCCGTTTATTTTGTCCCTCTCTCCCTCCCTCTCACTCATTCTCTCCCTTTATTTTGTCCCTCTCCCCCTCTCCTCTCGCTCTCACTCATTCTCTCTCTTTATTTTCTCTCGCTCTCTGCCCTTTTCTCCCCCCTTTCTGGTGTAATTTCGATCTACAAACCCACATCTTTCTTTACTCTCCCCCTCTCACTCTTCACCTACAATTAATTCTTTATTTTTACTTATCCCTTATAAATAAAAAGATCAACTTTTTTCCGTTCTTTTAAAAATATTTTAAAATTATTTTCATATTATAACACCAAATGTAAATAATAATAACAATCAAATAATTACAAAAATGTACAAATTAATTTTAAAAAAGCATATTGTAAAATTTTCCAGAAATAAACCGTGAACTATTTGAAAATGATGCAGGATGCATCATGGAATATTTGAAAATTTCTTTAATTACCTTCATTAAAAGCCTAAAAATAAGAAAAAAGTCATCCATTTTTATATAATACACACTATTTTAAATCCATTATATTTTGTGGTCTGATTGACCAAATAACTCCTTTCAATTAATTAATCTTTTTTTTTGTAAGGAATTGGTTGAAATGAAAACGTTAGTGTCACGAGCGGGATTCGAACCCACGACTTTCGGCGAAATATGCCGCTGCTCTACTACCATTTGAGCTATTGTGACTTCGATGTACTCGGACACCAGTTTCCCATCTCAACCTACCTTTCGAATTTTCCTCCTTTTTGCCATTTTTCAAATGTTGTGTAATTGTAGGATTCGATTCTCTAATAAGTAAAACGAAGTATATCTTCACTAAAACTCTCCATGGCCATTTCATTTGTTGCCGAGAATGAATCCTGATTTTAAATCTATGTTTATAACATTAGCTTTGATGACCTTTATTTAATTTTTGGGGGTTTGCAACAGCAGAGGCCATATCAACCCTGAGGTGCCGGCGTTTAAAAAAAGCCCATTTGTAAGTATATAAGGTTCAAATGCAAGATTGATGGATAATCTTACCATTGCAGCCACCGACGTGCTGCTGTGCATTCATCTTTATTATCAATAAAACTTATTCACGTGTTATAGAAAAAGAACCTTGAGTCATAGCTAAATAGGCTGACCCTAAGGTCCAAATGTTCCCCACTTAAAAAAAAAATTTGGATGTGTTGTAGATAATTTTATCTATTGGGAAAATAGTGAAGCACTCCAAAAATACAGTACAAATATTAATTTAATTTTAATCTGTATGTCAGTATAGTTATAATACAATCCTGGCTTGTTTTATTTTCCCCTCTTTTCATAAATTTGCCTTATTGTAGCTTTTCTTCTAATTACAGCTTGTACTCTTACATGCAGCCTTTGACAAAAGAAAAAGTTCTGGAATTAAAATCCCAAGAAGAATTAAGAGACAGAAAAGAAACACTGCAAATTTTACCAAATAAAATTTTGTAGGAAGGTTTAATGCTAATTCAAACTGGCATTAACCTCATAAAGCAAAATGAAGTGGTCTCGAAGAGCATTAAAAAGCCAACAAGCATTGTCAGTGACAGCATAGATTGTTACCATCTGCTACTGATGGTTGAAAGAAAACGAAAAACATCACAACCAATTCTATGCATATTTCTCAAAAAAAAAAAAAAAAAGCTGCAAATGGGAAAGCTAATGAAGAACCTCAACCCGGAACTTCTTAAGGGTCTTTTTAGTATTTTTTTTTCTTAAGTTTTGCATAATTAATAGTACTATGTAGTAGTTAGAACTCTACAACAATTAGGGTACAGAATTAACTATCAGCCATCAGTCTAGTCTGGTTGGGCATTAACTGTACATACTATTGGGTTAGTTGGTGGTGCACACACTGTGTAATGGTATTACATTTGGCCGATTTCTACATGTAATCTTTAAATCAACAAGACTATATTGTATGTGAGTGTATTATGTTTTAAATCAACAAGACTATATTGTATGTGAGTGTATTATGTTTTAAATCAATTACTGATAATAAATAATAATAATGAATATTGTTTGTTTTTTAATTAACTCTGTTTTAAATATATTTATCACAAATCTCATTAAACTAACTAACAAACTTATTTCACATCCATCAACAATTGGGCTATAAGCAAGTGTGTGCACTCCCATAGCAAACCATTCTGAATAAGCAGTCGGCTGATAGTTGACCAACCTAACCATCCCTAATTTGTTTAGTCATTCAGCATCTTTGAGCTAATGATGTTTGAACTTAATGCTTTGATGGCTGCTTGGCGTCTGATGGTAATTTCATTTTTATTTTTGTACCCTTTGTTCGGATTGAACTGAGTACATCTTTCAATTGGATGGACTTAAGCCTGTAAGTCACTGGGTTTTTTTCCCATTTTAGGACCAAATACACACGCCTGTCCCTCACCATCTTGTGTTCAAGATCCGCCAGTGTACAGCAGATGGTGTCATTCTTAAAGTTGGGATTTCTCTGTTTTTCCCATTCTTTTTTGGGACATACGTTTTTTGGAAATTTTGCTTGAATTCAAACATCTTGTTCATTCATCTCACATAGAAATGAGTATCGGATGTATTATGTTTGTAACACTATTGATTTTTTTTTTTTTATTGTTGACAGGGAAGAGGAACGATACAAAAAAGTCTATTGGAAAGACCTGAGGGTTGGTGATATTGTACACTTGAGCAACAATGAGGTTGTCCCTGCTGACATCTTGCTTCTCAGGTCTTCTGAAGTACATGGGACATGCTACCTAGACACTTGCAACCTTGATGGGGAGAGTAATCTTAAATTACGAAATGTTCCTCAGGCTCTCCTAGAAGTGCGTATTTCTCAAATTATCTAATTGTTTAATTATAATTATACAGAATATATGGAGACAACTAAACATTTTCTGTTGATTATAATTTTTGCTCTAATTTGAATTTATTAAACTTGATACTTAATTTAAATTTAATTTTTCATTTTTAGCAAACTTTCAAGCCAAGTGACTTCAGAAGTGTGCTCGAAGTGGATCCTCCAACCACAAAATTGTATCATTTTCATGGTGCCATAGTTCATCCTTGTGGTGGAAGAATTCCCGTTACAACAGATCACTTATTGCTCAGAGATTCAGTCATAAAAAATACAGATTTTGTTGAAGGAATTGTTATTTATGCAGGTCAGTTGTTTACAAATGAACTTTTTTTTTACCAAGAAATCAATCACAACAATATTTCATATTTTGTTGGTTAATTTAATGTCCATTGAAGGAATAGAAAATGTGTTCGTTTTTTCTGTTTGGCTTTACTTATAATGTAGTTCACTTCCAAGAACAGTTTTGATTGATTGATCGCATTCCAAGACACAATTGTTTGTGCCTATGAGGGTTATTATTTATTAAAGTATGTTTCGAATTGATCTCTTGAACCTTATTGATTATTGGGGGATAACAATGAAACATTTATTATTACCATTGTTTATTTTATTCAAATGCTGGCAACATTAGAGAGAAAACAAAGAATGTAATCATAATTAGTAATTAGTTTCCTTTTGAAAACTATAAATTGCTATATGTCATATTGATAATAAGTATATAATGTCAATCCTTTTTTATTTTTATTTTTTATATATATTGTTTATATATAAAACACATATATATAGTGTTTAGTGACCGTTAGTTAATGACCAGACCACATCTCACAATCTCCAAATAATCATTGTTTATAAATTTAAATAATACAACACTATTTTAATAATTAAAGTATACACTTTGTTCATTATTAATTGGATTAACTTCATTTTAGGACATGAGACTAAAGCAATGCTGAACAATTCTGGAACTCGCAATAAAACATCATCTTTAGAAAAGCAAATGAACATTGATGTACTTTGGTGTTTGGCCATACTTCTTGTTCTATGTGCTTTAGGATCAATAGGCGCAAAATCTTGGTTAGATACTTTTGAAGACCCAAACCAAGTCATTTTTATCATATTAAGTTCCACGACGGCTTTTGAAGCCTGGCTCACTTTTTGGACTTTCATCATAATCCTGCAGGTAAATGATTTTTCTTGTTTAATTGTTTAAAAATAAATATACCTCACCAGTAATAATTTTATGCAGGTTATGATTCCGCTCTCCCTATATGTTACGATAGAAATGACAAAGATGCTTCAAGTTTACCATATAAACAATAATCATGATTTGTATGATGCCGAGACCAATAGAAGAATTGAATGTAGAGCTCTTAACATAACAGAAGAATTGGGTCAGGTATAAATTATAATAAATAATAGCCATGTATTCATAAATCTTAGTGGTTCTTCTCGGTGATTTCTCGGTAAATAGTTCATTATACTTTAGGTCGAGTATATATTCTCCGATAAGACAGGAACATTGACTGAAAATAAAATGGTCTTTCGAAGATGTTCAATAGGCGGAGTTGATTACAATCACCCTTCAGCAAAGGCAACAAAGGTTTGTGAATAACTTTTTATAAAGGGGGCTCCAGACATGCAGAACCTAGCTCAGCGTTCTGCAAATCCCACATGTCTGGAGCCACCTTAACAATTTATTAGATTGTGTTTTCCCCTTTACTCTGGGGGTCTGTGATTAACCTCTCACCCACTACAGTCCCCCCTATTATTATTGTATACAAAATATTTAATATAATATTTTTAGGGTGAAAGTTTAAGCATGCAGTTGACCCCACATCCAAAACTGTTAGCACATTTGCAAAGGGGTAGTAATCCTGAATCTGATCATGTTCGAGAATTTCTTTTGGCTTTAGCATTGTGCAATACCGTAGTTGTTGCAAATCATCCCCATCATGACATTGTAAGTTTTGATATGATCTGTTGAACTAAAATTTCAATATTTTGAATATTGTATATATCATTGTCTCAGATGAACTCAAGTGGAGTGATAGAGGGAGACGTACCCTCAGTAAAAAAACACCATGTTGCTGAAACTCCAGTAGGGGATCAATACAGGAGGCTTGTAGAGGAGCGAAGTATTACCCCGTCTCCGACACCTGAAGAAAATCCATTTCCATTCTCTGTAGAAGACATGAGGTATGTTCTAGTTTAATCGAATTGCACATAAATTGTAATAAATTCCCCTTATCTAGGCATAGCTCATGCAGAGCCAGAATAAGGCCCACTCTTTCTCCAATATCATCTTCCGGTGAAAATTCTCCCACAGCCTTACCCAAGTCTGCACTGAGTAGGCCTAAACTCCTCAATGTGCCATCGATGTCACTGTTTTTCACTGACAAAAATATTAAGAATGGTGAGTAAAAAAATGTAATTTTAATATCTTAAAATTTATTTTCAAGTAAAAGAGTTCCAGCACTGACTGGTTTCTTTCCGCACTATCTCCTGGTTTGACAGATTTGTACATAACTATACTATTTGCTCAATGTATATTTTTTGTTCAGATATTAATAAATGAAATTTAAAAAATTTATTTATAATTTGTTAGATGCTGTTTAAGATTGTGAACCTATACAAAAGTTTAACATTCTGTTTCTAGTGATGTAAATGTTAACCTGTAGTTCATAGTAGAAAAAAGGTTTGGAATTATTATTTGAGCCCTCAAAAAAATAAGTATATACAGGGTGAATTGCTACTCGTGCTACAAACTTCTCCAGTAGATTCTTCACCCTAAAATGAACAAAAAAGTTCATATTGTCCATGGTCCGATTCTCAACCATTTCAGAGTAATTTCGCTTTTTATCGATTTTGAAAGATATCACGTCCTGGCGTCGGAAAATCGTGATATCTTTTAATCTAAACATTTCTCTGAAAATCTAATAGCACCGTTGAAATTCCCGTTAATTTTTCAATAAGAAGATGACGGTGGCAAAATGTTTGGGCTAATTTTTTGTGTTTTATTTCAGCCAGAACTACAAAAAGAGTGGAAAATTGTGTAAATCGGAAAGTGTATAAAGTAATCCAGAGTTTCTAATTTTAGTCTCAGAAGGCAGCAAATTTGAGGAAAACTACCTGATTTAATAACGCTTCCAACGCACTCGTCATTTTCTTATTTAGTGGTTGTGAGACCAAGATGTTGATGACAAAAAGAGAAAAAATGGTGGTTCAAGGATTGCTAATGTTTGAGAGTGACTTGCTACTCGTGCTACAAACTTCACCAGTAGATTCTTGACCCTAAAATGAACAAAAAAGTTCATATTGACCATGGTCCGATTCTCAACCATTTCAGAGTAATTTCGCTTTTTATCGATTTTGAAAGATATCACGTCCTGGCGTCGGAAAATCGTGATATCTTTTAATCTAAACATTTCTCTTAAAATCTATAAGCACCGTTGAAATCCCCGTTAATTTTTCAATAAGAAGATGAAGGTGGCAAAACGTTTGGGTCTTTCTTCCTTGACCTTCTAGCTGTTTGTAAACTTCTTAAGCATTACATACTAAATGGGCATTAAATTAAATTAAAAAATTTCAATGGAATTATGATTTTGATTCTCTCTAAAAATTAACGGGGATTTCAACGGTGCTTATAGATTTTAAGAGAAATGTTTAGATTAAAAGATATCACGATTTTCCGACGCCAGGACGTGATATCTTTCAAAATCGATAAAAAGCGAAATTACTCTGAAATGGTTGAGAATCGGACCATGGACAATATGAACTTTTTTGTTCATTTTAGGGTGAAGAATCTACTGGAGAAGTTTGTAGCACGAGTAGCAATTCACCCTGTATATATTTATATGTTATATATAAACAGTGAATACTTATTTGCCAAGTGCTGTGCTAGTATTCAACTTACTACCAGTCGTAAACAGTGAGACTATCATTGCTGCAGTGCGGTTACTATTTTGTGTAGTAGCTACAAACTCAGTCACACTGCCCCATCTTACTTTCAAGCTGTTTCCATTCATTGAAAACCGTGTTATGATTTTTGGGATTTGGAAAACAAGCGTTCTAAATTATTGATTCAGCTAGTATGGGGCACAAAATGGATTGTGTCTCAAAGATAAAATTATTATCATAACATATATAGGCAACTAAGACATTTTTGATCATTTTTTATTATTACTTTTGTATTTCTTCATAACATTGTAAATAAAAGTATTTATCTGTCTATCTATATGGGTTCAGCTTGGTCAAGGAACTCCAAGACTGTTAAGTGGGGCCAATCCAAAAACTATGTTATGTTGTTCTTTCCTTAAAGCCAGGAACACACTTACCCGAAGCTACCCCGACACCTTGCCACTTTTTGGTAGGGTGTGCACATCTATGTGAAGTGAAACGCTCGTCACGTAGTCACACAGTGTGTATCACAATAATCACTATCACAATCGCAACACCTCTTTTGTCCTTAATGCATTATTTTGAGCAAAACGTTGTAATAAATTGTTAGTTAAATTTTATGAGCACAACCATGTAATAAATTGTTTGTTAAACTTGTTTTAAATAAGGTTATTCCGGTGTTTTGCTAAATTTTCTGCCTAACCTTCATAATTAAATAATTTTTATAAAAACTTATGAATTTTTGATCTCATTTAATTTGGTTTACATTAAAATAGGAATGTTGTAATTAATATAACGATAAAATTTCATATACTTAGTTTGAAATAAACTACAAAAAATATGAGTGTCCTGTTCTGAAGCTACTCGACGAAAATGGTGTAATTTTATGGGCAAAACCATGAAATAAATTGTTAGTTAAATTCATTATATCAAAAAATGGTATTTCGGTTTTTGTTAAATTTTCTACCAAACCATTAAATTTTTTTTTTTTTTTTAAATAAAAACTAATGAATTTTTGATCTTGGTTAATTTGGTTTATATTAAAATAAGTATGTTGTAATTAATATAACGGCAATAATACATGTAGTTTGAATAAAAGTATGAGTGTCCGGTTCTTTTGTTTCTAACTGTACGCAATGCAACTCGACAAAAATCTGGACAGTGGGGATTGCAGAGCATAAAGTAGGGTAGCGTTACATAGCATCGTGTAGCGTCGTGGTGTTGCATCAGGTGTGTTTCCAGCTTAATACATCTATACTAGTTAGAAATTGTTTTGAAAAAGAAATAACAGTAAATCAAAGTAGTACAAGTACTTTACGTACATTTGATGATTACAATGATTTATTTATGTACAGTACAGTTGATAACCAAATTGAGGTTGAGTTTGGCTACTTCACAAATATTTGTGCACTTTGAAGCGGACAAGAAAAACCGACAATAAGCTGAGCAAGGCAAGCACCAATTATTGTTGCTCGGCGAATAACCAAGCACCTGTCCCCACCAGTCAAGATTCGGTGAACCTTTGCTCGGCATTTGGTGAATCCTGCATGTCTGGAGCCACATTTATAAGATCCCCCCCCCATCTTTGTAGAGCAGCAAGTGAAGCATTCATTCCGATTGCTTTATTGGATCTGTAAATGGCTTTTAATTACATTATCTGACACGAGGGAGCAATAAACTGTTTAATAAACTATAAGTAACATGTCTATCAAATAAAAGTTATTCGCTCATAGTTTAGATTTCATATGTCACATAACACTTTTGCCCCTTACAAAATTGTGGCTGGTGATCACAGCTAAGGATCAATCCTGGGCCTCATTTTATTTAATCAGTTTTTCATTGCCTTACCCCTAATCAAGGGCAGGAAGGCCCTCATTTCTGAAGACTTCAGCATGTTCATATCATGGAAGCCAAGTACTATAATGACAGTCTGTACAAGCACGTTTGTCTGTGTTGTAAATAATAGTAATGAATAAATAAAATTTTTAGGAGCTTCTCCAAAAACACCAACATCAAAACCAATATTTGAAGCGGAGAGTCCTGATGAATTAGCACTTGTGCAAATGGCGTTCATTTACAACTGCCGTCTTGTTAGAAGGTTTCCAACAAAAGCAATTGTGTCATTGCCAGGTAAATCAAATCATATCCAATCAGTGTTGGGATCGATTTATTAATGAATTGTTTTTGTTTTATTCCAGGTGAATGTATTGCTGAATTTGAAATTTTAAGAGTACTGCCTTTTGACTCTAATCGTAAATGTATGTCGGTCATCGTAAGAAAGCCTTTTACCAATGAAATTGTAGTATACACCAAGGGTGCCGATTCTTCAATTTACTCTAGATTGGTGAATCCATCTTTAGAAAGTATAAATGCTTAAAAAATCTGGAGATAAAAAATAATGTAAAGAATCTAATACTGTTCTCTTGTAATTAGCAAAAACACAAGACCACATAGCCAGTTATTCCAGCCAAGGATTGCGAGTGTTAGCGGTCGCTTGTAGAACAATACCAGAAGAAAAATGGCCTGCAATTAAAAAAGAACTGGATTCATCCATTGGCATGTCTCTAGTTGCTACTAAGCACGCTTACTCATTGGTCGAAACTGATCTCACTTTGCTAGGTTAGTTTGTTAAATATTTTAACACTCAACATCTAAAGAATATTTAATTAAAGGTGCTACTGGAATTGAAGATAGATTGCAGCCTGGTGTCCCAGAGACCTTAAAATGCCTTAGGTCAGCAGGCATTGTCGTGTGGCTTCTCACAGGGGACAAAGTTGAAACTGCTACAAATGTCGCCTTAGCATCTGGCCTTTTTTCGCCTAAAACAGAAATGCTTAGGCTAGCAGCAAAATCAAAACCTTCTGCTGAGACCGCTTTACATTTTTTCAAGGATGATATTGCAAGGTTAATTATATACTAATATATTTATTATATAAAAAAATTATTAAGCTTTTAACCAAATAACATTGCTCAGAGGATCCTGTGCTTCTACTTCATCCAGATCGTTCAAACAAAAGCAGAAAGCCATTATAATTGATGGAAAAACATTAACGTAAGCTTTTTCTCAGTCGGGAACTTACAAAAATATACCACTGTTATGCAAGTAATTTAATCATAATGCTTGTTTTTAAGGTTTATTTTAGACCCCAGGTCAGGTTTGACTCAACCTTTCTTAGATTTGACCAAATATTGTACAGCAGTGCTCTGTTGTCGAGTGACACCATTACAAAAGGCTTATATAGTAAAAGTAGTCAAAGAACAATTACACATGAAGACTTTAGCTATCGGTGAATAAATTTTGTAAACAAATGAAACGTATGAGGTTGTTGCTTATATGTGAATTTTTAGGTGATGGGGCAAATGATGTATCGATGATACAAGCAGCAGATGTTGGTATTGGAATTTCAGGCCAGGAAGGGATGCAAGCAGTCATGGCATCAGATTTTGCTATTGCAAAATTTAAATATTTAAAACATTTGATGCTTGTCCATGGCCATTGGGCATATTACAGGCTTACAAATATGATCCTTTATTTCCTATACAAAAATTGTGTATGTTACTTTTAAATTATGTTAAATTTAAAACATGTATGTACTTGTTTGTGTTTAAAAATGTTTAAATTTTTTAGACATTCGTATTCTTAATATTTTGGTACCAGATCTACTGTGGATTTTCTGGGACAGTCATGATTGATCCTATGTTTCATATGCTTTATAATTTAATTTTTACTGCACTTCCACCAATTGCCATGGGTACTATAAGTTGAAATTAATTAAATCAAACATAATATTCTCCTTGATTTTTTTTACAGGTGTTTATGACCAAGATGCACCAGCTAATGTATTACTGTCAAGACCAAATTTATATGAATACGGACGATTAGGAAAAGCTTATCGCCCTTATTCTTTTTGGATAATTCTGTTAGACTCAATATACCAAAGCCTGGCTATTTTTTTTATTGCAGTTGGGGTGTGTTCATGTTTAGATCTCAAATAAAATATTAAATTTGTAGTATACAATAAATATTGATACTTACAGGTTTATACTGGAAGTGAGATAGGCCTTTGGGAGTTTGGTTCGACAATAACAAGTTCTTGCATGTTTGCCATGTTAGGCCAAGTTTCACTTGAGACTAAATCTTGGGTACATTTTAATTTAGTATTATCATCATCACATCTATTGGCTTAAATTGCTCTTTTTCTAGACACTACTGCACGTTGCCTCACTCGTGATTTCCATTGGAGCTTATTATCTCTTCTTCATATTGTACAATTTTGTATGTATGCAATGTATAGGGCTGTCCAGCAACACATGGGTCATGAAAACAACAATTGGAGACCAGTCTTATTACCTCATTATTATTCTTTCCACAGTTACTGCTCTAATACCAAGGTATTTATTTATTTTTTAAACTTCATTAACCGTAAATCCATAAAATATATACATTTATTTACAATTAAAATGAGAAATAAAATATGGCATAGTAATAAACCGTCTGCTGGAACCAAGATAATTAATTTAAAAAAATAATATGATCAATTATGACTACTTAATACATATATGTAATTTTTTACGTAGATCAAAGAAGTTCCCCCCCCCCACTGAATACTTGCTTTCATTATTATAATTTATTTATTTTTAAGATTCATTTGGCTTTGTTTGAAAACCATGATTTGGCCAAATGAAGTTACAAGAGCAGTAATTGAGACGAGGAAGGCCACCAAAAGAGGTAATCATTTCCTTGTGTCATGGTCAAGATCTACATCAACATCTTCCATTTATCGGTATGTTTTATCCGTCAAACACACTAAATTTATCACACTTAAATCTTAAACATTTATATTTTTCAGTGGTCCTGATGGAAACAAAACAACACCGGTCACAATGTCGACTCTTACAGCAGTTGGATGACATTTTCCAACTCAAAAATACAAATTCTAATTTTGTCAATTAGTAAAAGAAATAGTTATATTTTGTACTGTTTATGTATTAATTAGATATGACCAACTTCAATAAAATATTATTGAGTTTCTAAAGCCATGTTGTTACTTACAGATGAGTATTTTTTGAAAAGATATGATATAGTTGCGAGAAATTGTGAAAGATAATCATCGTTTATAATTGTTTAAGAAAGCTGATATCTGATAAGTACTTACAGAACTCTAGTTGTGAAATTGTCAATTCTTTGGGAGTGTATTATGATAAATAAATGTTGATTATTAGCATATAATTGTTTGTATAGCATTGAAGGAGAACCACAAAATGTTAAAATAATGAATTATTAAGAAAGTATTATTTATTTATATACTGTTGAGTCTTGCCAAAATTTATTTGATTACACCTCATATTTTGAAAGAGGTAATTTGTTCTTAGTTTTATTTAGGACAAAACTCTTTAGGAAAGGGATGTATAATATTAATAAAGTATTTTTTTAACAATAGACCTTTGTCTAGTATTTAGAAAAAAATATTTCAGTTTTAATTAGACCTTTGGACATATCAATATTTTGTTAATTTCTTAAAATTTAACTATTGTTAGATGCTAATATCTTATTTGTCATTTATTTTAGGTGTTCGGCAATTTGTACAAGATTTAGTAAACTTATTTTATATTAAATTTGTAAAATTACGATGAATGACTTAGTTTTGAATATTTGTTGTCAGAGAATTTTTTTTTACCCCTAAGTTTTTAAGTTGATACAGGGACCATATTTATACTTAAGAAACCATTCCAAATTTGTCTTTATTAATTATTATTGTTTTTAAATTGTACTTATTTTTTAAATAAAACAATGTATGTGATTTGTAGTTTCCCAGCAATTGTTTATGTCAAGCACATAAACCTAAATAATGTAGGTTTTCTCTTTTGTAAAATTGGTTGATTTTATATTAAAATGTTATAATGTTTATTATATTGAACAACTGAAATCAAATTTTATTGTATTTTCATATTTGGAAGTTTTGTTCCTATACATACTTATTCATCAAAAAATTAGGATAATTTAACATAAAATGTGAAGACTCAAAGAAGCAGATGTGTCTTAAAGTTAAAGGATAGTAAATTATTTATATTACTTAATTTTGATTGATTTTATTAACACTGCAACCCCCCCCCCAAAAAAAAGGTACATCGTGGTTTATTTTAAATACTCAATAAATCAAACTTTATGCAGCTATCTACCAAACATGTGCAAATAAATGTACCTTGGGCTAAACTTGGAGGAAAACTTTTAACAAAAAATAACATCTATTTTCATAAAATTATAAAAATTTGTAAAACAAATCAAAAATTAGACACTAAGGGTCATCAATATGACTTTCTTTCATCTGACAAATCTAAGTATGTGATTATGTTCCTGTTTAAAATGTGTAAATACAAATCACACAAAATAGTTGGCCTTTTACTTTCATCAGGCCAATCAGTTAATAAACATACCTTTTATAAGCTCTTTATCAACCCTCACTTTTAAATTATGATTTTAGGTTAATTTTGTATCCTTTCTCAGATCACTCTCTCCTTTTGGGATGAAGTGGGATGTCAATAACCTGTCCTTGCAGAGATATAACTTTGTTTTTTTTAATGGCCTTATGAACTCGCATATTAGCCAGAGTACGTTGTTTATTGTTTCAGCATAGTTGGGGGAAGGGTATCGTGAAAAAAAGGGCCAGGGGCGACGGGAATTGAACCCACGACCTTGGGATCTACGAACCGAGTCTAATGACCACACAATCCCCATAAAGAAGTATAACTTTAATTAAACTGGTGGTTCCTTTTACCAAACCATCGGTTATTTAAAATTATGTATGAGGTATGCATTAGATACAACCATCCCTAACCACTACTAGATGGCAACAAGGAGAGAATGGGTCAATATAACTTGTGCTTAGCCAGTATTAATTAGGTGAAGAAATATATGGGAATGTTAGTCGCTGACAACAGCTTAGGCGGCACTGTCAGTATAAGGTAAAAGTCCCAGTTTCGAATCCAGTGGCCCTGCATTTGAACTGACACTTAAAAATGGACAAAAAAACAACCGGCACCACAAGATTGATCCTAATCACCTGTCCATCCTTTTACTGTTACAAGATCAAGGAAAATTGGAATAGTTACAACATTCATAGATGTATAGATTCAAGAAATAAGTTTAATGAAATATTTGGCACAATGTGACCATAAAAATGACACATTTCAAAGAGTTTAATGACAAATTACCAACTGCTGCTACTTCCATGTCTTTAAATGCTAGAGCTTCTAGTAGTGTGATGAGGGTATAATATATCCCTTCTGATTTAAAACTGTTTGAAGTGATGCCACATAACATTTTCATGCAAGTCATCGGTGCTCCTTGAAAAATCAGTTTATCTGTTCTGGTGCAAATCTGAAACCTTCTGGAATAGCTTAAAAAATTCAAGCATGCAGAATTATCATCATCACACACAAAATCAGTACAGAAATCCTGGTGGACAATGCTAATGCCTGCATCCTGCACACTACAGTTTGTATAAACATCTTGAAATATAACACCTTCTTGGTATGGATAAAGCTTGGAGATAGTAATATTGTTAACCCTCGACTCAAGGGTGATAACTGCAAAATTAAACAAGTAGCCAATTCCAGGAACAATCTCTTTACAGTTTTGATGAAGTTGAATTCCCGAGGTATGCACATCGGCTATTTCAAGCTGAGAAGCGTCCACTTCGGCAACACCATTCTCGAGAAATTCGCCCACACACGAGCAAAGCGTCAGTAGTTGATCCTCATACAATAGAGTCGCAAGGCAACTACGATTGCCATTTTTCAAAAGGAATGTATTTGAGTAAACCAAATTAATAAAAATGAAAAAGTAACAAATTAAAATTAACATAATTTTCTACTTTTTGAAAAACATGTGATTGCTGATATTCAAAGATCAGAATATTAAAATGAAGGAAAAAGAAATCAAACTATAGGTAATTTATTATGTCCATAATTATTTATTATTTACACTTATTGTGCTGGGTTTTTTTTTCCAAAAACACAATTACAAATTCAAGAACAAATCATTAAATACATTAAATTCATATTTAATTACCATTCAATTACATATATTTAATTTCTTCTAAGACAAGTTTCAACTCAAAAATATGTACAGTAAATAATTGTGGCTATTAAGACCAATGGTAGTCTTAACCAGTAATCAATTGCATCAACCGCACAAGAGAAATACAATCCTGGCATCACTCTTCATTTTCATGCCGACACACATCTATCGAATGCAACATGATTTTATTTAAACCCATTCTTTAAAATTTAGTCTCAAACATTTTTAACATCTAACCGAGACTATAGTTAAACAACTAACTCTGCCAACACTGCAGTGTTAAGATGTCCTTTTTTAATCAGATGAGGGATGGATGGAGGGAGGGAGGGAGGGAGAGAGAGAGAAAGAGAAAAAGAGAGAGAGAGAGAGAGATATGGAAAATGCAGCATACTTAACAGTACCATTATTGGAATAGCTAACCAACTCACCAGGATCAGCTATGCATATACAACCTAGAAACAAAATAATATCTCTCAAATTTTATCACTATAACTGTCCTTTAACTGAAATACTTTTTAAGAATGTAAGTAAATAAAAATAGATTAAATGTCACGATAAACAACGTTCTTGCCCATCGTGGTCATTTGTAAATAAAAACGGGTGTAGAAATCATTCTGATACAATAGTTTTTCTTAATCCTTTTAAATGTTTGTATTGTGTATATAGTGTATAATAAATCAATTTGACATTTCAGAATTTGGTTCTGTACAACACTGTAATTCTTATGTTTACTAAAATGAATAGCTTTGATAATACATAATTAAAATTTAATTCGATATCAGTCTATTTAAACATGCCTTACATCTGTTGTTATATAAAAAGTATACAGCTATAATAAACACATTTTTTAGGTTTATGCACAAAAATAATACATATCTTTCTAATGCACACTAGATTTGCACTTGAAATTTATAAATTAGGTAACAAAATAAAAATTAAAACCCTATGTATACTGTCATAAATTTTAAAATATATAAAAAAAATTTCAAAACAAAGTCAAAAATTAGCTGGCTCACTAAATTGGTTTGAGTAATAAAAGGGTAATTGATGTTATTTGAACACAGCTATGACTAAATAATATTATGTACAAAATCTGGTCCAAATCTGTTTTCCGTTACCGCCTACCTTGAACAAAAGCTCAAATTAGAAAAATAGAAAGTAGGACATTCGAATGTAAGAAAGTAAGAAACTCACTTGATAGTTGGTCTCCTCGAAGGATCACATGCTGTGGGTGGAGGTGGAGGGCCCTTTTTTTCAAGTTCTAAGAGGTAGGACCGCAGCATTTCCCTCCTCTCCTCAGCCATATGTCCCAATATGAGCCATCTTTTGTCTTTTTCCAACATCTCTTCTATTTCTTTCATATGACTCTCATTATCGTTGACAAGTGCGTTTGACTTGTGAGTAATCAACTTTGTCTCCTGAGCAAGCATATATTAATTAGTTACGCTTTTCTTCAAATTAAATACAGAAAGCAGTTGAAACGAGATATTTCCCATTATTAAATTGATCTTGATCTACATCTAGACCATGTGGCATAGGAATCCGCACTATAAATGAGCAACACAGACGGAAGGATAAAAAGAAAATGATGGGACAATGGAACTCACTCATCGGACACAAACAATGAATGAACTTATTTGCCAACCCATAAAATAAATGTAACACAAAATTGAATATATTCAAATGAAACATATACATACAGTATGTATTTGAAAAAACAGTTGTTTTAGTTTTACCTGTAGAAGCTCCCTAAGATCCACTTTCGCAGCCACTAATTTGTCTTTTATGTATTCCTTAAACTCCCTTTCACACTTCTGAAATGTTAATACATTATTTGACAGATTAATATGAGATATATAATAGTATTCCCAACATACCCTGTCACTAGATGAAAATTTACTGTATCTAGGGTCATCTTTTATTATTTTCCTGATTTCTTTCCATGTAGATGACAAGGAACATTCTGGTGTCTCATTTAATAATTCTCTATTTATAAGAGGAAAAAATCAGTTTAGATACATTTAAAATTAATTAGAGTAGAAGGTAGAAGAAAGATCTGAGAAAATGATTAAAAATGGACTGTAAAATATATATANAATATATTTTACAGTCCATTTTTAATAATATAAAATGATATCTAGTGATTTTTTTCAAGGTTTGAAGCAATTTGTGTCCCAAGGAAATATTGTATGATAGTTTAGCTTCAGCATTTTGCAAATTTAATTAAACTTAATGACATAACAGCCTACTTTTGTGTTGAAAACATTCAATTCACGTTTTTGAGGAATTTATTGAAAACATGATTTGTACCGCAATCATCAAATGTTTTGCTCATTTACATTTATCCTAATGGAAAAAATTATTTGTTTACTAAACTACCATCTTGGCTTTAAAAATTGTTAACATTAAATAATACACTTTAATATGTTTTACACTATACAAAATAGTATTACTTAATAAAGTTGAACAAAGTACCTAAATTTTTCCTTTTTCTTCATTGTAAGTTGTTCTATGTGAAGATTGAAGTAAGACTCTTTTTCTTCACGGCCAACCAACGATGCAAGCTCCCATCTGTGATCTTTCCTCAGTTGGCGCTTTGCTTCTCTCCAGCCAAGCTCACAATTTCTAACCTAATAAAACATGTAAGCATATAGAAATACACATTGGAGGGATGACAGTGTAAATTATTAGATAGCGAGAAGTAAATGAAACAATTATTGCATGTTGTTGCATTTGCAATTAATTAATTTCTTTATGTAAACACAACTCGTTTATAAAATCAGGATAGCTGAAAGCTTCTAAACGTAGCAGCCACGAATACCGAAATGGCAGTAATATAGGGTGTCGATGATATGGTCAAAAAGTTTAAAATAAATAAAATAAAAAATCATGCTTTCTCTGATGAGACTTCATCAGATTTGTTGAAAGTTTTTCCAGGTCAGAATTTTGCTCATTAACGAGAGCATATCAATCAAACAGTCGGTAAAAATTTCAATGGTATGGTAGTTGGAAACTGCCACTGGAAAAAATACTTTCAGTGTAATTTGCAAAATTTTGTACAATGTTGTAATTAGTGATTTTATTTTACATAGTTCCTAATTTGTATTTAAAAAGTAACGTTATGATTAACTGTGACATTTTAGGTTAAAAGCAATTAGGTTTTGATGGGAACATGCATTTAAATACGTTCAATCAGCAAGTGTCTTAGCCTTTAACGTTAATTACTTTAGATGATAATCATGATATTTCTAATGTACAAAATTGTGCATATTGAGATTAGCACTACTATTACATATTAGTTGAGGTCCTTGATGGTGACAGATATGCTGTGAAATCATTGAGTAATAACCGAACCTAAGTATTCTTATAACACTATTAGGAAAATGCCAAGTGATCATGATGCTTAGAGAGGAATTAATTTTTGTGATAACTAGATTTCAGACATTGATGCTAATGGTGGTCGGTCCATTTGCCAAGATTCAAGCACAGAACTGCTATCAAGGGAAATACGAATCAGACACTCTGATTTCGTATTGAATTTAAGCAGTTTATTAAAAAAAGGAAAAAATGAACAAAAATAAATTATGCAGCAGTAGAAACAAGATGAAGTCAGTTTTTAATGCCACTGAAGCTACTTAACTATGGGGCATCTAAAACTGAGTCACTTCTATTTTTACATAAGGATAGCAAAGTTGGGTTAATTCTGAATGGAACTAAAGCTTTCTCTCTTTTGATGTTTACAAAATTGTAACTTACCAGGTCAGCAAGAAGAGCATTGAAATGCTGCACAGCTTCATCATGTTTATGGTGCTCCCTTTCTGTATCCCTATCTCTTAAGTGTACAGCCAAAGTCCTTTGAACTTCCTTTTCTCTTTCCCTAAGAGAGGCCTCAACCCTTGCTTGTTTCTCCAAAGCTTCTTTCTCTTTAGCCTCTTCTTCTTCTTCTGCTTTCATCTCTTCCTAAAGTTAATTTTTTTTAGAACTTAGGTTGTTAACAAAAATAAAATTATAGTACACTTACTTCATCGATATCTTTTTCACTTGGTTTGTTCTCTTTCTCCTCTTCTCTTCTGGACCCACCTCGTTCTTTTCTTTCTCTATCCCTTTCTTTTCTGTCTTTCTCCCTCTTCCTCTCGTCTTTAAGGTGTTTAATGAATTCTCGGAACCAGTCTTCTCTTTGCATCGATGAGTCCACAGCCTTATATCTTGGATCTGAATCCAGTTTCTTTTTGACTTCTGACCATCTTGAATGTCTATCAACTTCACTTGATTCTTTCAGCATGGTTATAAAATCTTTCTTCACCTGAGGGAATAAGAAGAAAAACCAAAAAGTTAGTACAATGGTAATACTGTCATCTCCCTAAATATAATGGGTTGTTAGTGTTTCAGAATTCTTGTACATTCTTTAGTTAATCATATGTCAAAATGTACAAAATATTCTATATCATGAGTCAATCTTATTCTAATAATATATATAAATAAATATGCATACATAAAATTATGGTTATTATAATACAACGAAGAATAATATATAAAATTACAATCGTTTATATACATTCAACGATATAATTAAATATTTATTCTTCACAGGTAGATATACATGTAATCCCTGAAAATAAAATATTAGACAAAATAATAATATAAAAACAAAGTTATCTGAAGAATTCCATCAAACTACTATGTCAACTCCTAACATTAAATTTCCTAAAGGTATCTTAAAAGAGTTTATTTATTTATTTTTTTTTGCATGCATTAAAGTCAAATATTATGGAATTGATATCACTGCTACTTGATCAGTACCAATTTATTCAACAAAACTTCATAATAAATACTTTAAAAATAAATAAACGGTTAAATTTTTTTAGGATAAATATCCATTAATTTTCAATAAATAAATTTCTTATATTTATAAACATTAGTATTTATTATAAGAAAGAACATATTTATCTATTAAAAGAAATTATCTGGTAGGTAAGTAAATATTGAATGGATTTGCGCCAAAATATTTTTTTTTTCTTCTTCTTTATACTGTTTTAATTTGTCATATGAATTTCTTACCTCTTAGTACCTAAACGGGAAGAACATTTTATATTTGCAATGTAGATTTTAAAGTGGAAAATAAAGCTGGAGAGCCGGCACCTTCTGTACGCATCAAAATAAGTCGTCTAAAAGGATAAAAGTGTCTGCATGTGAGTACATTGTTTTGGCACAAACGTGTACACAATAACTTAAAAATCAAAATATTTAGTCACTTTTTGGAAGAAGTTTTGCAATATTTTTTGACATTTATTTTTTTTATGATTGAACAATTGTTACAAGAATATAAATGAATTTCATATTTCATCATACATGATAAAAGTGCTGCTTTAATTTAACTCACAACATTAGTAAAACAGCAATCAATATTCACTGGAAAGTCATTATTAGACTTATATTGTATATGTAAGACAACCAGGGATGTCTGAATGTTTTATAATTACCTAATGGTTATTGTAATTATACCTGGCTATTTTATTAAGCCAATGGTTGGACAATCGCAACCAACTATTAATTTATATCATATAACACAAACACTATTAATGGTATTTTAGTATAAATGAACTAATTTAGCAAAACAATAAGTGGCTGAAATAACTTAGTTATTATCAATTGAAAACATTATACCTAATCTACATCAAATATAAGACTATCTACAACTAATAATTTGCTGAAGATTGTAAAAATAAGAAAATTGGGCAATTGATGGCTTTAAAATACCTTAAATACATAAATAAATATATGCAAAATAACTATCTATTTAAGATGTTGGTTTATTGAGATTAGTAGCTGCCAACAATAATAATAAAGATTAGTAATGAAAAGTATTTATTTAAATAATTAAGAAACAAAAGTTGTTTTAGTTTGATTTATGAGTACAATCTAGTTGAACTAGTAATATTAGTCCTTTCTTTGTAGTCGTCTTTTCACATATTAAAATTTCAGAAAAACATTTGTCATGAAAGCATGTCTAAAATTAGCTTTATTCTTTACCATACCATTCATGAGAAAGCTAGACATTTCATTGCACTAAATTAAAGAGAAGCTTCAACACAGTTCTAATATGGTTTTATTTAAGAAACGTATAGTGTAAAAACATATTCTCCTAGACAAGCTTAACAAATGAACTAATACATTACTTAACTCTACCTAAACCCCAAGCTCTCAGAGCAATTGAAAATTTAAATTTCAAAAAATATCTGATGTCAATGACAAAGCAAAGCATTTCTGAGTAAAATCAAAATTAAATATTGCTTCCTTTGGGTCTGCTATAAAATATTATTTAAATATTACAATACTGTAATCAATACGTTAAAATTGAAATATTTTTGTTGTCTTTAATACTACAAGAGTGTTGTCATGAAATGACTGATACCCAGCAATATCTTGGCGCAGACCCATACAAAAAAAAAGTAATATCAATAAAAAATAAATAAAAACATCCCAAATTTAATAGCAAGATAATTTTATGAAAATTATGAAATACTTTAAGTAAAATTAATTTTAACTTTTTGTCATTTTGGTGTGCGTACAATGAAGTGTTTTTACGCTCTGAAAGCTGACGGTGGTTCTCGACTGGGTCGCTTGGCCTCGTCTTCGAAGTAGGCATCCTCACATTGGAAGGGATGAAGGTCACTCTGAGACAAACGTAATAGAGAGACAGAGAGACACACAGATGGACAGAGGCCAAGGTCTCTTCCATCCTCGCCACAGTTCAACGTCAACGTCACCCTATAGCCGCCAAGCAGGTGAAACAAAGTGGTTTTTCCACGTATCAGAATATGTAACTTTGGTTCTCTTTGTAAATTTTTTAGTTTTTCTTTTTTTAAATCTCATTAGCAATACATATTAAAAGATTTGATTTATTTTCAAAAATAAACAACATACTTTAAATAATCTTATATAAATTTCTTAAAATGTTAAATGAAATATATTTTTTTAAAATGTGTAAATGGATTGTTTAATTTTCCTAAAAAATTATTCTCCATGATCTTGTAAACATGATGGAATGATGCATGTGGCTACAATTTACCAACAATAATAAAACAAAGTGTATTAACGTAGATGATTCCAATTATAGCTATTAGTGATAAAAAATCAACTTATATTAAGAAAAACCGAAAGCATAATTAAAGAAAAATAATAAAAGGCATAACTTACCATATGCCAAAATATTAAATGTTAAATAAAATAAATATTAAAATTATACGTAAATTAAGAGAAATATTACATAACTAGAATATAATAGCAGTTGATTGGAATCATCTATCAATTCGGATATTTAAAGTACAGCCTGTGACAGGCCACACATAATAAAAAATAAAATAAATAAAATAAAAAACAGATAAATAATGATTTCAGACATTTTTGCACTTATATTTATGTTGTAGGACATGTAGATCTCAAATGGCGTTACTAAATTAGACTGCAAGATTGATTTTTTTTAAAAAGTAACTTTCTTTGAGATCTGATCTGAAAAGAAACAAACAGTGGGGGAAGGGAAAATACATGTGATGTGTAGATTTTACCTGATCCCGTTTCTGGACTTTTTCTTCTTTTTCTCTCTTTCTAACCTCAAGGATGTATTCATTGAAGAGCCCTTCTCTCTCCCTCATCTTCTCAATATTCTTGAATCTCTCATCTTTAGAGTATTTGGCTGTAAAATCACTGAACGAAGATCTGAAACAAAAAGGGCAATTAAAAAACACTTTTAATCTATTATCTATCTATTTTATTAGATTTTTTCTTATTTAATTATTTATAGAATACAACGTATGGTGCTGAGCAGCCATTGTGAGCCATACTGTATATATCATGCTAAAGTATGATTCACATTTAGGTACATATCTCCATTAGAACTGTAATAATATTAACACAATATGGTAGGCCCATCAAAATCGAAATAAATAGAAATTTTTAAAATTATGTACATTTGCTCATGCACTAGAGTAATTTAAATTATAACATCCTGCATGCACCTAACCTCAATTAGCTTAAAGATATTTCTATTAACTATTTTACTTTAAATTGTATTCCAATATATAAATATAATGGGTAACTGATAGATTCTCTCTGATTTTTATTATTATAATTAATACATTAAACTTTTTTTAATAGAGCAGGTAATTAAGTTTAAAATTCCAGCCAGCTCCCACTTTCGCTAAAGAAAATATTTAAAGATTGTCTTACTTTCCATGGAGGTTTGCATCCTGCATAAGACGTCGGAATTCTTCTTTCCGCTCTTTCATTTTGTTTCTCTTCTCACGTCGCTCTTCTTCTGCCCTTTCTTTGACATACCGCTCGAACACCACTTTCCTCTCTTTTGAAGTAAGCAGCAAGTATCTCGGATCAAAAACAATCTTATGTAGTTCTTTTTCCCATGTGCTAAATGCAGATACCTAAAATGAAATCATTAACTGGATTAGATTAATATAAGACCAGGATTAGAACAAAATCTTAATCGAAATGAATAATTTACATCTTTTTCGGATAGCATTTCTCTAAATGATTTCATTCGAACATCAAGAGGAACAATTGCCCTTTCTCTTGCAGCTCTAACTTCTGCTTCCATAGCTGCTTCTTTGCCTATGTCAATTGCCTTTTTCTCTCCTTTTTCAGTCTTTTCTTCTGTTAGAAAATAAACAAAAATTATTTTTGTATAAATTGTATTCATTTTTATTATATACACACCTGCTTTAGATTCTTGGATGGTATCAATTTTAGCTTTTTTAGCAGGCCCTCCATCTGATGAGTTAGTCACAGCTTCTCTTTTAACAGCAACAGCTGCTATAGATGAATCTTCCATGTTAGTAGTCATTGTCATGCCGTTAGTGACAGAGCTAACATTTCCTGAAATTACCGAACTAGCTGCGTTACTGGTTGCTTGAGTGACACCACCAACAACGACTACAGGCGGGGTAGAAACCAGTTTGTCCACATCAATACGGCCAGTCAGTTCTTCCGGTCTTTCCCAAACTGAAGTACGTGATGAAGGGTTGTAAAAGAACACACGTCCATCACCAGTCCAGACGACGCACCAAGGTGTGCCAGGTACAGGATTACTTGACACCGGTTTACTCTTATCCTGTGCAGACTGTTGCATAGTGGATTTTTCAGAAGTGGTTAAACCTTTTCCAGAATCAACATGTTCTTTGCCATTGTCTTTTTTAGCCTCATCACCGACATCACCATTAAGAACTTTATCACCATCTTCATTCATAACTTTTGGCGATACATGCAATTCATCAGGTTTCCCTGATATAACTCCAGATGCACTCATGGCCATCATTTGCATACCCTGAGCTGCGGCCATCTTTGCAGCTGAAAATAATTATTATTAAAGTTCTCCATAATTTAATTTGAAAGCCAGATAGTCAAACTATTCACATACCTTCAAGATCTTTTAAGGGTTGTGGTTTCTCCCAAACAGATTCACCTGCTTTTGAATTGTAGTAATAGAATCTTCCATCTGGAGCTCTATGTTCTGTCCAGTCTGAAGCTCTAGCAATAATCTCAGGATCAATCTGTTAATGAATGCCTATTAATATCCAATTTATGAGAAACATTAAAAAATGTTAATATATAATTTCTTCATTGAAATATGTTAAAAATATTTAACTGTTGAACTAATGCTAGTTCCATGTACCTGTGGCAATGTGGAATCATCAGCATGTTGCTGCATTGGATGCCCAAGGCCAGACATAGGCGGTGCTGCAATAGTAGGTGGTGGCCCTCCCATGATGGGTGGGGGTCCTCCAAGCCCCTGTGGATGTCCACCTGGGGGCCCAGTTGCCCAAGGTGGAGGGAATCCACCAGGGAAAGGAAACCCTGGTGGAGGCATCCCAAATGGAGGTGGCGGACCAACATAGCCAGGCGGTGGTCCCCCAAATCCAGGTGGAGGCATTCCTAGGCTAGGTGGAGGTCCACCTACCATTCCAGGTGGCACTGTAATTGATTGAATTACTCAAACAATTAAACAAAATAATAGAAAATAAATGTTTATTTTAATGAAATCATAGACTAACTTTGTTGTGGATCTTGGTGTTTATCTTGTTCTCCTACTGGCATACAGCCTGGTACACCTGATTGACTAACACCAACAGCAACAGCTTGTGCCATTGCTTCAACCTGAATAAAAGTTTAAAATTACCATTTATTTTGAAGAGGGGTAACTTGTTATTAAGGAAAAAATATATGTAACAATATACATAAAAAACAAATAGTAAGTATAATTTAATAATAAAACAGTATTCCAGAAATAAAAATGGATATAGCACACAATCCTGAAATGCTGCAGGACCGGTACTTATCCAGATAATCAAAAGTCCAGTTTATCTAAAAATTTATTTTATTAGGATTGTGTCATAAAAACGGACTTAAAAATAACACACTTACAAAAGTGTACACTTTTATTCATATAAGAAGTTACCTTTAAAGTAATAGACAGTCTTTTATTGACTTTTATTTAAGTCCAGACACGCGTTTCGCGAAAAATTGATACACAAAAAAATATATATAATGAAAAAACACCTTTTTGAGGGAAGCCAACAAAACACAACAGAACAATTTCTCGTTTTTTTAAAATAGGATACACCCTTTATTATTATTATTATTATTTATATATTTATTATTATATTTTTGTTTTTAACAAAAATGTGACTGTTGGCCTCTCTGATTGTGTAATGAGGAAGAGCGATTTGGCGGCCTTTAAGAATTTGAATAACGAAACAATCCATAGTAGAATTATACATACATTGAGAATTATGAAAAATTTATAAAAAATATTTTAACAAATGGGTCCAGATAAATGGGATTCCACTGTAATTGATTTTCCTGTCTTCAAAATAAATGACAACAAAATAAAGGGGCCGTCGGTAGCCACAACGGTTTAGGCGTTGACACGGCGCTCATCACTGTATGGTAAAGGTCCCGGGTTCGAATCCAGAGGCCCTGCATTCGAACCCAACATATTACAAATGGGCTTTTTTCAAAAACACCGGCACCCTGAGGGTTTACATGACCTGTTGTTGCAAACCCTCGTAAAAAAAAAAAAAAATAATAATAATAAAAAAAACTTAGTTTCAAAAATGAATAAACCTACAAGACAAAAGGTAAAATATAAAAAAAATCAATGAAAAGTATAATAAAAATGCATCGTTATTTAATACCTGTTCTTGCATTATAACTTTAACATTCCCTTCTGGTTTAGTCCAAGTAGTCTCTCTTGTCCTAGCATTGTAAAAGTAGGATTTCCCTTCAGGTGATTTTGCTTCAACCCAAACCTCACCACTTAGATCCAACGAAGGAGGAGGGCCTCCTTGATTCATAGTTTGCATAGTCGGCGGAGGCACGTTCATTGCTGGAGAGCTTTGTACAGGAGGCCCTCCAACACCAGCAGGCCCCTGTCCTGTTTGACCTTGTTGCTGTTGTGGAGGTTGCTGCTGTGGTGGTTGGTGCTGAGGGGATTGTTGAGGTTGCTGCTGAGTTTGCTGGGACTGCTGCTGTTGAGCTGGCTGTTGATTGTTATTTCCTTGAGGAGGTTGGCCAGTTCCTGGCTAAAAATAAAGTAGTATAAATGAAATAAAATATAATTAAGTCACAACATTCAATTTCAAAATAAAGATACCATAAGATATCAAAATAAATATAACCTACAATGAAGACAATTCATATCAATTCAGAAAAAGTGTGCTTTATATAAAATTAATGTTTTCAATTTTTTTTCCAATTTTATATTTAATTAGAAAAATTTGAGGACTAATTTGTTAAGAAAATGTGACAACAAAACAGAAATTAAAACACCAATTTACCTACAATATATCAACAATTTACCAACATCTAGTCACACTAAAAAGCTAGTTATCAATTGTTTGGATGTTTGCCTTCTTGTTAGACCAACAGAACTATTTTCATTTAATAAGAATAAATATTTCGGTAGAATAGATTTCTTGGAGAAAAAATGTTATAAGGAACACAGATGTTTAAAAAAAAAAACAACAAAAAAACAGTGGTGAATAGATAAATCAGTGCTTAATAATAACCCTAGTTCAATATGAAATTTTATAGGCACATTTGTTCTACAAATTCTATTTGTGTCGAATGCATAGTTCCAGAAAAATATTTCAATAGTGTATTTATACGTTATACGCACAAAGTTTGATTTTTCCACCAACTGAATTTTTGTTATTTAAAAAAATAATATAAGACAATAAATGGAAGAAAAATCAATAAAGTTTAAATTAATTACCAAAATAAATATAATTAATCAGAAAATTGGGTAACTTGTAATTTATAATTCAATTTACAACTATTTTTTAACTGCAGAAAGATTACTGATTAACACATACAATTAAATTTTATCTAATAAATTATTTGTTCCAACTTAATTAGATCATTTTAAGTTTGGCATAAAAATTGTTAGGTCTTTTGTTGAATGTGTTTTTAAATGTTTAGGGGCGATCCTGTGCCAATTAAATTATTATTCTTTTCTTCATTATTGTTGTCTTTCAATTTCTTTGTGTAGGTAAAATATTTCTGTTTTGTAGGCCTTTTGTTGAGGTGTTTTTCAATATAATTACAGTTTTTCAATGTTTCGACATTCTTTGTCATATTTAAGAACTACATATATTTTATTCAACAAAACGACACAATACTTATTTTTTTTTACAATGTTTGTATAACTTTAAGTGTGTCTAATAACTTGATTATAAATGTATTAAATGTTTGAAATTTTTTTTACAGAAATAAAATGTACATAGTTCTCGATAGCATAGGATACTGAAATATTGGAAATCTGCAATTTTATTTTAAAACACCATCAACAAAAGGCCTACAAAAAAGTAAATTACCTATTTAAAAATGGCACAGAAAAGCTAAAATGTTGAAAAAACTTTAATTTTATTTATTTATTACTTTCACATTTCATAGGTGTGAAGCAAGTCCAGTCTGATTTTTCTGATCTATCATTTAGTTCCTTGACATTTCTCAATTTGTATAATAATTTTACCTAAAAGTCATGTAAGATAATTATGTTATTAGATAATACTTTTCATTAAAAAAAAAAATAAAATAAAAATGTCAGTTCTGCCCAGGTTCTTTTTGAGGCTGTTTTTATATTTATAATTAAGGTAATAGATTCCCCAATTATGATGAGTCACAATAGACCATCAGTTTTTCCCCCTGAGTCATGCATGTTTAGAAATTATTATTGTTGTCAAGCTTTTGAGTTTGGATTTAAATATTTTTATCTGACATTTATTTACCCATAATGGTTGAGGGATTTTGTTAAATAAATAAAATGCATATAATTTAAGCATCACTCCTAGAGTGGCGGATGCCTACCCAGCAAAGCAAAAAAAAAAAAAAAAAATCTCGCCAAATCTGTTACTTTATATACCGTTACATTCTTCTACAAGAAACCATTAATTAAAATAGAATATAAAAGAAGCAAGGTAACAAACCATGGTTCAATAAAGATGAGAAAGAATTCACTAAACAAAGAGATGTCATTTAAAATAACTAAGAATTATTCTAAATAAAAAAATTAAAGAAACGAAGACAAAATATTATAAAACAAATAATCAATAAAAATAAATTCACTAATTTCGTGATCCACTTGACCAATTAATATATTACAATTAATTAAGGTTTTTAGTTGAGCTAAAAAAGTCAATGGCACGAGCGGGATTCGAACCCACATTCTTCGGCTAGATACGTCGCTGCTCGTACCACCTGAGCTACCGTGACCTCAGGTGGTAGAGCAGCGACGTATCTATCCGAAGATCGTGGGTTCAAAAATCCCGCTCATGCCATTGACTTTTTTATCTCAACTAAAAACCTTAATTAATTGTAATAAAAATAAAGATAATCCCAAAAAGGTTTGGTTGTTATTTGCTCTTTTGTCCTACATAACCACACTTATAGTAATCAGAAATTTTAACTTGAATTACTCCTGTTTTAATTTCATATTTATCCCAATGTCTAATCCTCATGTAAACATGATCTAAAAGCTCAGTGATAATTCCCTACAATTCTTATCTGATAATGTTGAGTATCCCAGGACTAAGTCCTTCACTGTGGAGTATACTACTATATTTTCACCACCTAGACATAACAAATTGCTAGTGCTTTTTACTACTAGAAATAGCATTTCTAGTTGTCATCTAGTAAGGACCACAAGTTTTAGAGAGGATGATTTTTGTACTATTATGATACCACATGTCCTTTTGTCAAACGTTCCTGTTAATTAATTCACAGTAATTAACTTCCACCATAATTATCTCAACAACAAAAAATGTTTAAAATACACTTCAGGAAAAGGCCTACAAAAAGAAATATTTTCTTTCCAAAAAGAAAAAGCAGGATAAACTAAAACTAGATAATAATAATGAAGAAAATAAAAATAATTTTTATTTTACTTTCACCAGGTTTTATTTTGTTTTGAAAGCTTTCGGACCAACACTCGGCCTCTCCTCAGTTTTCTGACCTATGTGGGAGATATTAACCTAACTTATTATTATTATTTCATTTAATGTTCAACACTTGAAATTGCCAGCTGTTTTAAACATAAGCATTATTCAACAAAATCTTAAGCCTAGTCCACAGGGGGGACTCTACATTTGGATGTGAATCCCGTGTGCGTCTTGGATGTGTCCGGGCAGCCTCAACTCGTTGTCACACTGAAGGTGTGTTACTGGTTAGTATTTTCAGCATCTTTTGAGACCCGACCAAAATGGAATCTTTGACTCAATGTTGGGCAACATTGGGCCAGAGTGGACATGAATCTATGCAGGGTAGTGGTTGCATGCCTCCATGTTTCTTTAGTTAGCCATTAGTTCAGTTAGCTTTCTTTTTTTTCAGTTATAATTGTAATTTAAGTCGTATAATGCTGTGGAGTACCCAAAAAACATTGAAATTTATTGAGGACATACAGTCCCATCGCTGTTTGTGGGTGTAAGTTCCAGTAAGTTGAGAAACCATAATTTTAAAAATAAAGTGTTAAAAAAAATAAGAGTTCTGTAATGTTTCGGTAACCAAAACTAAAAAAATTGCACACCTTGAAGGGTCAAGAACAAAAAACAAAAAATGAAAAACAAGTAAAGTGGTACTTCAGCAACTAAGTTTTCTTGGTGGTTCGACTATGAACGTTTATAATTTTTTCAATCGTGGCACAGTTTTCTTTCCACCATCTTTTGTAAATTTGTTTATTACAGCTGTTATTTATTAAACAAAATAGAGCAAGCGTAATTCCTGAGAGAACAACTTCATCCTCATTTTCATTAGAACTGAATCGTAACATGAATCTTAGAGTAGACATGGTTTTTTTGTTGCAGAGCAGAGAGTAGGCTAAGTGTGAAAACTGCATCTATGCTGAATTGCAACATGAATAAACTCATTCCCAGTGTGTACTGGGCTTTATTCTGTATTCAACATACTGTCACTACTTTTTAGACCTGGTTCTTAATTAAAATAAATTTAAGGAACGCATGATCAAAATTTGTTTAAACTTCAGTTATACAGAAAAGATGTGTCAGAACTGGTAGTTTTCGATGAAATTCTTTTTAATTAAAAACAAAAAATGTGAAATCATGTTCCAACATTTTGTGAAAAGAATAAACTATATTTTTTGGTTCAAAGCATGGCAACAGTTAGTGTGATTATTATTCTTGTATGATAATTGAGCCTCCATTCAAAGAGAAAAAGCATTTACCTGCTTCTAATTAATGTTTTCAAACATAGCAGATTAAAATTTAATTATAAAAAAAATAATTATACAAGCACGGAATAATGCTAGAAATAGTGTTATGAGCCGAATTGTAAGTTTACCGGTGGCATCATCTGGGGTGGAGGTGCATTTTGATTTGGGGGTCCACCCATTCCAGGAGGAGGAGGTCCGAATGGTCCTGGTGGCGGCATCAAAGGTCCTCCAGGGCCCATCATGTGTGGGGGAGGAGGCTGCAAAATTCACACTCATAAAAACGCAATCTTAATCTTCCAAAAAAGAAATACCTGGTGACTTCTGTTGCTACTACAAATCACGAATAATGCTTTGCCAACAGGTTACAAGCATATGTACGTAAAATATCAATTCATTACTGAATGCACTCACAAAATAAAATGAGAAGCCTCCACTATTTGGAGAAATAGATAGAGTAGATAATTTGTTTTCTACTGATGATAGGAAAAGTTGTATTTTTCTTATGAAGAGTAATATAAAATTTTAAATTCAACACATTCGGATCATTTATCTACCTTGGAATTAAAAAATGTGACCAACGAATGATAAATGACAAAAAATGATTTATGTGAATGAAATTTAATTTATCATTCACAACCACCACAGTAATTTCCACTAGTTGGCGAAAAACTTTGCTACCCTTTTTCACAACATTGGCTTTTAGTTTGGAATCCTGCTCAAAATTGGTACATTATATGTAACATGCACTTTTATAGTCTTATTTAAACATTTTAAATATATTAACTGGACCAAATTCATATGTAGTAGTACGTATAAAGTATAAAATAAACAAGACAATTTATAATTATTGTAGGTTTCATAACATTTTTTTACTCTATAGAATAAAATTTGTGCAGAACTTAAGTTAACAAAAAATATTTTCTATACTTACTCCCATCCCTGGTGGTCCTCCTGGTGGTCCCATCATGTGGGGTGGAGGCCCTCCTGGGTGTGGTGGCATCCCACCAGGTGGTGGCATTGGTCCCCAATTCGGGTCATAGCCGGGTGGAGGAGGCCCTCCTCGGAATCTTGGTCCTCTCGGCCCAGCACTAAACGGAGGTGGTCCCCTGAAGCCAGGTGGCATAGGTCCTCTCGGAACAAATCCTCTTCCCCGGAACCTTGGCGGCGGTCCATGCCCCTGCCCCATTCTCGGTCCACTACCAAACTCCATTCTATTATTACCTCTCCCTCTACAATTGTAAAATGCTTGATTACAGATATGTAATCAATAATGTAATTTGGCAGAATTGCATATTTCGGCTTAACCTTCGCATTTAAATCATTCATTGTAATTTCCCACATTACATCACACTCTGTATTTACCAATTCTAATTTCTTACTACTAATGATGCCCCAATTTGTACTTCAAACAGTGTTCAATTTAGATTAATTAAACGAATTTAACTTACTAGATAAAATTGAGAAAGTGTGTGAAGAAAGCAGTCTCTACCATTCATAGTGGTCAGGGGTATTTTAAAATCTACAGAATGAGGGTGATTTCAAATCCATGGAAAGTTGAAAGGACCATAAGAATTTGCTTTTAAATGAAGTGATCGCAGGAAAGATGAAACTTTCCAGAGGCTAACATTTCATATATTTTACAGCAAAATAGTATAATAGTATAATGAACGGTCACTAAAAACTACACAGTATAATGAAGTTTTAACCTCTTTATAGCCCTTTTCCCCATCCTACTAGCCCTTTGGAAAATTAATTTTATTTTACTAATACTAACAATGACATCATTTTCCTCAAAATACTTTGAAATACTTTTGTAACTTATTATGAGCATCATGGCAGGAAAGAGCCAAAATCACCAAATTTTCAGCATATAGGAACATGATCAATCTTTCATGTTTCCCATTTCAATTGTGATTGAATTATGACTTTATTATTGACTTTATGGTGCATATATAACATTGATCATTTAAATAGCTAAAATATAGTTGTCAATATAGTTGACTTGGGGAACTAAAAGTTAGGCAGCTCAATGGTAGGACATCAGAGTATATATCCATAAGTGATGGGTTAAGAGTTCCATTCATGACACAAAATGTATTAATTAGGTTATAATTTGTATTAATTAGTTTGTACATATTTTGTAAATGTAATTATTAGTTTGTAACTAAATAAAAGTTTATTTTATGGAAATATTTCAAATATATTTATTGAAAATGATTTTTATTTTTTAATGAAATTTCAACTTTTCACCTCAAATAATGACAAAATAATCAAAGTAGCTGCATTATAAAAGAAAATTAGAAAAGCAAAATAATAAAAAGGGTTTTTCCAAAATCAGAAACTAGGCGATGTGTGTTACATAACTTGGAAGTTATCATATGAGACCATCCAAAAAATGCTAATTTAGAAAACCAATAAAATTAAAAAATATATTTATTTTTCCCATGTTTTATAACTTGTAATTATATAAATTACCACACCGAGGTTCGACAGCATTTCAGCTCCTGCATCCAACCACGAAATAGGTAGCATTCCAGTACTAATTATTGTTAACATTTTTTTAAATGTAGTACTCCCAAGAGTAGACACATGTAGAATTTGATATAATTGTGAGGTTCATCCAAAAAGACGTAGGGTACTGCGAAGGAGTAAATAGAATCATCTATTTTCACCTTAGGAACTTAAATCATCATAAAATTATTCCCACTTCTGCCAGGATAATGAAACAATTTGATTTTAAAGAAATTTGAAACAAGTACTTAATTGTAAAGCAATTGTTCAAAATCGTTATATCCTTTTGAAAACCATGAATATCCAGACATATGTTTGACATGGGTGAACATTTAACTTGACTTAATTGACAAGCATGAGCCAATGTTTAACCGCTGAAATTAAATTATGTTGAAGCTCATCTACTCATTAGGTTTTTTTAATACTTCACTTTAAAGCATGTAGTTACATTTTTACCTTATCGGTGATATTGGCCATTTACTCATATCAGTAGTATATTATTAATCAGTGTAATCTTTCTTCCTTTTTTATACTGTTATTTCTTAAAATCGTTACTCCACTTTCTTTCAGGGACAATAAATTAGCTTATAACATCTTACACATGATGTTGATGATTAATGAACCACAGTTATACAGTAATGATTACTTGGAGATTGTGAGATGCAGTCTGGTGTAACGCAGGTTTAGAAAAACAATTTCCTCTAAACACTACACAGTTATAACGTGTCTTCGTTTGGTTTGTCCACCGTTGAAAAGTTTTTGTCTTTGAAATTGATATTCTGTGCTGCAGATATTTAATCTTTACCACAACATCACAAGTAGACCAGTTTGGAGTGATATTTCATAATTTTCATCAATTTCAGTCAAATAAGCCCCGTACATTTCAACCCTTTTGTAGAAGGTTGGATAAATTTTTTCAGCAGTAGTGGAAATAATTTATCCGACCATCTGCAAAAGGGTTTCAAGATGTTCAGGGCTCATTCTTAAAAATGCCAGATATCTATAAATTGTATATGAAGATTAAATGCAACAATTCCTTTTGTCAATAAAGCAGACCGTCCAGACCCACTTCATTTCACTACTTATATTTTTTTATTTTTAGCATCAGTAAATTACATATTTAGGAACAAATTAAAAACAAACTGTTGAGACACATCTGATTTTGGTTGTGCTAGTGGCTTCAAGGTGTAGATATGTGACTGTCAACAGACAAGGTGTATCAAAACTTAAGTTGCGTTTTCACTGAGCTGACATGATAAGGGCCCACAAGGGCAAACACATCACATCAGGCAGCATGGCCTCTCGTCAGCTGGCACTACGCGTTACATTGCACACACTACACTGACGAGTGTAGTCTGTCAGTTGATGTTTTGTTCTCTTTAGGAATGGTTGTACTCTTTAGCATAGAGGAGTTCTCTCTCAAAGAGGAATGATACCGAACTACCAGAACATGCTTTTAAATGAGCTTGATGAAGAAGAAGAAATTGCCGAGTCTATATACCTGATTGCAGTGATGATCTACGCAATTAATGAGAATCGGAGGGAGCATGGCGAATTTCACTTCTTCACCCTCAATATTTGGTTTTCTGGTACTCCTTTGAAAACAGATCATACAAAACGGGTTGCTCCGGACATACTCAATCAGCAGTTCTTCCATTTCCATGCCATCATTTTGCAACACACCTTCACACTCACCGACAATATCTGAAAAGTTTGACTAGGTACCACACGCGTGAGGAAGCGTATGGTAGGGTCACCCCATCAGTTCCCATATTTCCTCCTGTTGTCAGATCAATGTGTACACTTCTATTTAAATCAACATCTGTTTTTTTCAACACACGAGGGAATATGTGGGCCCACGTCACGTCAGTGGGTTCTATTCATTTTAAATTCAAAGTTAATTTTTTGTTTAAAACATCTTTTAAATAAGATAAGAAATCGAAAATACATTCCTCAATATTAACACAGCGACATATGTAAAGGATTTTTATTTATGCTGAATCTATGTTGTCTCCTTTAGTAAATAGGTTAGGTTTAGTGTGTTTGTTGGAAGGCTACATTACACTCAGCATAATGTATTTAAAAAGATTTGTCACACTTTGAATGAATACATTTGTTTCATAATTTTACCGTAATTATTTCAATTAGTTATACTTTTTATCTAAGGTCTTGGTTGAGATGGAAAAGCTCATGTCACTAGTGGGGTTCGAACCTAGAACTTTCGGCTATAGCTACGAACCTAAGATTAAAAGATAATAAATTGAAATAATTAACAAGGTCAACTATGACTGCTAAACATTCATGAACTTTACAGTCCGGTGAATAAGATGGAATTTGATGTTGACCCTACTATTTATATAATGAACAAAATTTGGGCAGAGGAAAACATTAACTTTTTCGGTTTAATAATCGGGAGTCGAGAGAATGGAAATTGTGGAGAAAGAGCCCATTGCAGGGGGGCCGGCTGAGTTAGCCGGGAATGGGACAACTCCCGAAATATGCAATGGTACCAAATCCATATGGTTCAAACGCGTTTACCTGAAACCGCCCCTGCCCCTGGGGCTGTGCTGGCGGAATTCGCCACCCCCGCCGCCGTACTCCTCTTCTTCGTCCTCGACCCCTTCTTCGCCTTCCACAGTCTCGTCGTACTCCTCTTGCTGGTCCGTCGGCGAATGGTCAATGCCGGAATCGTCCATGTCCTCCATGCCGAAACAATTTCCGTGATAATTATCTGGAAACTCGGGTAGCGAGATTCTGATTAGAGGCGACGGGAATACCTTCCCGACGACGATAGATACTAGAGTTTTGGGTAGCGTATAGAACTAACGAGTAATGGCCGACCGCCGAATACAAACTCAAACTCTACGATTCTGAGCTGTGCTACCAACATGACGAAAATACAAACTGATAAAACAGAACTATCTAAGTTTATATTTATTTTTGTCTATTTAAATGATACCGATATTGAAATCTAATTTACTAAAACACTTCTTATAAAAAATAAAAATAAAACGAAAAAATTCATTATATTTACAACTTAAAAAAACCTCGCATGCAGTCCAAAATATGCGTGGATAATTGAAATAAAATACAAATATGAAATATTCATCTCTTTATTCTTTATAAACGATTAAAAAAACAGCTCGCGTGCTTTAATGATGTATCTCTATTGTCCAGGAGAAAACGGGTGAAAGTAGAAAAATTGGCCAGACTGGTGTATCACTCGGTGTAAATTTTGTGTGCCAAAAGTTTGGAATTAACTGGAAATAAATTTATTTTTTGAACGTGATCTTTGTTCGGGCTTGTGTTTTCACATTCTTCACAAATTTCAGTTTTAAAGAATCGTTTCCCCTAGGTCGAGACAAGCCGTCCTGCGTGATTGCTCCTTTATATCGTAAACAATTGTCCGAGGTAATTTTTCATATTTTTTGTTTGTTTTTAATGAAAGAGAGGCTTCTTTCATTTAAATGTGATTACCAGGCGGGTTTCGTCATTCCGACCGAATTTTGAAAGTTTCCGTCTTTTTCAGATGTGCTGTCTTCCGGAGATGGTCCTTCCGTCAAGATATTTTACAGTAATATGCACTTCTATTGGGAAATTTAGAAATTCTTATGTTTTACTTCCTTACGACGACTCTCTAGAAGGTGAGGTCTTGTCTGATACTCTAAAACAATCACTGTTAACTTTGTAATTATTAATTGTACAGGAAAAATATTTTAATAATACCACATATATACTTTTCTCAAAATTTATATCTTACAAATAAAGAGCACACTTTACATTTTGGATTTTTAGATTTGGATTTATACAGGCTCAAATCTGCACATTAACATACATATAAACATGTGCTGAGTTGAGTTTATTCGCTTTTCGTAGTACACCGGCGAGTTACAGTAAATTGCCAGCAGGCTCAAGAATCACCAATCCAGGTGTTGGCAGTCCGCAGATCCAGTCTTATCTGACGAGCCACTGAGGTTGGGTTTGGAAAGGAGGGTGCTGTCAACAGCCATTTAACTCCATCGCATGCAGTTCCAATACCATTCGTACTCACATTCATTCTTAAATACATTCATAAGTATTTACATACCATTCATTCAATTAAGTTGGTGGAGTGCTCTATATTTCTCCATCACCCTTTACACATATTATACAACTAACTTAATTGAGGGTTGATTTGGGTACTCAATTACACCATGGACCCTCACACATCATAATTCACATTAGTAAGTGCATTCACACTAATCAATACCTTCACCCTCAACATACTTTACATATAGTCCCATAAATTATTCTTGCTAAATTGATTTATAATTTTTATGTAAGGTTTAGTTGAGATTTGTTTTTCTTTTTTGCAATTTTAAACTTATTGATCAAAGCATATTACAGTTGTGATTGTATATTAAACATAAATTATTATCATGTAGAAATGTGTGGTGATTAGTGACCGTTAATCAATAATTATTCAGAAATCGTGAGATGCGGTCTGGTGTGATGTAGGTTTTAGAAAAACGTTTCGATCTTTATTGAGATCATCTTCAGGGCCTGGGATTTACAAACATTGTTTACATTTAACAAATACATTTAGTATGTGGAAAAGAGAATTTATACAATGCAAAATATATATATTTTTTTAATATATTCAATCAAAGTATTTCTACTCAAAGTGTTTGTCTTCTGTGTAATTGTGCCATTCTCGCGTGTCGTGTTGAGAGTGCCAGTGAGATTTTGCTGTTTTATGTTTATATACGTTGAATTTTGAAAGGGTGGGGAAGGAAGTCGGTATAGACAAGACATTTTTGTATAAGGTGTCGGCTTCTTTGAGGTGAAAAGAGCCAACAAAGGGAAAAAATTTGTTGGTAATGGTTCGGCCAGATTATCCTTTCAGGATTATATAGAAAGGGATAAATAGGAAAAGGAAAGCTAAATTGTTGGACAATTAGACCATGTGAGAAATATTTGATGTGTGGAATGTAAATCGAAACGTTGGCACGATAAAGAAAATGTTTTTCTGACACCTACATCACATCAGACCGAATCTCACGATTTCTGAATAATTAATTAATAAATTATTATTTTGAGATAGTGAGATGTGGCCTGGTGTGACAGGTTTAGAAAAACATTTTCCTTATCATGCCAACGTTTTGATCTCAATAAAGATCGAAACGTTGGCACGATAAAGAAAATATTTTTCTAAACCTACATCACACCAGACCGCATCTCATGATCTCAAATAATCATTAACTAATGGTCACTAAACACCACACATTAAATATAAAATATGATTATTTGGAAATCGTGAGATGTGGTCTGGTGTGATGTAGGTTTTAGAAAAACATTTTCTTTATTGTGCCAACGTTTCAATCTTTATTGAGAACATCTTCATGGCCTGGTATTTACAAACATTGTTAAATTTAACAAATAAATGTAGGATGTGGAAAAATGTGAATTTATACAATGCAAAATATATTTTTTATATATTCAATCAAAGTATTTCTACTCACTCAAAGTGTTTGTCTTCTGTGTAATTGTGCCATTCTTGTGTGACGTGTCGAGAATGCCAATGATAAAATATGACTTGAAACATGTACTGAAGACAAACACTCAGCTGCATTCCTCACTTAATATGATTATTGATAAATTTGGTAACAACAGCTTTCAATAATTAATTATTTAACTGTAATAGATACGAGTTTAGGATAGTATAAGGTCAGAGAGTCTTATTTCCAATTGTCTTTGTGATCTGGGAGGAGCAGTTGGCTGAGCGATTTCTTGCATTAGTTGGTTGGGGTGTGCCATCAATAAACCAGTGGTGTCAACTATAGGTGTCCTTGAAAAATTAATTGTTAAAAATTGTTATTAAACAAGGACCAACTAAAAAACATGGATTCCTTGTTAAACGTGCATTCTGAAATGTGTAAGCCTACTTTTTCTTTAGTATCATATTATTTTTAATTATTTTTGATCAATATTTTCCATATTAGCCAGTTAATATAGTTATAAAGTTAGAAAAACAATTTTGGTTACGGGTGATAAAGTTTCTAAATGGTTGAAGCAATTCATTATTTTTCCGAATCAATCAATTAAAAGAAAACAATAATGATGAAGCTAACTTTTATGTTCTACTAGCATTAATGTGTACTCCATGGTCCCTTGGTAGGTTTGGAAAGTGATGAACCTTATGAATGTTGAGATGATGAAACTGATCTAATTAACCCTCTACTGTACATAAAACAGGATGATCACAGATCTAGGTACTTGCTTTTTTCCAGTTTTTTCTTGGTTTGCCTTGTCCTTAGCAATCTGTAGTTTGGTCGTTTCTGGTTATCCACCGTTCTTCACTGCAATAGTCTGTCAGAAATGTTTCTGGTTTTCACCATTTAAAATGTCGGGTTTGTCTATACTCAGACACCGCACACCACACAGAACTCCATAAAGAAATCACAGCTTTTAACAATTTGGCCGTAACATTTACACAACCTTATTTACCTGAATCAGGGATAACTGAACTGTAGTTGATGGTAACATTGTCTGAGTAGCCAGCATGCACTTCATTTATCCCCCCCCCCACTTGCTTTCCATTTTTCTCTGTATGATGTGACAAGTAATTAATGACAAGTATTTCTCATTGTGGTGTATAACGTAAAAGTATTCCTCTTTACACTTCTTAATCTTTTACTGTTTATAACTTTTTGATCAATGTTTGTAAGACCTCTGTATTTATTGTTCTGTCAATCCAGCATTTTGAGAAACGTCGAGCCCACCTACACTTTAAATGCTTGTATTCATATAAGCATATCGTCTGAGAACATCTATTTGTATGCTAGTATAAAATAATACTATGCATAATTATTTTAATACAATTTATATTTAATATAACAGGATGGGCCATAGGCCCTACACTGGTAATTTTTGTGGAATATTAGCTTATATTACATTATATTGGTATTATTTTATATGATTTATTTATTTAATAGCAGTTAATCTGGTTGGCTTCCCAATATTCAGAATGATGAATCATACCTTTTGAATTGGTGTGGGGGAGCAGTAAGGTATAACTGAGGAGCTTTGTTTATAAATTGTTTCATTCCTAATTATTGCTTAGCAATTCTTTCTGTATAAAAACATAAACTTGATATGTTTCTTAGAGTGATAATTGCAATGAACCCATCGGTTTCATCCTAAAAAAACAACAATTTTGAGAATGATTCATTGCTTGGTTTTAAACGTATAACGTACATATTATGATATTCAGTTTTCTACAAGATAAGACCATAAGTAACCTCTCTACATTGTCTGTGATTACACAATTGAAAAAAATAATAAAACCCTTTTCACTTACATAATTTTGTAATTGGTGGTTTAGAAGTTTGGGTACTACTGGTATGGTTAAATCCATGTTTATGTACATGTTCTTGAGATACCACAATGACGCTGTGATCATTGTACATTACTTTTTAAATTATTTGGACTCATTTAATGAGCGAATCTGAGACTGTTATTTAAACTTATTATCAACGACTGGGTTTATAAACAGGTGCTTTAGTATTTGCTTTCAGTCACAAGTTTTCTAAAATGCCTTGGTTAATTCCAATTGTTTTTCTGCTATGTATTTCATACCATTGGAAAGGACACTGTGATTCGATTCCGAATCACTTCACTGTTCAAACTGTTAACTTTCTTCGTATAATTGGTTGTGGATAATCATAACTTCATGCCAAATTTCGTTTATTTGTAAACATAAACGAAAGCTTGGAATGAAGTTGGGAGTTTCTATATTTATGTGACCTAATACCTTATTTGGCACAATCGAATGTACCCAAGGTCAATACATTTCTTAATAATTTCTTCGTATAAACGAATTTGGCCGTGTGATGCTACACTTGGCAACTACATTCTTTGCACAATTTGTCAATGTGGTACATATTTTATTTGTAGAATTCAAGCTAAACATAACTTTCTTCAAGAAATTTGATTTCCGGGTGAACCAGCTGACATTGAAATCTGATTGAGGTTTGTAGAGGTTTAAAAAGGAGCGCGGTTGGCATTGGGCAATCGTCCTTCCGTGTATCCGCTGTTTGTATACATCTGATATCGCGTGTTCAAGTTGTCGAAATAGAGTTTCTCTCGTCGACAAAAGTCAGGGGAATAGTTTTGAAATTTGGATCCACGGTTTTCTATCCAGCAAGAATGAAATTGGCAATTAAAAGGTGTGGTGTGAGTGTATTTTCAGTGGTGACTGGATCGGGTCCGAAGGTGGCCCGGGCCGACGCGATTGGTCCGGCCGTAACAACCGAGTCAAAAGCCGAGCTAGCTCTCCTCCCTTCCTTGCACTTTAATTCTATTAAAAGAGTGAGAGTTTTTCCAAAACAAAACCCGATAAAAGGGGGAAAGAGGCCCGGGTTATCCGAATCGGGAGTTTTTCCGAAAACTGTGCTTATTTGTCAATAAACTCCCTTCGTTTCGGGATAATAAAGAAGCCTAAATGACCAGCGGAATCGGTGTGAGTGATCGTTGTTTTGCCTCCTCGGCGAGATGTTGCGACTCGGGTAGACGTCCGCCATTGCGACTTCACTTCAACAATTATTTTAACACGAGTTTTATTATTAGAAACCGGCTGTGATCTCAACCAACAAGTTCGTTTGATTTTTTTCAAACAAAAAAAGTGTGAAGATTCTTCGGTAAGGACTGAACATTTATTTATATTAGTGGTGTAAATCAAAATGAAAATAAGAGTGACTGTAAAATAAATGTTGGCTCAAGTGATGCAATGCGTTTCTTTCCTTTTGGCGCTAACGAAAACGATGCGCCCGTTAATTTTGTCCGTTTACGAATGGATCTAGTTTAATTGAGCAGATTTTCTAATTCGCGAGCACGTTGCGCTCTTTTTTTCTTCTTCTTTTTTATGTTAAATGGTCGACCCTTTGTTTATTCCATTGCTATCGCTTCTGAGCTTGTCTGAGAGTCAGATTGTATGCATTTGTTATAATGAAATTTTAAATAAGTGACTATTTTTGTTCGCAGTGGGATAGAAGTGGAGTGGAGCGGGAGCGGCGAGGGCCGAGTTGGAATTCAGTCGGTCCGCGAACGTTGCTCGAACAGCGTCTCCGTGTAGACACGCACCTATTTTGGAAAAATCGTCATCCTGTCGTTTCGTTTGATGTGATACATTTTTATTTCTCGTTAATTATTGTGATAGTGGATATAATTAGTGATAAAGTGTGTTCAGTGCGTTTGAAGTCTCGATTTTAGTTCATTTTAGTAACCAGTATTTTAAAAAACGACACGTGGTGAGACGTATTCTCTCGGTACCGTCGATTATGGTGTATTTTGTCCGTTGGGCGGAATGAGCGGAGACTGAGGACACCGTGCCCGAGCGAAAAAGGAAAAAAGACGTAATTTCTTTGACGAACCCATGAATGAATGGGATTGAGAGAGGCCTCGGCGAGGCGTCCAAATGTGGTTGTCATGGCCCCGGCGTTGACGGAAACGGCCCAGTCCCAAAATTTCAAATTCGCTTCGTCCGTGTCGTTGTCCCTGAAGGAGCACCAGTTGAAGAGGGCTGATGTCGCGAATGGTATGAACGGCCTTTCGACGACCTCCCCCAAACCCACGACATACTCGATAAATGGCATAGCGAAAAATCTGAAAAACGAATTCTTATTGTTGAACCATCATCAGCAGCAGCAGCACGATGGAGAATATTCGGACCCGAATATAGGATTCACGATGAATAGCGGTTATGAAGAACCGTTGGCGATGGGTATGGTGAAACCTGACAAAGAGGCCGAGGATAAATCAGGCGAGGCGGACATGCTGAAAAGCCTCGTCGTCGGGAACAGCGAAGAGTTAAGTTCGACGGACATGGGCCAAGTCGAGGAGATCCTCGAGGCCATTCAAGGTACGAGTGATTTCGAATTCGAAAAGGACCTCTTCGACGTCGACGTCATGAACATGTGCGTCGATGAGAGCCTCGTCGCAGTAAACAAGGAGGCCCTGATAGACGAAAAGATTGATGAGGCGAGGAAAAAGTATTTCCTCGTCACAAGGAAGTGCGCTTTCTTGGAGAGGAGGCTTAAAAAAATCGAGGCGAGGACTTTGGGCAAGCATACCGCGGAAGAGATAACTGGGATAATAGAGTACACGACGAACATCCTGGAGCAAGCCAACAGGGGGAGATCGGATTCCAAGCCAGTCCCGCTCTCGTCCATGTCACTCTTCATGAGGCAGATGGACCACGCCGCCAACCAGCAGGCGACCAACGTCGCCAAAGGCTCCGCCAAGCATTTCAAATACTTCGGTTCAGGCTCTTCGTCTAGCAACCTGATAACGACGTCGAACGGCCTCCGCTCCTCGCTCCCGGGCTCCGTCTTGCCTCCCTACAAACCGGAAATCCAACGGGAGATGGAAACCGTCTCCGGAGAATTGTTCACCCAGCTGGAGAAGGCGGACCGTGACATCGACTCTGAAGCTACGGAGACAAGCTCCGGAGGTGAAAGCGCCGATGAAAATGTTACCTACAACAACCAGCATCAACAGTCTCTATCCATGTGAGTAAAAGAGATCCTTATCTTTTTTCTATTAATCTCCATCATCACCCCTACTCAATTTTCTCTTATTTAGCTACATCTAAGAGTATAACAATTTTTGTGTTACTCATTGTTTTTTGTCATATTGTCGTGAGTTGTCACAGAATGGTTTACGAGTAAGGAACCACACCCTTTTTTCGGGGAAAAACATGCATACCAATTAAGACGAAATCAACCCACCTTTAACATTCTAAAACCGAATGATATTTTCTTTATAATTAAACTAGAAAATATTTTATCAGTTTTGATGTTGACATTTTACTGGTGTAATACAACTAACCTGCAACAAACCAACACCTTAAAACAATATAATAATAATTAATAAAATATAAACGACAATTTCAGTTGTAACGAACTCTTTCTACTTTCTTACGTTTATATCGTACTACTATAGATTGTTTACCATCCGTTCTTGTTATAATTTAAAACAAACAAAGATAAGCGTCGTTTGGCCGTGACAATTTGATGTCTGACATTGACAGAAACAGTTGTATATACAAATATTGAAATGTTCATTGTTGGACTTAATACAAACTTATTCCTTAAAAATAAAAATAGATTTCCGCAAAAAAATATTTAATTAAACGCTTTATTCCGCAAACTGGACGTATCGATTTGAATGTAAGCACTACTGATACTACAATCGCAAAAAATCGAGGGAGGTTTATATCACCATCTATACAATTAAATTAAAAATAACTTATTTCTCACTAGTTGATTATTGTTGTTAATGGTATATCAAATTAGTGGATATATTAACAATATTAATACGTGTTATTAGCATAACTATATTAACAATATACATGTTGATAGCGTGGAGTTAGTTCATATTTATAAATAAAGGCGGTTTGATTTGAGTCATACAAAGGAACTTCTATTAAATTCTTGATAGCTAATTTCATGCGTTTCAACCGGTAACTAACTCTCTTTGTTATTATTATTATTTATTTGTCTGACAAGATATTTTCTAACAATAAGAAATTTGCATACATATGTGTTTTTGAGGGAAAGTGGCGGGGCCCTATGCATCCTCTTTAGCATATCTCCATTTGTGTACCATACCTCCTGAAAAACATTATTGTCGATATTGATGGGAAAATGTTCACGAAAAACCCATTAACTTTTACTTTAGCAAATCCTTTGCGTTAACAAGTCGTTACAGAATTGTTCAAAAACTGGAAGAACTGATTATTAATTTAAATAAGAATAACAGTTATAACAAATGTCAGCAAAAATATGTAGTAAGTATTTAGTAAGTTGGTCTAATATAGTACATGAATATTTAGTTTAAAATAAATAAATAAATAAGTTAGTTTAAATAATTATAAATAAGTTAGTTTAACAAATTAATAACAAATTGACAAATTAACAAGTTAACAGTATAATAAATTAACAAATCAGTAGGTTAGTGGTTAAATATTTTCATAAGTTATTAAGTAACAGTTAAATAAGTGAGAAGGTTGAGATTCAGGAGGATAAAATATGTTTTATTCTCCTGTGCTTCCAAGATCTGAGACAATCATATGTGCCGATTGAAGCACATACGGAGTTTTCGCTGTAGGCTTTTTGAGAAAAAAATTTTTGGGTCGTGAGTTTTAATTCCTCCTTAATCCATGGCATTTGAACTAAAGCATGCAGGTCTGTGAGCCTTGTGTAACGTGGGGACGAGGTGGCTAGTCTTAAAAACTTGTTTTGTATTATTTGTAGCCTCTTGATGTTAGTCATGCTTGTGTAGCTCCAAGCAGGGCATGCGTACAATATTATTGGTTTCACTATCACTTTGTAAATAGCTAACTTATTTGCTACGCTCAAAGATGATTCTCGACTTAAAAGGGGGAAAAGAGTCTTAATCATTATTTTGCCTCTCTTTATCAACGAGTTAACATGTTCAGTGAAATTCAGTTTGTGGTCCAGTGTCACCCCTAGGTATTTTACCTGTGGGATCCACGGTATGTTTACCCCGTCAAGCATGATTTGTTTATCGAGAGAGGGTCGCCGCCTTGTAAAGAATATCGATTCTGTTTTTACTGTGTTTAACATTAACTTCCATCTGTGGCAGAATCGTACTATTTTTTGTAAAGCCAAGTTCAAATTGTTTGCTATAGCAGTCTGTCTCCAGGAGGAACAATATATTACGATGTCGTCAGCGTAAAGGGCCAACTTGCAGTTTGATTTATCTAGTGTAGGGAGGGCATTTAAGAATATAGAAAAAAGTGTTGGCCCTAGTATAGACCCTTGAGGGACCCCAGCAACAACTTTGAAAGGAGAAGACGTAGCGTTGTTAAGAACAACGCGAAAGGATCCTAACAACATATGTTGGGAAACTATATTCTAACAGCCTGTAGACTATTCCGTTATGCCAGACAGTGTCAACTCTCTTTGTATGTAATTTAACATTGACCTGGAAGTTAATGAAGTGGAACGGTTAAGCAGTAGTCTGGTTAACAGTAGAAACTGAGTACAATTTATAATATTATGTAATTATATTAAATAATATTTTTCATAACTCTACTGTCCGGGTTTTCTGTAGGTTCACTACTAACTCATATTTTATCTCGTTTTATGAATTGCAACGTCCAGCGAAAAAAAAAGTACATCTTCTGGGTTCGTTTACTCTTATGAATGCACTTTATAATCAATATTAATTTCAACTTGAGTGTAATACTTTCCCATGACAAAAATTAAACAATTTATTAGTAGTTTTCTCTCAGTCAGTTTTGTTTAGCGATAATTTTGTTTTATAAACATTTAAAATCATTAAAAAATCAGTTTGTGCGTCCCTTGTAGTACATAAACTTAGGTAGTTTTAAATTCACTAATTTTCGTGGTCCGCTTGACCAGTTAGTATGATTCAATTTTACCACAACTAAAAACCTTAATTAATTAAAGTAGTTTGAAATGTTGCCGCTGTGTAAAATTGTATCTATTTGTTTTACTCATGTTTTCTAATTCGAATTTTAATAATCAATTTTCGAAACAAGTACAAAATATAATCCCTAAACTTGACGAAATGTCAAATACAATTTATTAACATTTAGTTGTATTCATAAGATTGAAACTAGTATAAATTATTGTTAAATTATACTGAAAGCCTTAAAATAAATTCCAGGCAATTAATTTAAACACCAAATAATGGTTGAGATATTTAATTTGAGTGATCGCAGGATCATTTCTTGTACAATTATAAATTTGTTAAAACTCAGAGGAAACTACTACATAACAGAAAATGTACTTTGTTTAATGTTTCAACGTGACAATCCGTAAACAAAAGTTACAGTTTCAAAATGATTTTCTGTTGTAGCAAATTCATCTAAGACCCGCTTTTATTTTGCCCTTAAAATAAAACCATTATTTATAAAGTTGTTACAGCTATAATTGATTTTTAGCTGAGGTTGAAAATACAAAAGTCGTACAGTTTATCTTTCTACTGAAAACATATTTCAAATGCATAAAACTTTAACTATGCTTTTAAATATATAAACCTATGTTAGTTAATCAAATTTGACAACTTGGTGGGCTCCATGAACTATATTGTATTCTGTTCATCATTAAAAATCGGAAAATCGTTTTATTTTTCTGTTTAGTAAGTTTCAAGTTTCCGCCTTTGTAAGTGAGTTTGGAAGTGGGGGTATATATTTCTTCAAATTAAAAAATCAATTAATAAAAATGGCTGTTTAAATATAATGAATATTTTTTAAAAAAACTTGTTCCTTAATCTTCATTCTAAATTGAAAAACGAATGTTGCTGCCAAACAAAAATAAATTGATTAAGTTACGATAATATTTTTTTGATTATATGAGGAATTATATGAGGAAAAATACAATTTTGGATGGGTACAAAAAACACCAAATGAATGAACGTATTTTTTAGCAGAAGATTTGCATTTTGAAAGGTATCGTCTTACGAATTATTCTCCATTTAATACTAGTGAATAATAAATTTAATTAAAGAGCAAAAATCCTGATGTTTGTAATGCAGGCACTTAAACCTCAAGAATAAAATAATTAGTTTCTGTGGCCCCATTTTTACCTATCACACAATATAAAACGAGTGGAACATTATACATTTAAAAATACTTTTGAACTACTATCACTCGAGATCGTTTTATCAGTTAATTAGCAGCGTCCATGTCAGATTTTAATGATTTATTAAAATTAATTTTTCTGGTTTAAACCTTTAAAACAGGACGGGGGTCATGTTCTTTACAACGTATTGAATCGTATCATTTCAAGAATCGTTCGATATTTTGAAATATTTATGCTTTAAAAGGTTAATTTATATTTAAAACGATGCTCTTTTTGTTTTTGCTTTATTACTTTTATAGGTATGTAGATAGAAACTGGCAAACTGGTCGAAGAGGGTTATCCATTAAACTTTGGTGCTCGATATAATCCCTCGTCCTAGTCCTAATTATCGTTCCAAATTGTGAATATATGCATAGGTATTTTAAACTAGCAGAAAATTAATGACTGCTCTATGCCTTTTTTGCTGTTCCTACAACAAGTAACTTGTTATAAGCCAACAATAAATGTATTAGGTTTCTAATCGAAGTAAATTAAAATGTTTATTATCCACATTCCTACTGTTACCTACCTTCACATTTTATTTATTCTCTTAATTATTTACTCTTCTCAATTTTCTATTAAAAAAATTCAGTTTACCATAGTTCAGATTATGAAAAACATTTTTATGGTGAAAACAATGATGTCAATTTGATTGGAGTCAATCTGCCAAAATAAATTCGCTAATTGAGTTTTTAAAAATTGCTGGTTCAGAGGAAAACAGAAAAAGGTTTTTTTTTGTTGTAGTGGGGCTTGCAGGAACTGGCAACGTGGTGGGTTGTGTATGATCGGTGTTGCCGGCTTGGGCCCCGGTACACAACCTCTCTTTCCAACTCCTGTTTAGCTCTTCAACCCTCATTCGCCTAAGTTGTTGGCCCTTTTGACTTGCTGGTACTGAG